AATTTAGAATATTCGTTGACAGCCCTATCAGTTACTGGGATTTTCACGCACAACCATTTCTAGGGTTTACAAAGAATGGTGTGAAAAGGGAAAAACATCCAGTATGCGGCAGTCCTGTGGGCGAAAATGCCTTGTTGATGCTAGAGGTCAGAGGAGAATGGGCCGACTGATTCAAGCTGATAGAAGAGCAACTTTGACTGAAATAACCACTCGTTACAACCGAGGTATGCAGCAAAGCATTTGTGAAGCCACAACACGCACAACCTTGAGGCGGATGGGCTACAACAGCAGAAGACCCCGCCGGGTACCACTCATCTCCACTACAAATAGGAAAAAGAGGCTACAATTTGCAAGAGCTCACCAAAATTGGACAGTTGAAGACTGGAAAAATGTTGCCTGGTCTGATGAGTCTCGATTTCTGTTGAGACATTCAGATGGTGGAGTCAGAATTTGGCGTAAACAGAATGAGAACATGGATCCATCATGCCTTGTTACCACTGTGCAGGCTGGTGGTGGTGGTGTAATGTTGTGGGGGATGTTTTCTTGGCACACTTTAGGCCGCTTAGTGCCAATTGGGCATCGTTTAAATGCCACGGCCTACCTGAGCATTGTTTTTCTGACCATGTCCATCCCTTTATGGCCACCATGTACCCATCCTCTGATGGCTACTTCCAGCAGGATAATGCACCATGTCACAAAGCTCAAATCATTTCAAATTGGTTTCTTGAACATGACAATGAGTTCACTGTACTAAAATGGCCCTCACAGTCTCAACCCAATAGAGCATCTTTGGGATGTGGTGGAACGGGAGCTTCGTGCCCTGGATGTGCATCCCACAAATCTCCATCAACTGCAAGATGCTATCCTATCAATATGGGCCAACATTTCTAAAGAATGCTTTCAGCACCTTGTTGAATCAATGTCACATAGAATTAAGGCAGTTCTGAAGGCGAAAGGGGGTCAAACACATTATTAGTATGGTGTTCCTAATAATCCTTTAGGTGAGTGTGTGTGTACATATATATATTCTCAAGAATCATTAAGTTCTCATTCTTTGGCCACATATCAGCATAAAGATATCATGCACCCCTGTTTCATGAGATATAGTTAATGTGGTCTCTTTTCTCTGTGCTGCTCAGATGAGGTGGTAGCCTGAGAGAACGAGCATCAGAGATGGATGGATGTGGACGAGCAAGACAGGTTGTGACAGGTTGAAGGAAGAGTGATGTAAGACCTCTGCGCTCGACCAGCAAAATCAGCTTTCTTTGGCGTCTCTGTTCTTGAGATACTGGAGGCTGCGTTGCTGCATCATCAAGCCATCAGTACTTCACCCCGTTTGACTTATCAAGCGGAAACAGCCAGGACTTTTTGTGCAAATGACGAATGAGAGCTTAAGAGCCCTTTAACGTCTGTAGCATTAGGGATTTGTTTATAATTCTGTTTATGCTCAGAGAAAATGAATTTGTCTTATGCAAAGCCTCTCTGAAATTTCTTATACTAAAGGTGAGAGGTTAAGAAAAATATTAAACTGATGTGCAACCTCATATCATTTATGCTGTGGACATTTATGTCAGATAAAAAGACATAGGTACAAGATTCTGTACTTGACGGATTTAATGAGAGAGAAAAACAGCATAGTCAAATTTAGGAGAATTTCAGACATAAGTGTAATTTGGCCAAAAGCTCATGTTATTATTAAAGGCAAAGTGCTACACACAGGCTATTTAAGATGCCAAATGCTAGACTCTTCTCCACTCCTCAAATACATTAAACATATGTAGTGTTTTTTGTTTACTCTTGCATTACAAACAAGCAGAGACCTTACAAAATTTTTACTGCACTTCATTCACAATTGAGGCGGGGTGGAGTTCTTGGGTTTTACCGACAGTTTGATGATCCATTGGAGTTTTAAATACTTTTTATTGGTTAAATATTTGCAAAACCCACATACAGACATTAAAGTTGACCAACAGTAATGATTAATGAAGAAGATAAAACACTATGGAGATACAAGGTTTCTGCGATGAAACCTTCTGTTATGTGGGTGAGGAAGGATGAACCCAATAGCAGACAGTAGTCAAGGCAACACGATTTATTAAACAAATAACCGGGAAAACAAAGCCCACGAGGGGGCAAAACAAGACAGGACTACGGTGACTAACTAGACAACGACACTGACAAAACACTAGAAAACAAACAACACTTCAAGAGAAACTAACAATGACTAGACTTTCAATGACTTTCAAAGACAAGACTTTCACAGGGTACTCACAAGTAACATTTGGCAATGAACCGACAAGAGACAGTGAAACACAAGGGGATAAAATAGGGAGACTAATCATGACATGACAGGTGACACAGATAAAGCAATAATGACTAAATCAGGATAACAAGGGGGCGGGGTAAAGAGACGAGACAACCCAAGCACATGGCCCAAACAAATGGCCATGTGCTGCACATGAAACATGGGTCTGCCATGATCCTGCCACAAGACCAGTGAAATCAAAGACAAGATGGCAGAATCATGACACCTTCGTGCGTATATATGCGTATTTATATACAAATATTTAAGTATTTTGAGAGCATAAACGAGAGTCATACTAATTTGATTTGCAGTACTTCATAGGAGTGGGTGTGTGCTAAAAAGTTATTTTGGCGAGATTGGCTTGATATGATTCTCTGATTTGCACTCGACAATGCTCTGGCAAACAACTGGGTAAAAAACACTAAAAACCACTCAAAACACCTGGCAACCACCTAGCAATGTGGCATAAACTAGTTTTAGCACATTTCCAGTTAAATGTTTCCGGTTTCATTTGATGTCGACATAGAAAGGTGGTGTAAACGGCACCTGCGTGGTGTCAAGTCAAGTGCCTTCCCGTTACTAGCACCAGGCCAGCTGACAGTCTTGCCTGGGCCCGGGACAAGATAATCTTAGATAGGGCCCCCCCCCACGATTTTTTTTATTTTTTATAAAACACCATATACTTTTACCCAAAATGAATAATAAAAACACGTTTAAATGGGTACATTTTCTATAAATGTCTTAATTTTCTTTTCTGACATAGCCTACTGCAGTTCTTGTTAAAACACACTAGACATGCAAAATCTGTGCATTTTGGGCACTTTTTGTGTGAAATCATATTTATTTTTTGTCCATCAAAAGTGTGCTTTCACTTGTAAGCATGAGCAGCGCAGCAAAAATAGACTCGGATCTGACCCATTATCTGTTCACCGATGATGACAGTGATGCATTTCAGCCGGCTTTTTATTTCTCATCTCCATAAATAGTAGTAAAGCTAATGCAAGGGCTAGAAATCAATGAATTCTTTGCTAATACTTCCTCGTCATCATCATGGAGAGCGCAGTTCGCACCGCTTTCTCCTTTCCACAAGCGTTTGCTCTCCCGTGGCGTCTGTCGTTGCTATGCAACAATGAACTTAGGCGCGCCTGTAAAAACGAGCGCGCCGCGTCGCTATTATTATGAGCTAATATCCAAAATATTTCCATATGTGGCTCTTTCCTCCTTTCTTATCAACAAGTGGATTTACAGCCACCACAGCAGCAGCACCGCCGGTCGCCATGTGTCAGCGCTTTTATGAAGAGGACGCAACTGCACGCGCTTTGGGCATGCACGCGCATCCCGGGTTTGAGAAAACCTGGTACCGTGGCGTGACGTTTAAAAAGAAATTTGTACCGACTTGGTACCGAAGTGCCGGGTCTTTGACAACACTCATAAACGTTGGCTGCGCTGTTTCTTACCTTGCTCTACGTTGACTTTACTAACGTTAGTTCCAGCTTCACCGTCAGCACCTTTTTAAAAATATTTGTTTAGGACATCTCGAAGGCCTCTATTTTCTTCTTTTCTTTTCTTTTCTTTTCTTTTCTTTTCTGAGCACCGGACTTGTGCTGACCGGAAATTTTGAGCGTAACGTTAGCCTACTGAACTTCAAATCAAATGACAACATCATATTTTAATTAAGTGGCCAAACCATTTTTGTTTTGGGGGTGGGGGTGGGTTCTTGACCACTATTTCAAGGACAATTAGGAAGAAAACAAATAAAAAGCTTTTATGTAACTCAAATATTAGATATTTTTTCAACAAATATGCCTATTTTATTTATATTTTTAACAATTATTCCATAATTTAATGAGGGCCCAGTTCTGGGCCCCCCTCCCTACCCTGGGCCCGGGACAACAGACCCGTTTGTCCCCCCCTGTCGGCGGGCCTGACTAGCACTAAACCTCAACCACTACATCACACAACTCTGCATCACTGACTGAAATGTCTAAAAGCATCCTGAGTGATTCTCAGCATATGATATCCAACATAACCTGCCTTAAGCACCCGTTCCTCGACCTGCAGAAGCGGTTCCCTTTTCCCCCGTTGCTTAGCAGCCAAGCAGTGTTGATGTTCTCGCAGGCACTTCCTGCAAACACTTAAGACACGAGCCTCTCTGTGCACAACAGCCCACTTCAGCGTGAGAAAATGGAAGTGTCGAGACTTCCAAAAATATCCCTCTCTGAAAAACTGAGAAAAGAGGAGACGTAGGCAGAGAGTAATGTACTTTCTCTCTCTCCCACCCTTCTCATTTAAGGAGTACCACGCAGTGAACTCATCTTTCATTCAGCAGCAGAAGCCGAAAAATTGCTCCGTCTATCTGGTCCGACTTTTCATTCCATTACAGTCAGACTAGAATCCCAAGCGCATCTCTGAAAAGGCATCTCTTTAGGCTACAGAATATAAAAGGGGGTAAATAATGTATTTGCCCCTTTCACCACTGCTTCTGTTAGACCATCTCTAAACGTAATGTGGCTAATTTGATGTGCATTTAGAGGGCTGGTGTTTGTGATGCCGTGGATATTAGCGCTGAGAAGCACTTATCGTGTCTGCAGTAGCAGTCTGCACTTTGGATTGACAGCGGTTAAAAGCTTTGTGCCGTTTGTATAGGTGTATAAAACTGTAGGCTTTGTCTAATAGCAGCTATTCTGTGTTTCAGCTCTGCAGCAGGCATCATGACCACAGCCAGGTACCGACCCACCTGGGATTTGGCCCTGGACCCGCTGGTGACCTGTAAGTTGTGCCTGGGAGAGTTTCCCTTGGAGCAAATGACCACCATCACCCAGTGCCAATGCATCTTCTGCACCCTGGTGAGTAGTATCTAAACGGATTTTAGGGTTCAAAAAACATGCATTATTATGATTATCCATTATTTTATTTTATGCTGATAAAAATTAAATTAAATAATATAATAATAATAATAAATAAACAAATAAATAAAAAATATATATTTTTAAACATTTATTTTTTATTATTATTATATTATTTAATTTAATTTTTATCAGTATACAATAAAATAATGCATAATAAATAACATATCACATAACAAAATAAAAATAAGCTAATATTTTATTTATTTTATTTATTTATCAAAATGAAATAAAATGATAATTTTATTGTATTAATTGTATTTAAGTTTAGAATAGAACTCAATGAGAGATTTCCACAAAGATTTAAAATAATGTGTGCTTTCAGCCATATTTTATGAATATTTCTATATTTCATCTCTGTCTTTAGGTTTCACTGTTATAGGAATGGAACGTCTAAAAATAAATGAGTGGGATTCTTACATAAGCCTCAGACATTTTGAAATGTGTCTATATATAAGCACAGTTCACAGCTATAGACGGAATATCCAGAAATGTGATTCATAGTCCAGTAATAAACAGTCTTATTCAACCCTCTGAGGTTTGCTGTTCTGACTTTCCCTTTGCTGTGTAGTTATACTGATTTGAGACCAGTTTTATTTATATCTTGAGGTTGCAGGCAACATTTGGGGAAAGGAAGCTGCTAGAGTAGGGTAAAGGGAAAACATCTCCTCATCTGACTCTGAGAAGCCTTGTCTTGCTTGTGTCTTAGCTCACTAGAGACAAAACTGTCTTTGTGTCTTAAGCGAAGCATGTTTATGGAAACAACTCCCTCAGAGTTTGCCTTGCCAAACATTCCTAAAAGCTCAAATACACAATTTAGTTTTTGGTGCGTTCAGATTAAAATTATTTAATAATATTTTTAATTATTTTTAAATTGTATTATAATTGTATTATTATTATTTTATTTCGATTTTTTTTATTATTAGTTTTTTTTTGAGAGAGAGAGTAGGAGAGATAGAAAATATGACCGGATTTTTCTCCTGAAGCAAAAAATGAAATAATAAAATATGTTTTGTTCACAGCCTATTAAAAGAGTGAGTTTGCAAATTGCTCACACTGAAGGATAATTAGTCTTGGACAAGTGACTGCGTCTTCATTAAATTGAGATGTTATACAGCGTCATTTTTTTGAGGAAGTTAACAGTGCATTACAAGTGGTTTAGTGTTTCTGTACTCACACTCTCAGACACTTAGCAAATTAAACACAAAATTAAAAGCAGAATTTGTTTACTCATAATGTATTTTTCCATATTTTCTATTTTATTTATTTTTATGTCTTATTATCCTTTTAAAGTGCCTGAAGCAGTATGTGGAAATTCTCATAAAAGAAGGCTTTGAAACGGCCATCAGCTGTCCAGACTCAGCCTGTCCGAAACGTGGACATTTACAAGAAAATGAGGTAATGTCAACATACACTCTACTGTTCAAACATTTGGGGGCAGTAACATCTGCATCACTGCATGATGAAGCCTATAAAAGGCAGTTAGAATCCCCCTAAAATGCAAGATACTGGGGCAAAAATGCCCCTGTATGAGTTTTTGTCTCATATTTCATACGATATAGTTAAGCAATATCATACACGAGCAACAACTGCAATATCACACGAGTCTTCTATTCAAATAAATGCTGTTCTTTTGAACTTTTTGTTCATCAAAGAATCCTGATAAAAATGTACCGTTTCCACAAAAAATATAAAGCAGCACAATTGTTTTAAATATTGATAGTAATAAGAAATGTTTCTTAAGCATCAAAACAGCATATTAGAATGATTTCTGAAGGATCATGTGATCATGAAAATTCAGCTTTGTCATTACAGCAATAAGTTACATTTTAAAATATATTCACATAAAAAAACAGTTTTTTAAAATGCAATATTATTTCATAACATTGCTGTTTTCTTGCCATTTCAAAAACATGACAAAATCTTACAAAATTACCAAACATTTGAACGCATACATATTCCTGCATTTTGCACAGCTTTTTAATGCTAAATATTTACTATTATAAAACAGAGTTGTGATTGGTCAGTACAGCTTTCATGTCAGGGACTTATTCATTTTACTATTAGGGTTTTTAAACAAAGGGCCCTTAAAGGGATAGTTCACCCAAAAATGTAAAGTATCCCATGATTCACTCACCCTGAAGCCATCCTAGGTGTATATGACATTCTTCTTTCAGACGAACACAATTGGAGTTATATTAAAAAAGACCCTGGCTCTTCCAAGTCGACTTGTATACGGCCGTCTGCCGGAAGCTAGTGATTTTAGTCGATAAAGTTTTAAATATGGATATTTTTCTTACAGGAACGTATCGCTTCACTTCAGAAGACCTTTGTTAACCCCTCAGAGCCATTTTGAGCACTTTTATCACAGATAGAGGACTTTGATGGACTTCCAAAAAAATATACCCATTGACACCCATTATAACGTTTGGAAGAGTCAGGACCTTTTTTAATAAAACTCCAATTGTATTCGTCTGAAAGAAGAATGTCATATACTCCTAGGATGGCTTCAGGGTGAGTAAATCATAGGGCTAATTTTCATTTTTGGGTGAACTATCCCTTGAAGATACAAAAGTCAAGTCAAGTTAAGTCTTTAACAATGAAGATTGTTTCAAAGCAGCTTTACAGAGATAAACTTACAATTTATGGTAACAAAGATTGTTTAGGCTTTATAGCGATTTTTGAATAGTGTTATTTCCAGCTAAAGTTAGTTTTGATTGATTCACTTCCACCAAAATTATCATTTGTTATTACATTAGGGGCCACTAAGACGACGGCGTTCTCTCTAAACAGACTTTAAACGCGAACCTGTGACCTGATGGCGTTCACATGCGTTCACATGCGCATTAAAAATTGATTCTATAGTTATATTCGTTTGAATATATGTGTGCAGGTTTGTAATTTCCCTACAAACCATGCCTAAACAAACTACTTGTCTTGCCTATACATTTGATAAAGAATTTTGTTTTATTTTATCACTTCGGGGTACGCGAACCGGATTTTCAACAACGCTTTATCTGTACAGAACTATTAACTAATTAATAACTGTCTAACTAATGATCTGTTAAGCATTAAATAATGTAGTTATGTTAATCTTGGTGGGGAGTCTGAAAAGGTTGAATTGTCAGGATTAAAGGGGTTTTAGGAACTCCAGTGTAATGAAGTTTTTTTTTTTTTTCTACAAAACCTGCAATAGTCACAGCTTCTAAAACAACAAATACTTTACCGTCCAAATAAAAAGTCCTAAAATGGACCTGCATCTCATCAAGCTCTTTTAGCATAAAATGGATGCTGAAACCTCTCCACTCTGACTCTCCCCTCTGTGTCTTGCACCACGAAATCCTTCCAAGTATGAGGTCAGTCCGAGGGCAGGGTTCCTCCTCGCCGCTGCAGGCTCATTGTGAGGATGGCTGGCTCGTTCGGTATCAAAGCAGCTAAACCAGATGAATCAGACCCAGATGCAAAGCATCAGAGCAACTAATGTGCCTTTTTTTGGGGGGCAATCCTTACCAAACAAAAATTCAACATGCATATTCCTGCTGTGTTGTTTGATCTCAAGACAGTGATTAGATTAGAAACCGTATTTGTTGTTGGATGTGTGTTTACCCAGATCAAATTGAATGCTAAATGCAATATCTGCAAAGCAAAGAGTGCCTTTGTATCCATCCACGTTGTTTAATAATGGCTTTTGTCCACTTTCTTTCTTTCTCTCTCAGATTGAATGCATGGTGGCCACAGAGATAATGCAGAGGTACAGGAAGCTGCAGTTTGAGAAGGGTAAGTGGAAAGAGGCTGTCTGTCTGTCCATCAGGGGCTGGTGAGGCACGTGTGCGTGTGCATGTTGATGGTGAGCTCCATGCTTGCTGTCCTAGATGACTCAGAGTGACTCACTGTAGATAAATAGGCCAGTGCAGGTGTGAGGATGAAAGGGATGTGAGAGTGGACTTGCACTGGACTCGTGTAGGTCCAGCTGACCTTATGCTGTCACAGAATGGAGGCTTTTACCTTAGGCTGTACTGTCTGTTTTTCTTCAATGAGAGCCTGCCACCTGCAGACACCTTGTTTAACTGTACCTCATTATGTTTTCTGATTATCATTTGCGCAGTTTTTTTTTTTCCGGGAAAATGGCAGAATCAAATCTTTGTACTTTGTCCACGTGAGCACCAAGGCTCAACGTTTTGAAACTCGTGCTGATCAATATGCCACAGCCCTGACTTTCAATTTTTATCTTAAAAAAAAAAAACGGTCCCTTTTTTTTCAAAGTGTAAGTAAGCTATTTCCTGTGACTGTGCAGGATTCCAATTCATTAAGTGCTAGAAGACTAACAAAGTGCTGTAAATGGTATAACTATTTGCACTACAAAACATTGTGTTTATGCTTAATATTTAAATAAAATGATAACAAATACCAACATCACACAGACGTTTTTTGTAAAAAAAAAACTGGACGCGGAAATAAATAAATGGACCAGAAGCCTTGCATCTGCAAGCTATATTAAAAATAAGGTGGATTACAGTATGTGTTTTGTAAAGAGTTAATGCATAAGTGTGTTATGATTGTTTTCATTCAGGTTCGTTAAACCAATGTTGGGCTGGTCTGGTCAGGATGATCGCAAACAAACAGCAATGTGTTGATAGTATTGATAGTAACATTCATCGTGTAAATATGCAAACAAGTTACAACTTAGCCTTATAATGTAAAGGGGCACTAAAGTACAACTTGCGCACTATTAAACATTTTTGCATTGCACCATTAAACTTGTTGAAACGTAACTACATTAAAAGAAATATTTACGGAATTGTCTCCAACCAAGATAATTATTAAACATCAGATTGATTAAATTTTTTCAATAAGCTCTTGTTTTAACTGACAGACTTTAATCCTTAAGACCTATGTGATGATGTTGACATTTACACCCACATGCAGAGATCGAATATTCAAACTTTTTATTCATTTTTCTACCCCTGAACGAAAAAAACGAAATATCAAACTGAATTCTTGTTTTTTTTTTGTTTTTTTTTTAAATAAATAAAAAGGAGCCGTTTTCTTATTTTTCTACTTTCGATATTATAAATAAAAAACAAAACGACTGAACGAATGATACACGGATTTGCAAGGGTCAAGAACAAATGGGGCAACCGAGTATAGAGTTTCAAACTAGCTAGTAGTTAATAAACCTCTATAGTTGACTCCTATTTTATAAATGGCTGTTGGAACCCTATTCTAGCCACTAATAATTATTTATGAACCCAAGGTAAACTATAAACAACTTTTAAAATCCAGAATGACATTAAACCAATGGCTAACAATTTGAAGTGTGAGAGGGAAACCTTCATACCTCTGGCACATTTTCCAGAACATATATCATAATTATATGATTCATAATTCAGAGTTTAAAGCATTGCAAACCTATGAAAATCACAAGTGTGAAACCCAGGGTTAAAATAGACTTAACCCAGGATCTTAAAAAGAGTTAAGTGTAAATGAAGACTCTGTGTTTCCACTCTGTATCCAAATCAGTCTGTATGCTGACATGAAATGTTTTTTAATTTTAACAAATGTAGCTTCTAGTCAGAAATCTCCAAGATTAAAAGACTAATAAAGAGTAAATTAGACTATTGCTAATTGGATAGGCTTGATCGAAAGCATGAAGGTTCCCTTAAACAGATAAGACCTGAGGATCTGTGCCATAAACCTGGCGTATGAATCCTCTCTTTCATCATTTTCTTCAGTAGGGGATCCCAGGCTCTGGACTCTGATAGTCTCCAGTTGTTTGAACCACAGGATACATTTGCTTTAGAGATATTCTCTGTCCACCCCCTCCAGTGTGTTACATTAGCCTATTTTAAAAAGACATAAGGGAGGGAAATAAATGTAGTTACGCGTTGCAGTTGTTCCGATGCTATCTAGCCCCTGTTTAGACCTGGTATTAAAATGCGTCGAGATTAGTCGATCAGATCACAAGTAGACGAGGGAGGCACATTCCCATTTATACCTGGTGTTTTAATTTGTCTCTTTTGTCCACTTTCAACCTCTTCTGACTTCTTCGAGGTAAGGGTCTTTGGGTGGGTAAATGTATGGTGGCAACACCCTCATAATTGAGAGATTTACATAGAGAGAGTGTAAAAATGCGTTCATTTAGCCCATCGGTGTTCCGGGAAACTGGAGTGGAATGGTGGTTATAACATATACACACTCCCGCATGGCCTGCCGTGTCAGATGGAGAGGGTGAGCGCGAGTGTGTTTAGTTTGTGAGAGATTCGCAGTGCACTTGAGGACAGACAAAAATACATGCCATCCTGACACAAGACAGCAGATATTACTGAAAGTCCTCTTTCTAACATAATTGCCCCCAAACACACCTTACATAACCATAGCCATATAGTGTGCCACTAACTGACCTTTTATGCATTCATCAGGCAGATGAGCAAGTAAAACCATTATGAAATGGGTAGTTGCATCTCTAAATTCTGATTAGAGCTACAATCAAAGGTGTATATAGGGACCAGAATACCACAGAGACTTGGAGTGGACTGTTTTTGGTGTGGATCAGTTAGCATCTCAGGAGGACATCCTAGAAACCACCTCAAAATCACCTTGCAAGGCCCTAGCAGAATGAATTAGCAACTGCATAGCTACACCCAGACATCCAGATCTTTCGCACAAACAAGCACCACTCATGTTTTATCAGAATACATGAATCTAGCTACAACTAAATGTAATTATTTATTGAACAACTTTGTCTCCGCCACCTATTGTGCCCAGTCGTAAAATCACTGTAACGCACAGGCCTCATGCAGCTTTTTGCTTTAATGAAATCTAATTTAACTAATGAATTTATGCGAAGCTATGAGCAGCAGCTCTGGGATGTCGTTCCTGAGGGCAGATGAGGCCGAAGCTGCTCTTTTCTATTACCCCTCCATCTCAGATGGCGTAACCATGGTGACCTGTCAGCCTGCATCAGCTGGAAGCAGCCTAAAATAAACACTCACGGAAACTGCGTCTGATCTCTCATCTCTCACCCCCCCCCTACAGAGGTGTTGCTGGACCCAAGCCGGACCTGGTGCCCCTCCTCCACGTGCCAGGCCGTGTGCCAGCTGAAGGAGTCTGACACGCCGCTTCCGCAGTTGGTGCGGTGCAGCGTTTGCACACTTGAGTTCTGTTCCGCCTGCAAGGCCAGCTGGCACCCGGACCAAGACTGCCAGGAGAACGTCCCCATCACCTCGTTTCTACCTGGAGAAAGCAGGTACTGTTGTCTTTTAAAGAAATGATCTAGGTTCAGTACAAGCTGTGCTTAAATGACATCACTTGTGGCATAATGTTGATTTTTACTTGTCTCTCCTTTTTTAAAAAGCAAAAATGTGGGTTACCTTGAGAGGCACTTAAAATATGACCAATATTACAACTTATTTTTTGCCATGACAACATAATGCCTTAAACTGACTGTAAAGTGACCAACCAAAAATGAAAGGGACCAACTTTAATATACAAGTTTTATGAGAAGAATTAATGTAAAGGGTTTTATAAAATTGTTTACCATTCAAAAGTTTGGGGTCAGTAAGATTTTTTAAAGAAATTAACATTTTTATTCAGCAAGGATGCATTCAATTGTTCAAAATTGACAGTAAAGACATTTAGGCCAACAAGTAAAAAGATATTTCTATTTCAAATAAATGCTGGTCTTTTGAACTTTCTATTCATTATAGAATCCTGAAAAAAAAGAAAAAAAAATCTTGGTTTTCACAAAAATATTAAGCAGCAACCCTTTTTTCAACATTGATGATAATAATATTGATATTATTGATAACAATTAGAAATGTTAGTAATGCAGTAATGATGCTGAAAATTCAGCTTTGCCCTCACAGTAATAATATTAATATATATTTAAATAAAAAATACTTTTAAATAATATTAAATAATATATTTAATAATATTAATATTTTACAGTATTACTGTAATGCTTAGATCCACAGAAGATGAAGTTGATTATAAAAGAACATAAGATTTATTATGAACTCAGAATAACAAGCCGACATGCGAAACGGTGTGCTAGTGCACAGACAACAACCGACAAAGAACTGAGGGACCAAAGGAACTTAAGTAGTGGTACAAACAAGGTTAATAAGGAGACACAGCTGTACAAGAGGACCAATCATCAGTAACCATGACAATCCATAAGTGGTGGGAAACTAGACAAAGGAAACATGTGATTGTGACTGAATGAAAACAAAACAAACTGAACGTGATTGTAACAGTTACTTTTAGTACTGTATTTTTAATCAAATAAGTGCAGTCTTGGTGAGCATAGAAGACTTCTTTCAAAAACATTAAAAAATCTTACCAACCCCAAATTATTGATTGGTAGTGTAAGTTTCTCGTTTCTGCTTTCAAGTGATTTCACTGCTTTTCCACTGAAAATTGGCTCCATTTACCTCATTTGTGTCTCATGTAACCCTTTTTCTATAAAGAAAATAAGGGACGAGTCAAAATTAATTATTTTTGGGGGTACACTGTGCCACAAATGCTGTTGATTGAGGTTATCTTTTCTCTGAGGTTATCCTTTCCTGAACTATTCCTTTAAGTCTTTCTCCTCTTGTCTCCTCCTCATTCATCAGCAGATACGCTTCAGTGTAGTTTTGTCTCTTTGATGTGCGTTTAAACACTCCCGTCCTCCCTCCTGGTTGGTATGTGTATCCACTATCCAGCTGTCACGATGAGGCATGTACAGTGTAATGATGTTCGATGTTGATAAGGCGACTTTAGATTTGAAATAAAATACCTCAATCAGTCAGTTTTTCTGCCTTATTGAACATGCTCATCATTCAGTCGAAGAATGGATCTTCAGCTTTTAGATGTTGAAGAGTGATTTTTTTTTTTCTCTCTCTGCTCAGTAAGCCAGAGATGCATGCACAGGTGTTATTTGACATTCATGTCACACGCACACTTGATTCCAAAGCAAAAGCATCATTGAGCGGAGTTTCTGATCCTTGATCTTGGGTCTTACAGGAGTGAACACTCAGCCAGCTCTGAAGTGAATTGCTTCACTAATACACACTAGTCATAATACTCCAAAGAGCCTTTCAAGTTTACAGCTCAATTTCTGTATCATTTCATGTTTGAGATTGCGCCTAAACTCCTAAATATATCTCAGAGTGAGAGAATCAGTCTTTAGACAGCATGAAATCTAAATGGATCCGATTTACACTTTAAACAGACTGTTTCCTCAAGGAGCTATGAGCTGACCTGACTCTTAAAGAAAGTGTAAATAATGTATTTAAATATTCATGGCCTCCCTAAGAACTCAAGCAATAGCCCTGCATGGAAAAAAAATGTTTTTAGGTTATTTGACTTTATTCAAATATTTGATATATTCAAATGTTTTCTTTGCTACTTGTGTAACTTCTTCTTTTCTTTCTGGCCCAGTTCACAAGAAAAAAAAAAAAAATATATATATATATACACTCACCTAAAGGATTATTAGGAACACCATACTAATACTGTGTTTGACCCCCTTTCGCCTTCAGAACTGCCTTAATTCTACGTGGCATTGATTCAACAAGGTGGTGAAAGCATTCTTTAGAAATGTTTGCCCATATTGATAGGATAGCATCTTGCAGTTGATGGAGATTTGTGGGATGCACATCCAGGGCACGAAGCTCCCGTTCCACCACATCCCAAAGATGCTCTATTGGGTTGAGATCTGGTGACTGTGGGGGCCATTTTAGTACAGTGAACTCATTGTCATGTTCAAGAAACCAATTTGAAATGATTTGAGCTTTGTGACATGGTGCATTATCCTGCTGGAAGTAGCCATCAGAGGATGGGTACATGGTGGCCATAAAGGGATGGACATGGTCAGAAACAATGCTCAGGTAGGCCGTGGCATTTAAACGATGCCCAATTGACCCTTCGCTAAGCCCCGCCCTCCTTAGTTACTGTTGCTACGCCTGTCAAGCTTTCGCGGCTGCCACGTCTATTACAGTGTGAATGCACCGGTGTCAGACATTCCCAAGGAGATAATTTGTCATTTTTGGCGAACAGGTGAAATATCTGAGAGAGCAAGACAAAAGGGACAGCAGTATGCATTCGAGGGATATATCCACGACATAATATGCAACCGATTAGAGAATAATTTCATCAAAATTGAAGCTAAAGCCTATGACGTTAAGGTCCCAGCGCAAGCAGCAGCCGCCTCCTTAGCAGACCATTCACATGGGAAACACACAAATTGAACAGCTATGTTCATCCACAGCAGAGTAAGTGAAATGTGAAAATAATCTAATAATTACAAATCAAACAGCTTATCCATCAATCTAACACCGGGAGAGCCGCGGTCGGATTGGGGTAAAGTTACTGGGGTAACGTTAGTAGGCCGTCGATTAACAAAATGCTGAAATATATTTTAAAGTATGTCAGTGAGCCTCCGTCTTGCCTTTAATCGTCTTATTTTACGTTCAAATATATGCATTATGAACAAAGAACCGCCATTATTTCCAAGCAATAGGCGTGTTTTTTTGTTGTTAATCCTGTCGACATTTAGCTGTGAATGGGTCTCCACACTGCTTGATCCACGCCCGGGATTTCTCCCCTTTGGCTTTTAGGTTTCGGGAAGAGAAAAAATGCCACCCCACCGTCCAAACTTTTAGAATACCGGGTATCAGATTTGCACTATCCATACGCACAACGCGTCGGCATGTTTCCCTCGCTCGAAAGCTTGACAGACCTCCCGCGCCTAGTTACGGTTGCTAAGCCACGATTGGCCAGTGGCGGTTTTCGGGCGTGGCCTAGCGAAGGGTCAATTGGCACTAAGGGGCCTAAAGTGTGCCAAGAAAACATCCCCCACACCATTACACCACCACCAGCAGCCTGCACAGTGGTAACAAGGCATGATGGATCCATGTTCTCATTCTGTTTACGCCAAATTCTGACTCTACCATCTGAATGTCTCAACAGAAATCGAGACTCATCAGACCAGGCAACGTTTTTCCAGTCTTCAACTGTCCAATTTTGGTGAGCTCTTGCAAATTGTAGCCTCTTTTTCCTATTTGTAGTGGAGATGAGTGGTACCCGGTGGGGTCTTCTGCTGTTGTAGCCCATCCACCTCAAGGTTGTGCGTGTTGTGGCTTCACAAATGCTTTGCTGCATACCTCGGTTGTAACGAGTGGTTATTTCAGTCAAGGTTGCTCTTCTATCAGCTTGAATCAGTCGCCCCATTCTCCTCTGACCTCTAGCATCAACAAGGCATTTTTGCCCACAGGACTGCCGCATACTGGATGTTTTTTTTCCTTTTCACACCATTCTTTGTAAACCCTAGAAATGGTTGTGCGTGAAAATCCCAGTAACGGAGCAGATTGTGAAATATTCAGACCCGCCTGTCTGGCACCAACAACCATGCCACGCTCAAAATTGCTTAAATCACCTTTCTTTCCCATTCTGACATTCAGTTTGGAGTTCAGGAGATTGTCTTGACCAGGACCACACCCCTAAATGCATTGAAGCAACTGCTATGTGATTGGTTGATTAGATAATTGCATTAATGAGAAATTGAACAGGTGTTCCTAATAATCCTTTAGGTGAGTGTATATATATGTACATACATGCTATTTTTGCTAAAAAATATACGTTCTTCCTTTATTTTTCTGACTGTTTTGTTTTCTACAAAAAAGAATATTTGCAACAAGCATGAAATTATGATAGCGTCATTGCTGGAAAATGATAATGCAAAATATCATTGATTGGTTTGTAGTTTTTCACATAACAGTTGATGACTTTGACAGGTCATTTTTTTTGATTTTTTTGTGTTAGTCAGTTAGTTACATTGGTGACAAATCATCAGAATTTGCTATAGCAATGTGGAATACATCACAGAGAGCCAAACATCAAGTTTACAGGGCATAAAAAAATGGATCAGTGAATGTAAAACTTTTATTGGCAACTAGCCTAAAACTCTCTCACACTGGCCCCGGGCCAGCTGCCATCCTTGAGCTATAAAATAATATTACTAATATATTTGCTTATTAATAATATGCCCACTTATCATAATAGAATCAAATCTGATGGACAAAATCAAGTCTCACTCTACATGATTTCTTGATGAGTATTCCATAAAATTGTGAAATCATGTTGTCCTTGTGTGTGCGCGCTCTTGTGTGTGTGTGTGTAGAATACATTTTAAAATGTAATTTACTGATTTTTTTTTAATTTACTGAATTTTCAGCATCATTACTCCAGTCTTCAGTGTCACGCGATCCTTCAGAAAACAATCTAATATGCTGATTTGATGCTCAAGAATTTCTCTTTTTTTATTATTATTATTTTTACATTTAATATGGTTTAATATTTTAATATACTTCCTAATGTTTTTGTGGATGCCGTGATACTTTTTCTCAGGATTCTTTGATGAATAGAAAGTTCAAAAGAACAGTGTAAAAGTCTTTACTGTCAATTTAATCCATCCTTGCTGAAGAAAAGTTTTTTGTTTTTTTTACCTCAAACATTTGTGTATATAACTCAAACAGTAGTGTATAATCAAATCAGAAATAATCATATTACTACTATTATTGTGATTATTAATAGTACTTCACTAAACTGCAGTGTTGCAGTACTGTGAGTCAGAGGCAGTTGTAAGGAGGAGCTCCTGCTGTTTAACGGGCTATGAGAGGTTTGCTGCACAGTGTCACTTCTCTTAGATCAATAGACTGGGAATTGTCCTGGAAATGAATGGGCTTGTACTTGTCAGCTCGGTCCCTGTGGGTCAGCCTCTTCATTACCAGCGAACACTGTCCCTGGCCCACAACACTTTAGTACACAGAAAAGAGATGGGCCTGTCTGCGTGGAAAAAAAATCGACTGTAGAAATCTGTACTAGAAATCGAATTTACCAGTACCGTATTTATTTATTTTTGTCCTGTGAAAAGGGATAATTTTTGGAGATGCACCGATAATAAAATTTCTCAGCGAAAAATTATAAATTATACCGATAGCTGATTATTCAGAATGATATCTGCCGATACCGATAGTTTGCTTTTCTTAATGGGAAAAAAACGGTCTCTCTCAACTAATGCTTTAAACTGTACTGGGGACCCGTTCATTTGGTACACTACATTACTATAATATTAGTGGTTAAAATTAACAACAGAGCCCAACCTATTATATTGAACTGCTAGTTATTTTCAGATATAATAATAACACTGAAATAATTAAAAGCTGAAATGTGTGTGTACTCATTTGCACATAAAGTTTTCATAAACACCTGTCTTCAAACATACATTTATAATTAACAGTCAATAAGGTCCTCTCTAGTGTTTATTTATAGCTAATTATCTGTGAACATTGGATTACTTTCCTGAGGTAAATGCAATGTTTAGTGACATTGTTCACAAGCTGTTTTATTGACATGTCTCCGTGGTTGAAACACAGATTGAGTGATTACATGAGATGTGATTCATTTCAGTAAGTTGTACTTTATCTTTCAACATATCTTTTTATTGTTCATGCATGTTTTTTCGTGCTACAGTATTAAAGTGGAAGAAAAGACTCGCTCTCCACACTGCCGCTTAAACCGGGGCACTACAGCGATCTCACGTCACATTTAAAGGGACAGTTCACCCAAAAATGATCCCATAGTTTACTCACCCTCAAGCTATTATAGGTGAATATGACTTTCTTCTTTCAGCCAAACACAATCAGAGTTATATTAAAAAATATCCTGACTCTTCCCAGCTTTATAATAGGAGTGAATAGTACCTTGTTTTTTGAAGCCCAAAAAAGCGCATCCATCCATCATAAAAGTAATCTATACGGCTCCAGGTGGTTAATAAAGGCCTTCTGAAGTCAAGCGGTGCGTTTTTTGTAAGAAGAAAAAAAAATCCATAATTATAACTTTATAAACTGTAATCACTAGCTTGCGGTAACGTCCGTCCGCGCGTTCACAAGAAAGTCAAGATCTGGCGTATGACGTAGGACTTAAGCGTAGCATTGAGACTGCCTCTCGCAGGTCAAACAAACAGGGCTGGGCAACAAACTCAAGCTCTTTTGACATTTCTTTTTAACAATTCTGGTTTTAGACTTCTAATTTGTGACCAATCTACTATTCACTCCCATTATAAAGCTTGGAAGAGCCAGGATATTTTGTAAAATAACTCATTGTGTTTGGCTGAAAGAAAGTCATATACATCTATGATGGCTTGAGGGTGAGTAAACTATGGGATAATTTTCATTTTTGTGTGAACTAACCCTTTAAATGTGATGTGAGATCGCTGAAATTAATCACTTCTCATTTTTTGGGTGAACTAACCCTTTAAGAGCATCAAAACACCATTTATTGTTTGGATTTTGTAATCAAATAGACAGAATTTGAAAGCGGAGACTTTGTTTCTTATCAGAAGTAACAAAGCACAACGCTCTTTGCAATTGTTGGATAGAAAATGCGCTAAATATAAAGATATAAATGTAAATAATGGTGTAGGGAAAAAACCGCAGACCTGGCAACCATTGCTTGAACTACATGTGATTTTTCTTTAACTTCAACAGGCCTAAATTCAACACAAGGAGATTTTCTTCACACACAGTATGAGTTGCAGTCTGACACGTTTTTCCGCCTCCTTTTGATTAACGGGATATAATCGTCCCTGATCCTCAGCTATGAAAATAATTGCTTTTGTCGGCCGATACAGATTATTGGCCGATACATCGGTGCATCCCTAACAATTTTAACTCTTACTCTTTCTTTAGTTCATTCTTTAAAGCTGATGATGACGACGCCCCCATCAAACGCTGTCCTAAGTGTAAAGTCTACATAGAAAGAGACGAGGGCTGTGCCCAGATGATGTGTAAGAACTGCAAGCATGCTTTCTGCTGGTACTGCCTGGAGTCTCTGGACGTAAGTACACAGTGTCCAAAATATCTCAGCTTAACACTCTTAACGTCATGCTGCGATCTTACTGTATTTTTATTGGCCATGTGCGCACCACTGAGGCCGTAAATGCAACAGTGTCCTTCATGCAGCTGTCCCGAACCCCCACGTAGATAATGACCGGCCTCTTGTAAATTGTGTGTTTGACAGGACGACTTCCTCCTGATCCATTATGACAAAGGACCCTGTCGGAACAAATTAGGCCACTCCAGAGCCTCGGTGATCTGGCACAGAACACAGGTGGGTGCTCATGGGAAGGAGCACACGTTTTCTTACCCATTTTCTTTTCTCTGCAGTGTTCAAAACGAGTACACGTGCATCCACACGTGACCAAGTCATAGGCGTCCATTCAGACACAAGCGTTTGTTCATGAAGTAAGTAGTTGTCTGGTTCGAGCAGGTGATGCTTGCTGTTGCACAGCAGATTATATGTCTCTTTGGGACAAATTCACTAAAATTATTCATCAAATGATGGAGAAGAGCAGTAGAATCTGCCATATATTTAGAACAGTTTAGACTAGCACATCTTAAAAGACCAACTCGGGTACTCCCACCTCCCTTCCTTTTTCTTTTGTTAGACTAAATAATGATAGGAGAATATCACATTTGAAAAGGCTGATTTAAAAAAAGAATAATACTGAGAAAATATCAACCTCTTTCTTGGATTAAAGGCATATACAAAAAAACATTCAACACAAGGCTCATTAGTCCCACTGTCCATTATGTATTTCTTAATAGCTTTGAAAAAAATATTTTTTTTTATGGTTCAAAAATCAGCACAAATAGTGTTGAAAAAAAGCCTTTAAGCGATGCCATTAGGAACTGAGAAACATAGTATGCAGAAGTCTGTTTGAATCAACCCTCCAAAACTCCTTGTTTCCTTTCTTGAAATATGACACAACTTCATAAATAATATTTATATATACACACACAGTATATGTGTGTGTGTGTGTGTGTGTGTATGTATATATGCATATACAGGTGAAACTCGAAAAAAATTAATATCGTGCAAAAGTCCATTTATTTCAGTAATTCAACTTAACGGTGAAACTAATATATTATATAGACTCATTACATGCAAAGTGAGATATTTCAAGCCTTTTTTTTGTTATAATTTTGATGATTATGGCTTGCATCTATGAAAACCTCAAATTAAAAATTAGAATATTGTGAAAAAGTTTTCATATCTGTAAGCCATAATCATCAAAATTATAACAAATAAAGGCTTGAAATATCTCACTTTGCATGTAATGAGTCTATATAATATATTAGTTTCACCTTTAAAGTGAATTATTGAAATAAATGGACTTTTGCACGATATTCACATTTTTCGAGTTTCACCTGTATATGGTTTACAGCATATTCTTTATGAAGTGTATGAAGTTGTGTTATGTATATGTATATATACATAATATTATATATATATATATATATAATGTTTAATTTATAATTATAATTCGAAATTACTTTTAATATTAAATATGTATTAATATGTATCATGGTACCATTTGTTATGCTAAGGTAAATTTTCCTGATTTAAAAAAAAACATTGTATCAGGAATATTTTAATTACAGCATTAATTTAGCATTCATATTTTTGTAATTTATAATAATCACAGTTTTGAGGGAAAATGAGCTTAATAGTTATGAAAATGTGTCAATGCAACAAAAAAACCTTAATGATAATTTTTTTCTTTTTGCAATATGTTTCTTTTGTTTTTCCTTTTCATTTTAAGGTGTAATTCTGATACCCTTATTCACCTTATAAACCTTGAGTTTCACACGCTCGTCGTTTCATATGCTGAACATAATGTTGAAAAGGTGAGATGGCCCTGAAACTATGGAGAGCTTTCAGTACTTTTGCACAAAGACATCTGTTGCTCTGCAGGGAGGAGTGAGTCATATTAAGACTCGTAAGAGCGCAGCGGCTCTGCTCCAGCCCTATGAGTTTGAATTTTACAACGTTTCAGCCGAGCAGCATCAGAAATTTGATTCTTTATGAATTAGTAAAGACGGAGCTGCCGGTCCAGGGTTTGAACCTCAGGGTTTGGCAACACTCTTCCATTACGCCACTCTACTCTCCTCCTCCTCTCATGCCATTCCACACAAGAGCTCTGAGAAAAAAGAGACATAAAATGGAGGGACATTTACATAGAAACAGAAATAGTGTGCAACGCTATAATTTGTCCCATGATAAATGGGTATTGTCATCTTCGGAATGCTGAGAAGATTCCGCATGAAGGAATAGAGGTTTATTGTATCCTATTCCCTGTTCAGAATTCAGAGATTGTTTTGCATCCAGAGAAAATTAGTTTTACATGGTGCTCCTACAGTGATGTGAAATATGTGTAATTTTGTTGGCCCATGACATTGACAGAATCTATATAGTTCATGCATAAGATGAACTCAATCTCTGTTCCATTTTGTAACGGTTATAAATTCTAAGGATCTGACGCCCCTATGTGGTGGAAGATGATGCAGCATCAGAACAGTGGATTTTTGTTTACTTGGACATTTTTGCCCTTTTTTGTTTTATTTCTGTTCCGTTTCTTACCTTTATTGATTGCAGAGTAGAAAGAGTACTAGAAATGATGGTGAGAAGGAGGATGAGCAAGATTAGGAAAGAAATGTGTTTATATTGTCTTGTTTTTACTAGTTATTTATCTTGTGATCATTTCAATTTAAATAAGAAACGAAATGACTCAAGCTTACACTTTATTTTAAGGTGTACTTGTTAGAGTGTAATTATACATTTTAAATACTGCGTAATATTAATTAACTACATCTACTTACTATAGGGTTATTATGGTTAGGATTGGGGTTTGGTTGTGTGTAATCATGCATATTAACTATTACTATAACATTACTATAGTAACTACATGTAACGTTGTGGCAATGAAGAAAATCTGTGCCGCGAGTCACATAATTGATTGTTTACTTTCACTGTCACGTTACGCAAAATGGGAGGAGTATGTCAAACAAATTAACGTTAATCACGGAAGGAAATTGAATATAAGGAAGTGTGTCGTACCTGGGAAAGGCGTCACCCGTTTGTGCATTGAGAAGTTTAGTGAAATCGTGACGGATCGTTGGGGAGAGACGGCCGCTTGTCGATCTGTTGTTTCCTGTGGTTGAAGTCTGGTGCGTCGCGAAAGTCGGTGCATTCCCAGACAAACAATGATGGAGCTGTTTTAAAGACAAGCCAAAGCTGCTGTATCCGCCTATCCTAGTGTCGAAGAGGACACTCGACTCACTACACCTGTTTCTTGCCTGCAAATGTGGTCAGTACCGCTGCGACGCCATACACACATTACGCACACACCCACTCGCATTTCACTTTTGCACATTCAGTGTGCTTAGTTGTTTTTCATAATTTGGTGTTGCCTGTTAAAATGATTGTTTGCTGTTGGTGATTTACAACAAAATGAATGAGTTGTTTACTTTTTTTCTTTTTTCCTTTCATATGAACAATTGTGAATGAATGTGGACACGAATCTGCCAACGTGGATTAGTGACGCGATGGGACGCGTGGATGTTGCGTTGATGTTGCGTTGAAGTGAAGACGTGGGAAGTTTTGCACGGATTTAAAGAAACGTCAGAGATGAGATATACCGTGGAACTTTTTGTGTGTTATTAGTATTATTATGAATAAATATCCTTTGTGAAATGATTTTTCTTTTTTGATTATTACTATAATTTTTTTTTTGTGTAACAGGTGGTTATTTTTTGGCTATCCTGGGTTCATTTAAATTTTGACAGGTTTTATCCTGTCTGGCGCCCGAACTTTTCTTTAAAGTCATTTATTTGTATAAGGGCGGCCACCACCGTTACAGAGTGGCGCCCGAACAGGGACATGAACATGAACACTTGAACATTTGAATTTGAGCACTGTGGAACCTAGTGAAATTGAACTTTGGACATTTTCATTTTGAACATTTTGGAACTGTTTGTGAACTGTGAACAATTTACTTGGAGAAAAAAAAAGAAAAAAAAACACTCTGAGACCCTGTGACTGTAAACTTTATATGTGATGGAAAATATTTTTTGGGTTGTGTAAACTGTGAACGCTAATTAGAGTGCTATCTCTTAGGTGTCACAGAAATTGAGATAAGTGAAGGTGACTTACTTTGAATGCTTTTTGTTTCTGACTTAATGTTTTTTTTTGTTGAAAATATTGATTGAACATTTGTGAAAAGTTGTATTTTGTTGTTTTGGAAAAATTTGGGGGAACAAACAAACTGACACACATCTCATTTACTGATACATTTATTTATTTTCACACCCAACATTCTTACACTCCAACACTCATGGCAAATACCCCTCCTTCCCAATCTACTTTTGTGGAAATGGAGCCTCCACCAGACATCTCAACTCCAGTATGGCCGCCCGTACTGCGACCTCGGATGCCTCTGGTGCCACCTTCAAGTGCTCCTGCCTTTTACCATACCCCTATTCCATTCAGCCCTGGTCATCCTGGAACCCATGTGCACACGTCTTTTCCTGCTCTGGCTGGCAGCACTCCAGTGCAAACCCTCACCTGGGCACCACAAGTGGATAACATGCAAATTTGTACTTCATCTGAAGGTGGAACTCCTTCTTCAGTGGCACAACATGATCTACCCAGCATTTTACCGACTCCTGGAAGGGAAATACAACAAGTCACTGCTCGGGTTCAAGGGAACTGGGATACCTTGTTTGATTTAATGACAAGACAAGAAAAAAGAGTGAATGAACTTACCAAGGAAGTGAAAGAAACTTCTTCTTATCACAAGAGTCAGATTGCTGATCTTGCTGCAAAAGTGGAGGATAACAAAAGTCAAGTTTTCACTCTGTTTACTACCACTAAGCAACAAGAGGAGTCTGAAGCAGACAAACTGATTAAAACAATTAAGCTAATGATCACTGGAGAACTCCAAAAGGTGGAAACTACCTTGGTGTCTGAACTACGCTTCATGGTTGATCAGCTCCAGTCAGAGGTTCAGCAGGACATCAAAGCTGTTCAAAACGTATTTCAAACAAGCCAGGATAAGATGAATTCACAACTCCAACAATGTGTTACACAGACTGATCAATGTCTCACCAGTTTTAAAGAATTGAAAATTGAAGTGGAAAAAGGATTTCAAAGTGTCAAAGAAAGTGCGGATCAACGAAAGTTAAGTGTATTGACACCATCAGATCCTAGCACCACCACTTCATCTCTGCCATCTGTTTCTGCTCCAGTGACATCATCTTCTTCAACCCCTCTTTCAACATCTGTGGTTAAGAGTGACCATATAAGATTAACTTTCCCCACTTTTGGAAGGCCTTCAGACGATGCAGACCCCCTACTGTACTTAACCAAATGTCAGGATTTCATGGCTTTACATCCCCTGACAGATGCAGACATCTTGGCTACCTTCCGTACTGTCCTATACGGAACAGCACGTGACTGGTGGGAAGTCAGACGGTCCAACATAACCACCTGGAATGAGTTTGAGGCTGCATTCTTATCTGCTTTCCTTTCTGAGGATTATGAGGACGAACTGGCAGAACGTATCCGTACTAGAATTCAGAAAGAGACAGAAACTATTAGAGACTTTGCGTTTTCTTACAGAGCTCTCTGTAAAAGATGGAAGGCCGATCTTACAGAAGGTGAGATTGTGAAGATACTAAAGAATATAAAGCCATACCTTGCAAGCCAATTACGTAGCCGAGTGAACACTGTGGAGGAGATGGTAAAACTAGGACATCAACTGGAGAAAGATTATGAACAACAGCTTCGTTATGACTGTGGTCGAATGGGCCCAAAGCATCTACCCACATCACCACGATCTTCCTCAAACCAACCTGCTGAGAAAATCCCAGTTCAATGTTGGAGATGTAGAGGACAGCATCCACCAGGAAAATGTCCACACTATACCTCTCCACAGTCACCTCAGACATCTGGTCCACAGTATTACACCAGTGGCAAACATCCTTATCACCCGAAGTCAAGTGGTCACCCTTCCAACAACTCTGTTGCTGCAACTAGGATGCATAAGTCACCATCCGCAAGTAAGAAAACCTCATCCTCAACTGCAAGCTCTAATGAACATGTAGCGGTACCTCAACAATTAGTTGTTCCCCTTTGTATTGATGCCTGGTCAGGTAAGGCCATTTTGGACACTGGTGCAAGCTTCACACTCATCCATGAGAATCTCATGAGGCAGCTTACCTCACCAGACCAGCTCCAACCATGGTCTCGTGGTCCTCTTTATCTGGCAAATGGAAAAGCAGAGACACCATTAGGATGGCTGTACACCACAATTCATTTACATGACCAAGCATTTACCTTACCTACTGCTGTACTTTCCTCCCAAGCTCTAGCCTATGCTGTAGTCTTGGGGTTGGACTTTATTTTCTTCAGTGGCCTGCAACTCAATGTCATTGATCAGAAATACTCCTTCAAGCTTGATCCTTCAAAAGAGTACCCCTTTCAACCAGGAAATCCAAGTGTGCCAAATCTAAGTCCCCAAAACGAGAGGAGTCAACTTAGAACAGCCACACAAAACCTTTCCTTGTTAACTTCTGTTCCCCCTCTATCATCGCCATTGCAAATTCAACCACTTGACAGTATTGATGAAAATGCATTGATAAAAAAAACTGTGGACGCTGCTCATTTACCCTTGGAAGGTAAGCTACAGTTACTCCAAATCCTGGAAGGCCGCCCTCAGGTATGCACACTCCGTACTGGACGTACTGAGGTTCTCCAACACCGCATCTATGCCACCAGCCAAGTACCGATCAAACAACGACCATACCGTTTGTCTCCCATCAAGCAACTTGCACTGGATGAGCAACTTGACGAAATGTTGAGACAAGGAATAGTTGAACCCTCCCACTCTGGTTGGGCATCACCAGTGGTCTTAGTACCTAAAAAAGACGGCAAACTGAGATTCTGTGTGGATTACAGAAAAGTCAATTCTGTAACTGAAAGTGACGCTTACCCTCTTCCCAATATCACAGAAATTCTGGAATCCCTCTCTGGGGCAGCCATCTTTTCTACTATTGATCTCAACAGTGGATATTGGCAGGTGACCATGGACCCCAATAGCAAAACCCAGACAGCCTTCATCACTCCTTCAGGTCTCTATCAATTTAATGTTATGCCGTTTGGGCTCAAAAATGCTCCCGCAACTTTTCAGAGGCTCATGGAGACAGTCCTGGGAGAACTAAGGAGGAAAATATGCTTTGTGTACATCGATGACATCATTGTGTACTCGCCTACAATAACACAACATTTCCATGACCTCCAGGCTGTCCTCCATAGACTAGAGACAGCTGGTCTCACCATAAACTTGAAAAAAAGTAAATTCTGTCTTCAAGAACTCAACTTCCTAGGACATGTTGTAAGTGTCAAGGGCATTTCAGCAGACCCTTGTAAGACTGAAGCCATTTATGCCTACCCTGTGCCTACAAACTTAAAGGAAGTTCAGCGTTTCCTCGGGTTAGCGGGGTGGTATCACAGGTTTGTTCCAAATTTTTCTAAGATTTCTGAACCCCTTAACGCACTGAAAAAAAAGGGACATAGTTACAAATGGACAACCCAGTGTCAACAAGCGTTTGACCAACTCAAGACTTGCCTCACCTCACCACCTATTCTTGGCCATCCCGATCTTCAGCGTCCATTCATCGTGTACACCGATGCCAGTGACACCGGTCTGGGTGCCATATTAGCACAACGGAAGGATGCTGGCAGAGAGGAGGTTATCGCCTATGCAAGTCGAACCTTAACTGGGGCTGAACTCAATTACACTGCAACAGAGAAAGAATGTCTGGCAGTCATCTGGGCCCTGGAAAAGTGGCAACATTACTTGGAGCACAAGCTTTTTACAGTTGTTACCGACCATGCTGCACTGCAATGGGTCATGAACTCCACCAAAACCACCAGCCGCCTCATTCGTTGGGTTCTGCGATTGCAGAAATTCGATTTTGTTATTGAGTACCGAAAAGGGAAGCTAAATGTAGCTCCGGATGCTCTATCCAGGTCTTCATATACCCCAGGATGTAACCTATACACCAGCGGAAAAGACCCAGCACTGCCTGTGTCAGATGTTGTCCTATGGGAAGAACAGCACAAAGACCCTGAAGTTTCAAAATTATTGCAAGCAGTTGCAGATAATTGTGCCAGTCTGATTGACCAGTATGAAATTATTGAGGACAAATTGTATCATAAAACATACCTGTCAAATAACCAACTGCATTACAGAATCTACGTTCCCAGCACTCTGAGATCCACCCTTCTCCAGCATTATCACTCCACTCCCATGAGTGGCCATGGCGGAATCTACAAGACCTATAAACGACTTCAGGAAGTAGCATTCTGGCCTGGCATGTGGACAGCCGTAAAACAGCATGTGAGAACCTGTGTAAAATGTCAGACTCTGAAAAGTGATAACCGAAAACCTGCTGGAAAGTTACAGCAATTCACTACCAGCCGCCCAAACCAAATGCTGGGAGTCGACCTCATGGGACCATTACCCCGTAGCACAAATCAAAATGAATACCTGTTGGTTTTTGTCGATTACTATTCCCGATGGGTTGAGTTGTTTCCCATTCGCAATGCCACAGCCAAGAATATCGCCACCATCTTCAGGAAAGACATCCTAACACGGTGGGGCGTACCGGATTTCATTCTCTCAGATAGAGGCGCTCAGTTTGTTTCATCTGTTTTTAGAGAACTATGTGAGAACTGGAGTGTTACTCCTCAGTTAACTACAGCCTATCACCCACAGACCAACATGACCGAAAGAGTAAATCGAACTCTCAAGAGCATGATGGCAGCCTATGTGGATGACAATCACCAGAAATGGGACCAATTCTTACCAGAATTCAGATTCGCCCTTAATTCAGCTGTTCAAGAGACCACTGGACTAACCCCAGCAGAACTCCAGCTTGGTAGAAAACTCCAAAGTCCAATGGACAAAATACTCTGTGGGCCTAATCTAACTCCAGACGCTGCCTCCTATGATGTAGTTCATCATCTCCATCACCTGCAAGCTCAAGCCAAAGAGAATAGCAAGAAAGCCAAAATGAGACAATTGCGAAATTATAACAAGAATAGAAGAGATGAACTATTCAAAAACAAAGACCGAGTGTGGTTGCGCAACTTTCCTCAGTCTAATGCACAGCGTAAATTTAGTGCAAAACTAGCACAAAAATGGAAAGGTCCTTACCGTATTCTCCAGCAGCTGGGTCCTGTGAACTACCAAATAGCCCTTGAAGACACAGGAGAAGATGTACGCACAGCTCACGTTTGCAACTTGAAAATGTGTTATCCAACGGATGCGGAAATTGAATTACAGGAAAAAGCGAAACTCCTGGATCTATTCCAAGAAACCTCAGATGACGAAGATTTTCTAGGATTTTAATTGTTGGTTTCTCTCTCTTTTAAACAACCATGGGTTGTTTTCTTCTAGGGGGGGGAGAGTGTGGCAATGAAGAAAATCTGTGCCGCGAGTCACATAATTGATTGTTTACTTTCACTGTCACGTTACACAAAATGGGAGGAGTATGTCAAACAAATTAACGTTAATCACGGAAGGAAATTGAATATAAGGAAGTGTGTCGTACCTGGGAAAGGCGTCACCCGTTTGTGCATTGAGAAGTTTAGTGAAATCGTGACGGATCGTTGGGGAGAGACGGCCGCTTGTCGATCTGTTGTTTCCTGTGGTTGAAGTCTGGTGCGTCGCGAAAGTCGGTGCATTCCCAGACAAACAATGATGGAGCTGTTTTAAAGACAAGCCAAAGCTGCTGTATCCGCCTATCCTAGTGTCGAAGAGGACACTCGACTCACTACACCTGTTTCTTGCCTGCAAATGTGGTCAGTACCGCTGCGACGCCATACACACATTACGCACACACCCACTCGCATTTCACTTTTGCACATTCAGTGTGCTTAGTTGTTTTTCATAATTTGGTGTTGCCTGTTAAAATGATTGTTTGCTGTTGGTGATTTACAACAAAATGAATGAGTTGTTTACTTTTTTTCTTTTTTCCTTTCATATGAACAATTGTGAATGAATGTGGACACGAATCTGCCAACGTGGATTAGTGACGCGATGGGACGCGTGGATGTTGCGTTGATGTTGCGTTGAAGTGAAGACGTGGGAAGTTTTGCACGGATTTAAAGAAACGTCAGAGATGAGATATACCGTGGAACTTTTTGTGTGTTATTAGTATTATTATGAATAAATATCCTTTGTGAAATGATTTTTCTTTTTTGATTATTACTATAATTTTTTTTGTGTGTAACAGGTGGTTATTTTTTGGCTATCCTGGGTTCATTTAAATTTTGACAGGTTTTATCCTGTCTGGCGCCCGAACTTTTCTTTAAAGTCATTTATTTGTATTAGGGCGGCCACCACCATTACAACGTGTAACAAGGACACTGTAAAACAAAGTGTTACAACTCAATATATTAAGGAAAGGTTCAATGAAAAGTAAAGATTCTGTCATAATTTACTCATCCAAATTTTTTAAGAATTTTCCACAATTTGAAAAGTATATTATATTGCAAAGTGGCCGTATACAAACAACAAAAAACATGAATTTATTCAACACTATACTAAAATACAATTCAATTTCTGAATTAAAATTAATTTTCATATTTTTTGGAGGACTTAAAGTAAAAGAAAATCAAAGTGTCTTTTATTCTTTTCATTCTTTATTCATTATGATATAAAGTCTCGACTTTTTATTGAATTTAGTTTGTGTGTGTATATATATATATATATATATATATATATATATATATATATATATATATATATATATATATATATATATATATATAAAATGTGTATACTCAAAAGTTTTCAGTTTGTAAGGAAAATGTATTATTAGTTTTACTTGATGGTTAAACCACATGACATTAAATTTAAACTTGTCTTGAAAATGGTATAGAAGTTTTTCCAAACTAATATGAAACCAACTTGAATGCAAAAAGTACAAGAAAACTTGTATGTGTTTTAACTATTTTTCTTTGTGGACACTCTTTCATATCATTGACGTTAATGACGTTTTCATCTCTTTCTCCACAGGTTGTTGGAATCTTTGCTGGTTTCGGCCTCCTCTTACTGGTAGCCTCTCCGTTCCTGCTTCTAGCTACACCATTCGTGCTGTGCTGTAAGTGCAAGTGCAGTAAAGGCGACGATGACCCTTTACCCACCTAACAGCTTGGCGTGAGCAGTCCCTGTACGAGGAATTCCGGTCATCTCCTTTAATCCTTTTTCTTTTCCTCCTCCGCCTTCGAGCTCTTCATCAACCGGTGGGACTTGCGCATTTGAAGCCGCAACACGAGCCATCTCACGCCACGGTTACTGTCACAGCTAGCTGAGTAGGCTCCATCCCCACAGGCCCGATGAGACTAAAGCAGACCTCATGAGGCTGCTGCTTGCTTAGGTGGGGGATTCGACAGGTGGGGGTTCCCTTACCGCACCCCTCAGACGTTACCGAAAGAGCACAGTGCTGTTCCATCCGGGCGCTTGACTATTTTGTGGATGTTTTGCATATGTGGCTCTTATGGAGGGTTCTGTTCTAACAGAAAATATATTCAGTGTGTTTGTCTGTCTGTTTCTATGTTCATAGTAGCATTTCAGTCACATGGCCTATTCTTTTATTACTTGTTTTACACAGATAAGGGGCTTTTCTGTCACTTTTAAATTCTCTAAAGGGAGTAGATTTCATTTCTTGGCTCAAATATACAGCTTAATACTACTTTACATGTTTATTAAAAGCTAAATTGTAGATTCAAAACGTTTTAATAGCACTTTCTTTTTGTTTTTGTTCTGTTCATGTCACTTCATTGTCTTTCAGTCTTAAACTCCAGATAAACCTAGTTTGATTTAGCTGATTTTGGCTGTTGATGTTTGCCAACGAAATTTCTCTCAGTGCACTTAAATACAATTTTTAGCCTTGAGATTGAGTCACTGACGTCCCTGGATTTAAAGCATAAATATGATTCCAAAGCAGGGCTTTTGTGTGAGTTTACAATGCCAAATATTGGCCCACTGAAAGTGTCGCTCAAGTGGCAATTAAAGGCTTATCTGAACACCCAACATCTAAATGCGAACTGTCAAAATACTGCAACCAAATAGAAAGTTTTTTAAGCTCTTTCAAATTTAAAAAAATAAAAAAATAAATTTGTTTCCTTTTTTTGTAGCTAAAGTTGAACTTAGAATTCTTAGAATTGAGAATTGTATTCTTTTTTATTTATTTTTCTCAGATAGTAAAGTTTGTATCTCTCACAGCATTTGAGATTTTGGAACAGTCACTGTAATTCAGACTGGGATTATACACTGATTTTTAAAGACTGTTTGGCTTAAACATATTTACAAGTCCAGCACTGTATCTATGCAAGTTCATATAACTTGTGGTTTCTGCTGTCTTGAACTGAATGGATTATATGGGCAAGTTAGTGTGTTTTAGTTAAAAGGAAGAATATATCAAATTATGTTCAACAGTTTCTGAAAAGCCATTAAAAATACTTTTTTTTTTCTTTCATTTAATAGACTGGTTTTAAAATATAGGTATGAGACTGATTGTCAACATCTTGCCTGCACCACCTGGAATAGCAAGTGTATGTTGTATGATATGTACTTAGAAATATTCAAATCAGAGCACCTGCCATATGTGTAGCTGTATAATATGTAGCTCATTAGGTTTCCTGAAAATCCTTGGTGCGATTTCATCATCTGCCATTTTTCGTTCATGTTATGTAATTGAATTGTGCCATATCGGAGGTTGATATGACAAAGTGAATGTTTTTTCTTTTGTAACACAACATTTCTTTATCCTTCTGGAACCCACAGTATTTATAAAGTTGATTTCTGGTGAATATTTCATGTTATTTACCTCCATCCTTTGGTAGCAACCTGCATTATCCTGTTTTAGCCTTAAAGTTTTTGAGTACCTCACTGGTTTTCTCTCCTGTAGCTGAGAGCTTTGTTTTTTTGTTTTATTTTATAATTATTTGTTTATGTATTTATCCTCAGGTCCTCTTAGATTAATAATTTTGGCACTTCTTTTGAACTTGTGTGATGTTTAAAGGTATACCTTTATGCATATGTATCTAAAATACATATGCATATGGGTGGTGATGGCGCAGTGGATAAGACACATGCCTGTGGTGTGAGAGACCCGGGTTCGAATCCACTGCGAGACACCAATGTGTCCCTGAGCAAGACACTTAACCCCTAGTTGCTCCAGAGGCGTGCGACCTCTGACATATATAGCAATTGTAAGTCGCTTTGGATAAAAGCGTCAGCTAAATGAATAAATGTAAATGAATAAATGTAAATGTAATGTAAAATGTTGTGATATAGATGAAATGGCCATGATATAGATCTCAAAATTGATTTTGGTACATTATTCTGAAGTAAGAATCAGCATGATAAAATTAAAGCACAGCATCATTGTCAGTTATGAATAGCACACAAGTTACTCGATCCAGCTGAATCTAATTATGCTCATTATTCAGCAACATTTGGCCATTTCATGTAAAGTAATGCTTATATATACATGAATATATTGACAATCATGCCAAGCAGGTTTTTAAGACATTGATGAGGGAACATTTTTTGACAGTGGGTAAATATGTACTCAAAGCAGAACTCCGATGTTGTATGGGCTTTATAAATTTAGCTGCTTGTATATTTTGTTTTTGTTGTGATACTGCATTTGATGTTCTTTTTTATTGCATACTGTGATTATGAAATATTAGTTGTACAATATAACCGTTTCCTTCAGGGTTATTGAATTCAGTCAAGTGCTGTTTTTATTCACTTTTTTGTTTTTTTGGGTCATGTTTCCATTTGAAATGTCATTTGTTCCTATTCCTAAATCTAATTAGAAATAATTGTGGCTTTACATGTAAACTGGGAAATACTCCTTGACGTACACTATAGATCTTGCAAACAACCAAAAACTGTATGGTTCCTGTTTGTAGGAATTTGCTTGTTGCACAAAACTTAGCCTTGCAGATTGGTTTTTATATTTCCAGATGAAACTCCTGTAAGCTCTTATAGTTTGGAGTTAGAGCAAGAATTTGGAAAGCATGTCTTTCTTTTTCTTTTTCACCACAGTGGTCTGATGTTTGTATTGATGTCTGTCTTCCACACTTGACTTTTGCCTATTCCAAATATTAATTAGGCCTATTATTTGACTTGTACCCCTGTAAAACATGACTGGGTTTTTAGGGACCTTGGCTTTGCCATTGCTTTTAAAACTAGTTTTGCCTTTCACTCTTCCTTAGATGGCCTTTTTATGTATCATGTGTTTGTTTTTGATACGTCATAAAGAAAATATGTGTTTTATTCTCTATAAATCAGAACCAAATTCCACTTGTACAGTTGTATGTAAAATTGCATGTATGTGAAGTCTTGAGGATAAAAAAAATCCAACTACAAAAACAACATATTTTGTATCATCTGTGCCACTAACACTGTGACATTAAAATGTATTCATGTTCATATTTTCCTGTTATTTTGTTTATATTTGGATTTTGTTATAATGTCAATAAAACTGTTTAGTAGGCCACTGTTGAAAAAATATACCATTAAAAACATAGATTAAAAAATATGTAAATTCAGGATGTTCTGAAAAATAAAACAATGTTTGCCAAATATGGCTAAGTAAAATAATTTCATTCAGATTTTCATTTAATAATTTCATATAATTAGGCAACTGCTTTGCACTTTTAGTTTAGTTGAATATATGTTTTAAAATTGTAAAGAAATGGAATGTTGTTGGATGACAAAAAGCAGTATATTTAATTAACGTAATGTTCTGGGTAAAACGATGAATGAAAAGGCCCCTCTTTGTTTTTGTTTTTAGTTTTTTTTACTTTTCTCAGTTTTATTGGTGTGCCTTGCTTTATTACTTATTTAATTATTTAAATGTCATAAATCATGTTCCAAAAAAAAAAAGAAGAAGCACGATCCCGGTAGTAAATCGAATTTAAAAATAAATTCAAAATAAAAGTTCCCTTTTCCTGTGAATTCAATCGTCTCCCGGAAGTAGAGTCGGTGGAATTCTTCCTCAGATTGATATCGCAGCAGAATCCAGCGCAAATGTGCAGGAAGGACTGAGACCAGCTGAAAGCTGTGGCTGTTCGACGTGTATTATCTCATTTTTATGGACATTCAGCATTCACCCGGATCCTATCCTGTCAAATATTATACTATCTGATGCCTTCTTTCATAGTCGCGTCTAATAACCTAAGCCGAACAGAAGGTGCTCGTGAATATAGGTAAATAGCGGACAGTAAGTCGGATGTTGACAGCATAGAACTTACGTTACCACCCAAACATGGTGCTTTGACCGAAGTGATGCTGCATCGCCAGTATGGAGTCTTTAATATTTTATTTAGTGCTGTTAGCTCCACTTCTTGTCTATTCTGCTGTGAAGCCAGCCTCTTTTGAAGAAGACTTGAGAAATCAGGAAGAGGTACAAGAGTTTGGTAAGTTACTCTGAGAAAGCTAACATTATTTAAATTGGCTCAACAAGGAAATACGATTTCAAACTACTAAATATACTGGTTTCTTAAATGGGGTTATATATATATATATGTATGGGTTATCTTGCTTTGTAAGTTCAGTCTTCCTTCCTTTTCCTGTTTTGACTCAGTCATGACTGCTTATGTTAGATCATTTCCTCAAACAGGGAAGGTGCTGTATTTGCAGACTGAATGGAAAGGCATTTTGATATGCTTCTCTTGCAGTAGAGTCTATGTTTGGGGTCACTGTATGATCATATAAATAAACTTAAAGTCTGTAGTACTGACCATGGAATATTTAATCTTTAATGTGTTGTTTTGTGATTTAAAAGGTGTGTGTGTGATGGCAAATAGTTGTGTTCTGCTGGAATGGGCAACGATTAATCGTGATTAATCGCATCCAAAATAAAAGTTTGTTTACACATAATATATGTGTGAGTAGTGTGTATAATTATTTTGTATATATAAATAGATTTGCATGTATATATTTAAGAAATATTTGCATGTATATACTACTGTATATATATATATATTGTATATATATATATATACATAATTGATATTATATATAAATATTTTATATATTTATAACTCATTCTTCTTAAATATATGTGTGTATTTATATATACAAAATAATTATACACACACACATATATTATGTAAACACAAACTTTTATTTTGGATGCAATTAATCGTTGCCCATCCCTACGTATGTGCATTACTTTATCCAGATGCGCTCAGCTCCTTACTGTCAGACTATGATGTGGTGCCTGCATCAGGACTCCAGCTTCACTCGCTCAGGAAGAGGGATGTTGATGCCCGGTCACATGTGGAGCGGCTGGTCAGCTTCACAGCTCTCCGGAGGTAAAGCTAACAGATCCACACATGACTCTCTCTTGCTATTACATGGCAGATCATGTGATAATCTGTTTGTTTATTCATTTATTCTCTAAACATCCCTGATTTCTATGTATATATATATATATATATATAATATATATATAGTGTATTTGTGTTATTTATTTTTATTCTATATCTATTTTTTTAATTGCTTTTGTTAATCTCTTATGACCACCCCTGACATATTATAATAATATCTTTATATATATATATATATATATATATAATTATCTATATTATTTTTATTTTTATTTTTTTATGTGTGAGAGTGTTTGTGTTATTTTCTCTGGCCACCTCTGACCTCAATTAATGATTTTGAGGCTGATTCTTATTTGAGATTTTCACTGCACTAAAAACATGTTTATTACATCTTTTTTCAAAGGCACTTCAATCTGTACTTGACAACAAACACAGAACTTTTCACGGACAACTTCAAGGCTGTTTTCGTAGATGAGAATGGAAAAGAGGACCAATATGATATTCAGTTACAGAATTACTTTAAAGGACACGTAGTGGGTAAGACATGCGATAAGAAAATTCAGTTCTCGGCCGAGGCTAATAACCTCGTTTTTCATCCATGATTGTTTGCTATCCCAACAGGAGAGGAGCACTCCCGAGTGCAAGCACACATAGACGGGGACGAGTTTTCAGCCCACATTCTTACTGAAGAGGCTGAATATAATGTAGAGGTGATTTGTTTACACATGCTCCTAAAATTCTTCATACTTTAAAGCATTTAAAAGTAGTTTACAAAGTACTTATTTTTTTTTTACAGTACGTTTCAGTCTCTCTTGTCTTGTCTTCGTTAGCCCTTGTGGCGGTTTACAGAGTCGCCCCCTGATGGCCGAATGCTGGTGTACCGCTCAGAGGACATTAAGAATATTAGTCGACTGTCCTCACCCAAAGTGTGTGGATATGTGAAGGCTAATGCCCAGGATCTCCTGCCAGAAGAGGCAGCAGGACAAACGGAACAGGAGGAGGGTGTGTATTTACATATATATATAATAATATTGATGATAATAATAATATGTTTTATTTATGAGGTTGCTGCACAGGGAGATAAAGTAGACATGACATCAACAAGACACAAACATACACACACACACACAGTAACTAAACACAGTAAAACACAAGACAGAGGTAGGCTAAAAATACTGTGAGAAAAGTTTCATGGACCACTTTTTGAGAAGTGCAAACAAATCCTCATCAATAAAATCAAGCCCCGCTCACATTATCTTCTAAATATTCCGTTTTTTTTTTTAAAAATTCTGAAAATATGTTATTTAACAGAATTACACTACCATTCAAATGTTTTATTTTTATTTTTATAAATTAATACTTTTACCGGTACTCAGTAAGGATGCATTAATTTTTATCAAAAGTGAGTTTTACTTCAAATAAATGCTGTTATTTTTTTGTTTGCTTTTAATCAAAAATCTTGCATTTTTTCACAAAATCAGTTTCCACAAAAATATGAAGCAGCACAGCTGTTTTCAACGTTGGTAATAATAAGAATGTTTCTTGAGCACCAAATCAGCATATTAGAATAATTTCTGAAAGATCATGTGACTGAAGACTGGAGTAAGGATGCTGAAAATTCAGCTTAGACATCACAGGAATAAATTACATATTAAAATCTATTAAAAAATAGAAACTATTTTAAATTGTAATAATATTTCACAATATTACTGAATTTTTAATCAAATGAATGCAGCCTTGGTTAGCGCAAGAGACTTTAAAAAACTGAAAAATTAAAAAATAATAATCAATTGCTAACTTCTGAACAGCAGTGTAAATATCATATGTTGTTTCATGTAGTCTTAACGGTCAAATTGTTTTGTTTTTGGCCATTTTGAGACAAACACATTTTGTTATGAGAGATGCCTAAATGGACAATAGATATTCAGTTTATTCACATGCTCATCGTCGGCTCAGCGGGATTGATACTGCATGAGTGTGTAGGAGTTATACATTAGTCTGACAAAGGCCGCCCATTCAAGCATGTAGTCACCCAGCATTGACCTCTTGCCATGAGAATTTAAAATATTCTGGAGACAAAGCATAATAAATCTGTTGAATAACTTCTTTATTTTTTGTCCTCCATTATAATATTCATGGAAGTCCCCATTGTGTAGCTTTAAATTGGTTAGATCCATTTATGGATATTGATGCTTTGGGATTTACATAACTAATTAGAAATAACAAAACTCATAGTGCACCATGTTTAGATGGTTTCTATGTTTTGAATGCAGAGCCTCACAACAGAGAGAGAAGATCTGCACACGACCACAAGAAGAACACCTGCCCGCTGCTGTTAGTGGCAGATCATCGCTTCTTTAAGCACATGGGCCGTGGAGAGGAGAGCACCACCCTCAACTACTTGGTGAGCAAAGCACACGAAATAGAACTGGAAAGGTGGCATGTCATTTAGGCCTGTAGCGGCGCGTCGACGCTTCGACGTCAAAAATTCGTCGACGTGATATTTTTTTGTCGACGCTTCTTTATTTACTTATGTATTTATTTTTTTGCACCGTTCCCGGCGGCACAGCTCGCCACACACACGTGGGAGACCGAAACATTGCAGAATCGAGGACGAAACAGCAACCTCTTCACAGAATTCACAACAAAGCCATGCAAAAGTCCCAACAAAAGAAAAAGTCCTAAAAAAACCCAGCTCACACTAAATCATCGAAGGTATGGGAATACTTCAAATTTAGTCCCAAACGTAAAGGTGTCGTTATTTGCGCTCTTTGTCAAATGGAGTTGACATCCCAAGTCTCCCGCATAGTGATAGCGGCTCCCTGATGACCGCAAATTAGCTAAAATCTCCCGGAATCTAGAGCTCGCGAGCTCCAAACCGTGTAGCGTGCGCAGCGAGGGAGAGAGCGAGAGACCTTGCGCGTGTGTGTGCAAATGTGCGTGTGTGCCTTATGAAGCGCATGTAAACCCCACCCCCGTCAACAAAACCGAAAAATCAGTCCGGATGTTTTTTATGAGCACTGAAAACATTAAAATGAGCACCACATCCAAGTGTGATAGGGCTCATTTGAGTAGCCTACCAAACATTTTACAGTGTAGATACTCTGTAAGAACCAGATCAAAATTGTTGTGCATTGAATGTGCACTCCTGCAATTTCCATGTTACAAAAAAGAATCGTTCAATTAGTCGTTAGATTAGCCGACTAATCGATAAAATAATCGACAGACTAATCGTTTAATTAATAATCGTTTAACCCAGCCCTAATGTCATTGTTCTTGTACAACAGAGCAGTTTGAGGCACTGGGGATATGATTCATATTAACACCATGATATCAGATTTATTGATAAAAGTACATTGAATTTGAGCATTTTGTGTTTTTCAGATTGAGCTGATAGACAGAGTGGATGATATCTATAGGAACACATCCTGGGATCATGAATTTATAGGTTACGGTGTGCAGATTCAACAGGTGACCTTAATAACTTTCTTAGTTTTCATCTTTTCTCTTCTACATCACTTCAGTAGATGAGTTTGACTAGTTTCTCTTCATATTTGTTAAAGGGGTAATTGAACAGTTGACATTTGAAAAGCATGAAAAAGGGTGCAAAGGCACTTTAAAAATATGTTCCAATCATATAAGTTATATGTAATTTACACTCACCTAAAGGATTATTAGGAACACCATACTAATACTGTGTTTGACCCCCTTTCGCCTTCAGAACTGCCTTAACTCTACGTGGCATTGATTCAACAAGGTGCTGAAAGCGTTCTTTAGAAATGTTGGCCCATATTGGATAGGATAGCATCTTGCAGTTGATGGAGATTTGTGGAATGTACATCCAGGGCACGAAGCTCCAGTTCCACCACATCCCAAAGATGCTCTATTGGGTTGAGATCTAGTGACTGTGGGGGCCATTTTATTACAGTGAACTCATTGTCATGTTCAAGAAACCAATTTGAAATGATTCGAGCTTTGTGACATGGTGCATTATCCTGCTGGAAGTAGCCATCAGAGGATGGGTACATGGTGGCCATAAAGGGATGGACATGGTCAGAAACAATGCTCATTTAGGCCGTGGCATTTAAACGATGCCCAATTGGCACTAAGGGGCCTAAAGTGTGCCAAGAAAACATCCCCCACACCGTTACACCACCACCACCAGCCTGCACAGTGGTAACAAGGCATGATGGATCCATGTTCTCATTCTGTTTACGCCAAATTCTGACTCTAACATCTGAATGTCTCAACAGAAATCGAGACTCATCAGACCAGGCAATATTTTTCCAGTCTTCAACTGTCCAATTTTGGTGAGCTCTTGCAAATTGTAGCCTCTTTTTCCTATTTGTAGTGGAGATGAGTGGTACCCGGTGGGGTCTTTGCTGTTGTAGCCCATCCGCCTCAAGGTTGTGCATGTTGTGGCTTCACAAATGCATACCTCGGTTGTAACGAGTGGTTATTTCAGTCAAAGTTGCTTTTCTATCAGCTTGAATCAGTCGGCCCATTCTCCTCTGACCTCTAGCATCAACAAGGCATTTTCGCCCACAGGACTGCCGCATACTGGATGTTTTTCCCTTTTCACACCATTCTTTGTAAACCCTAGAAATGGTTGTGCGTGAAAATCCCAGTAACTGAGCAGATTGTGAAATACTCAGACCGGCCCGTCTGGCACCAACAACCATGCCACGCTCAAAATTGCTTAAATCACCTTTCTTTCCCATTCTGACATTCAGTTTGGAGTTCAGGAGATTGTCTTGACCGGGACCACACCCCAAAATGCATTGAAGCAACTGCCATGTGATTGCTTGATTAGATAATTGCATTAATGAGAAATTGAACAGGTGTTCCTAATAATCCTTTAGGTGAGTGTATGTTCCAGTTAATAATAAGTTTTCAAGTTGTTATTCTTTGAAAATCTTGAATGAATCACTCAAGTGGTTCATTAATATGTTCTGAATGATTCAATAACAAATCAAACTGATCCCTTTCTTGAGCACAATTTGTTTCACAAATTTATCAGTAAATAACAACTTCACTTTAGTCTGTTTCTTAAATAAAGGCTTCAGACGATTTGTAATATAACACGACTAGTCGTATAAACCACTTTTATGATACCTTTTTGCTGCTTTACATCCTTTCTAAAGCTTGAAAGCTCCAGGCTGCATGGAAAAGAACAAGCGAAACATTATTCAAAACGCCTTCTTTAGTGTTCCGCAGAAGAAAGAAAATCATACAGGTTTATGGGGTTGTCCCAATGCATCCCTGGTTTTCTCATTGGTAGAACTGGTGACTCATTCAAAGTGATCATGGCAGCTGACGCAACTCTAATACAAAGAGCTTAATGTTAGTTTCATTAGACCAGACCACCAACATTTCCAGATTTTGTCACATGGCTTGTAGCACACTCCAGGTGTGACTTAACCCTCAGGTGCTCTTCGTTTCGGAGTCACACTTGTTATCTTCCCGGTCAGAAGTGACCGGACACCTAAAAATGAAACTTTCTCCATTCCAGTGAAACCAATGCAATTTATTTTTGTTCAATAATATTTTTTCTTTTTAATTTTGAGACAATTTGATGTTACTTATTAATATTTATGCAATATTTATGGTCCATTTTTGCCATTGAAAGCAATACAATTTTTTTTTTCCTAATTTATAAAAATATTTCTTCAATTATTGCTGTATTTCAGATTAATTAATTAATGTTTTGCACTCCTGATGTTTTAGAGTGTCACCCCTTCAATGCTGAGCACTTTTTTTCTGCATCGTGGCCGATTTGTAGATTGTACACACAAAAATTCTCTCAGTTTTTGTGTTTTTGTCAATTTCCCATTCATTTCCTATGGTCGGTCATTTTTGACCGAAGAGCACAAGTGTGACTATTTTTTTTACAACCACTTAGCCTGCTTGGATCATGACCTCAATTTTTTTGTGTGTTCACATACCCAATGCCATAAAAGTCACCAAGTTTTGTAACATTCCGATGAAGCTGTGATTTTTTAAAATTTAAAACAGAAAATTTTTCGGTCAGAAATGACCGAAGAGCACCTGAGGGTTAATCTTGGTCTTTCTCAGAAGTGGCTTTTGGTATCTGGATATTTTCTCCCATTGTGACGAAATCCATTTCATGCATTACAGTGGAGTTCATGTGCTCAATGCTTTGCCTTTTTATAAGCTTGTTATTACTTTATCTCAATGTGCAAAGTTTGATGAGTTAGTGTTATCTTGCCATCTAAGATGTCAATATGCCAACAGATAATCATAAATAAGTGGCCGACAAAAGTTGCCCCAGGAGAGATTCACTACAATATGGATGGAAGCCCACTTGAAAGAACTGGCAGTGTGTGGGATGTGAAGAAACTTCTGGAAGTAAGTGCCATGAAATCCTTGGAAATATACACCGGTCAAAATGTTATGATCAATCCACAACAGCAATCCAGTGTTGGGGTCAGTGAAGTTTATGTGATTTGTATTCGGGTCCGATGTTATTGGCTGGCAGACAGTGAAAAAAATTATCGCAAATGCAACAAAAAGACATTTCAAATGAAGACAGTGTAGGATTCGTCAGATATCATCTGGTTAGGGTGTGTGCCAGTGTTTCCTGCACAAATAAATGAAGTCAGTGTGAGGTCCGATTCACTGAACAGTGACTCTTAATGTTCGATTTGAATCATACTAACTTTGTCTGTGAATTCATTCACAATAGACTCTCTTACTGAACTGTGAGTCATTTTTCTATTGTTTGATTCGAAATGAACCGAGATCCGCTACTGTTTGTGAACCATAAATCAGTCTATTTATTCAAAACGTTATTTAAATTAATTATTATTTATTTAATTAATTAATGGTTTTCTAAAAAAATATATTGTATAGAAATATTATTGATCAAAGGGCAACATTATTTAAATGACATGTTAGAACCATTTTCAAAAAAAAAAAATTGTACAAAGTATTTATTACAAAAAAAGAGACATGGCATAATTATATCAGGATCACTATATTGGATATTTATGCGCCAAATGTATATTAAAATGTAAAGAAGCTTCTGAATGACCATCTTTATCAAGTAATTCTGTCATTTGTCATTTAAAAGAGTAATTTGGCTTCTAAAGCCGAGAGCATGTGGCTTTATTTATTTATTTATTTTTAAAGAGGAGCCCTGGAACACAGATTTGTTGACTCTCACTTTCTCATCTTTCTCTGGGTTCTCTTCAGCAATTCAGTTATGACATCGCAGACAACGCCTCTGCAGTTTGCCTTGCCCATCTCTTCACCTATCAGGACTTTGATGATGGCACTCTGGGTCTGGCATACGTGGCCCCTTCCAAACAGGGATTGGGAGGGCTCTGCCCTAAACGTAAGGATCTCTACAACTGTGAATGGAATTCCGCTCAACAGCGCTTGACTTTGCACATTCATTTTGTCTTACAGCCTACTATCCATCACAGTCCGTCAAGAAACCCAGTTACCTGAACACTGGCTTGACAAGCACCATGAATTATGGGAAAACTATTCTGACTAAGGTTTGCATACATTGCTTTAAATTCCATTTGGATTTTGCATACTAGTAGATGAAGCACAGTAGGGGTGGAACGGTACACAGAAGTCACGGTTCGGTTCATACCTCGGTTCAGACATCACGGTTCGGTACGATTTCGGTACAATGGAGGGAAAAGCAAAACAAAAATGCAGAAGGCATTGTATTTTTTAAATAAGTTTTATTAATAAAGGCATAGAACCAGTTTATTTGTAGTGCACTGACAATAGTTTTATATAATTCGTTTATTAATTAAATTAATAAAAAGACAAAAAGACCTTGCGATATGTTTGGTAATTGTACCTGAATTAATTTAAAATTAATTTGCTATATTTCAGATAAATATATTTGTTTTCCTTAATTTTAATTAACATTATTAATTAACAATGTAACATTATTCTCATCTGAATTATAAATAATTGATTTCTGTATAAAATAATACTACCATTAAAAACGCATTCGATTTTCTTTTTTAATCAATGTAGAATGTGTAAGATTAGTGCTCCGAGGACAAGAAATGAAAACCAATGTGATATGATGAATGTCTAAAAGATGTGGCCCACAGAGTGTTTTGAAATGGAGTTGGATAAATATGTTTTGCTTTTAAAACAGTGTGTGTGTGTGTGTGTGTGTGTGTGTGATTTTGGTTGGGTGACAGTTGTAGGTTACAGTTTGACAAGAGTTTACAGTGTGACAAAAGCACAATGTTGTGTTTTATTGCGAGTGTACACAAATATAAGTAAACACTTTGCAGGTTTAATGATCTGTATGAACAAAATGACGGAGTATGTTTTTTATGTTTCCACTGTTCGATCGAGGCCGCGCCTCTCTCTCTCACACACACACACTCCAGCATTGCAATCTTGACATCGCAGCCTGTTCATTATGCGGTCACACCAAACGCGAATAGAGCGTTAAGTTCGACGCTAGTCCAAAGCGAATAGGACGCGCGTATAAAGCCAACGTTTGAAGTGAACGCGCGTTCAGAGCTAAGCCGATGGTAGCCTACAGATTATGTGTCCCTAAAGAACCCGCGTATCTAACAGTAGTTCCGCATTACATTAATTAATTTTCACGCGAGTTTTATTTATTTTTATACCGTGTATTCTCCGTGTAAATTCGTGCACCGAACCGTGACGCCCGTACCGTTTCGGTTCGGTACGAATACATGTACCGTTCCACCCCTAAAGCACAGTGATGTATCGTCTATCCAGGAAGCAGATCTTGTAACCACTCATGAGCTCGGACACAACTTTGGAGCTGAACACGATCCAGACACTGTACCTAATTGTGCGCCCAGCGACGACCAGGGTGGCAAATATGTCATGTACCCTATTGCGGTCAGCGGAGATCACTTCAACAACAAGGTATTATCCATCCTGTGCTGATTATTTCTTTTAACATGTAGTTACATTTTCTCACTCGCCTATTGTTTCCCTCAGCGCTTCTCCATTTGTAGCAGGAACTCAGTGATTAAGGCGTTAAAGGTTAAGGCCCACCAGTGCTTTAAGGAGAGGAGCAGTAAGCTGTGTGGGAACTCCCGTGTGGAGGAGGACGAAGACTGCGACCCTGGACTGCTTCATCTCTACGACGACGAATGCTGCACAGCTAAGTGCAAATTCAGGAAGCAGGCACAATGCAGGTAAACAAGCTAAACAGGATAGACCACTATATCAGACATTTTGAGATTATTAGCATCAACTTTGCCCAGATCTAATCACAATAGTGACCGCCCACTATTTCACTATATCACTATTTCTTCATTCCTGAAGTATTTTCCACAATTATTGCCTTCATAGGGATTTTTTTTAAAAATACCTCAATCTAAGCCCTGAACCAGACCAACAAGCTCTGAGATATTGATACATAAATTAAATAGAATATTAATAATTTATAAAAATAAAAATAATTTTTCTTTAATAAATACATTTATAAAATATAAAAATACATAAAATAATGAATATTAAATTCATTTAATAATAATAAAAAGAAACTGTACTTAATGTCTTTTATGGGTTGTTTTTTTGTGCAATAAATGACGTTATCAAATAAAGACACTATAGATTTATAGACATTGGTACATATTTATAGCAAAATGTATATATATATATATATGTGTGTGTATACACTACCATTCAAAAGTTGTTTTTTAAGAAATTATTACTTTTATTCACCAAGGATTCATTTAATTGATCAGACGTGACAGAAAAGACATTTATAATGTCAAATAAACGCTGTTCTTTTTAACTTTCTATTAATCACAGAATCCTGAAATCTTGCGTTTTCACAAAAATATTAAGCTCCACAACTGTTTTTAGCACTGATAATAGTAAGAAATGTTTTTGAGCACCAAATCAGCATATCATTATGATTTCTGTAGGAATAATACTCACACACACATATATCATTGTTGCTATGAGTATTTGTGCCTGATGTTGTTTTCTGTGACCCTCAGTGACAGGAACAGCCCCTGCTGCAAGAACTGTAGGTTTGAAAGTGCAGATAAGATCTGTCAGGAGACCATCACTGCCACCTGCAAAAACACGTCCAGGTGCACAGGTCAGCCTGCTCACACTAACTTTAATGACACGTAATAATATAATAACTAATAACATAAAACTCCACTCTGTCAGTGTAGTTTATCCAGACCGCTACTGAGCACACCTCTTATATTTGGTTGGTTAACTTTTTAACCCTTGTGTATCCCAGGCAACAGCAGTGAGTGCCCCACGCCTGGTAACCTGGTTGATAATACAGAGTGTGTGGACAAGGGTCGATGTCAGAAGGGCGAGTGCAAGCCTTTCTGTGAGGCCTTGCATAACCTTGAGTCCTGCGCCTGCAATGGTAAATGTCTAGACAAATCCTCCTCTGTGTTTACACTAGTGCCCTACAGAGATATCTATTTGAATGACCAGTGTTGATACCTAGTGACCAGCGATGGACAATATAACGTTGTTTCTATATATCACAATTTGTTTTACTTCAGTTGATATTTTTCAATTTCTATATAGACACAGACCTTAATATCTTGGCTACAATAAAGCTTTTGAAAATGTACTCCATTATTGCCCAGGAAAAAGGATGCGGGTCATATTTTTTTTTTTTTTTTTTTATGAATTACTCATTAATTGTATTAATCTCAGTAAGATTTTTTTCATGGTTTTGAAAGAAGATTTTGATTTATTTGATATTTTGACACATTGATATTGTGAAATATTATTTCAATTTATAATAAGTGTTTTCTAATTTAATATATTTTACAATTTAATTTATTCCTGTGATGGCAAAGCTACGTTTTCAGCATCATTACTCCAGTCTTCAGTGCCACATGATCCTTCAGAAATCATTCTAATATGCTGATTTTATGCTTTAGAAACATTTCTTATTATTATCAAAGTTGGAAACATTTTTATAAAAACCGTGATGCATTTTGTCAGGTTTCTTTTATGAATAGAAAGTTAGAAGATAGTGTAAATACAGACCATGTGACTTGTATCCCCAGTCTTCCCTATATGATAGCATGTAAGATGTATAAAAAGGCTGAAATTACAGGAATATTTAGGCTATTTCACACATGTACTCCAAATAAATATAAACAGAACCTGCACATATATTGGCATTTGTCATTATCACATCGACAGATATTGGCCTGTTAATTGGAATGGTCCATGTACACTGAAACTTGTGCATTCTAATAATCGTGTTCACAGTTTTAGCCTCCATTATGAATGCAAAAATGCTGAGTCTGTCCATTTGCTGTGATGTTTTTCAGAGACCGAGGAATCGTGTAAAGTGTGCTGTAGGAGCAGAGACGGGCTGTGCACTCCCTTTTTTGGTGGAGGGATATTTCTTTACCTGCGCAAGGGCAAACCCTGTACTGTTGGCTTCTGTGACGGGGACGTGAGTGCATTGCTTGTCTATCTTTTGACAATGATCATTTATCAGACTGATAAATAGTGTTTTCTATAAATGCTGTGGTGGTGTTCATTTCAGGGCAAATGCATGAAGCAGGTCCAAGATGTCATTGAACGTTTATGGGACTTCATTGACAAACTGGACATCAACACATTTGGTAAGAGATATAGCAGAGTGCATTTAGCTAGGAATCATGCCGTGAAATTGACTTTTTCTGTATATTTTGTAAATGCCAATGGTGACTCTTTTCTGTCAATGTGCAGGGAAGTTCTTGGCTGACAACATAGTGGGATCAGTGGTGGTCTTCTCTCTCCTGTTCTGGATCCCCCTAAGCATACTGGTGCACTGTGTGGTGAGACTTATTTCACAAATTTCAATGTTTTTCTGAATTGATTTTGTGTGAATTTTCTGAAATTCTGTTATCATTTACTCACTGTCGTGTAGTTCTAATCCTTTGTCATTTTCTTCTGTGAATTTATGTGGTAGAATATACAATCCATGCAATAAGTGAATGTGAATTTGGACTGTCAAGCTCCAAAAAGGACAAAAAAAAACCTCTTATCATAAAAGTGGCCCATATGGCTTGTACACTATATTCCAAGTCTCCTAAAGCCAAACGATACTTTTAGCATTTATTATTAATATTTTGAATTAGCGTTTTCATTTAAATTGATGTTTTACTAATTAGACAATTAGACAGAGTTTTATTAACAAAACCGTTATTGCAAGAGTAGGTTTATCAAAAAAAAAAAGTATCATACTTTGTTCTACTCTTTAAACAGCATTATGGTAAAAATGTAACACTATGGTAACAGCTTTCTTACCTTTACGCGACGGCGTTTTGCTTCAGGCGGAACGGACAGTATGGCCTTTTCTTTTCTTTTTTTTCTCTCCGTTTGGCCTAAAACACTGTTTGTGGTCATACGGTATGAAATGTTGACTACAAACACAATTTTTTTTTTTTGAGATTTTCCGTCGCTGTGTTCTCTCCGTATTTACGATTATTTGCCGCCTTTAGCCACTGCCTACAACACTCTGGAGTCTTCACTGGAAACCGAAAGTAACTGCAGTTAAACGTTTACTCTTTGAATTCTTGCACCCGGGAACAATACAAGTCGACTACAAGTTTACTAAAAAGTATTACCTACTAAAGCAAGGCAGTATTTGACTCTGGTCAACCGTATCCATACAGACAGCTGGCAGTGGGCTTGGGTGGCAACATGTACAGTGTATTATGGGTGTTGATGTTTTCCAACGTATTTGGCAAAAGGGAATACAGAAAAACAGCCTTTTTTCTCTAGTCAGGTAGCACCGATTTATTTTTCTAATCTTTTCTACTGTATAGGCAGCCATGTTTTATTGAAAGGCCATTTTGCAAGCGGTTAAGTTTTTCATCTAACATTTATATATATTTTTTTCAGCTTGTTTCAATCAACAATAATGATTTGTAATAGTTCAATAAGAACACTGTGAGGAACAGTCTGAAATTTGATGGTATTTTGCCATAGCATCATTTGTATTGCTGTCACCATGTTACACAGAAGTAAAGGCATTATGGTGATTAAATGATGACAGAATTGTCATTTTTGGCTAAACAATACATTACAGTGATCATCTCTCTTTGCTTGCTAATAGGACAAGAAACTGGATCAACAATATGAGGAAAACTCCAAAACCATGATGTACCCTAGTGTAAGTCCTTCTGTCACAAAACTACAACTCCAAAGATGGACTCCTTACTCATGCAGCGGAGATCAGAATACTAACACACTAATATGCATTAAAGTCATTCACGACCCCAAAGTAACATAATAACATTCAGTTAGCATGGTGTCTTTAATCAGGGCTAGTAGTGTATGACTTGTGGCTTGTTTGCTCTGACCCTTGTGGAACAGCAGCAGATGGTAGTGGAGGTGTGTAGTAGAGCTCTTAACTCAGGTGAGTGTGTGACTGTGCGTCATACCCCAACCCCCCCTCCCCCCCCCCCCTCCCTCCCGGGTGTGACGAGTCGGAGCGCGCTGGTTGTGACGTGTCAGATGGGCCGACTGAGTTCAGTTCAGCTTGTCCTGTATGTCTGTATGTGTCAGTGAGGATGTGCTGGCGGTTTCTGGTTCAAACGTGTTTTTTGGATGCAGTTCAGTCCTTGAGCGTTTTAAATGCACGACTTTGAAACTCTCTTGATACTGCATACTCTACAGATGCCCTTCTCTTCATTTGATTTGGTTCAAGAGATGTGAATGGATCGCATATTTTGCTGCATCCAACTCAAGTGTAGCATGCTGTTCATGTTATGCATAGGGATGGGCATCAGTTTGTCTACTCACTTAGTTGACATATACAGTAAATCAGAGTAATTTAACTGTGCTTCCGATTTATTTTTTAATTCTTTGTGCTAATTGTAATAGATTTGTCCTAGATTTTACAAAAAACTGAAGAACATGTCATTTTTATTTTATTTTCTGCCTACTTTTGTGGTGAATTTTTGCAGTAAAAATGCTATTATAAAAACAAAAAATGAATACAAAATAATAGATTATACATTATTTTATTTTTAAACAATGGAAACAAATGGCTAAAAAAAGTAAAAATTTAAATTCAAGTTTTGGTTAATCAGTAGTTGGTTTACGTACACAAGCACCATACAGATTAGGGGTGTAACGATTCATTCGTTTTCTCGATGCATCGATTACAAATCCTGACGATGCATATGCATCGATCTTGAAACATGTATTTCGAATTGTGAATCGTTTATTTCGGTCAATATTCGATTTAAAATGCTAAGAATCGAATAATTTGCGATTCTATATCGATTCAGTGCTTTAAAACATAAAAACAGTCATTAAATGACTACATGCGCGAATTATGAGGCGTTGTGCGGCGTCATTTCGCGTCCTCACAGCTCTCACACATACTCGCTGCACTCTTACCATCTTTCACTGGATTTCGCTCGCGCTCGGTCCCATATAGCTCTCATCTGCAGATTTTTGAGCAGTCCGTGTTTGAGCTCTCCTCAGGACAGCCATTGGTGTTCACATGAGCAGATGACAGCTCTCTATCGAGAAAGCAAGCCATTAATAAAGCTGCCATATCATTGCGCGGTCACTGCTATGAAACAACGCGTTCGTTGCGTGGAAACGTCACCGTTATTTTCTTTAAGATAAGATACTGAAGTTTTACGGAAATGGGTCATACCCGTCCTGAGCAGTTAAAGTAAAACCCCACTTATTCAAGGGTGCGCATTTATTACATGGAAAGAGAAAACGTATAATAGGTGTCTAAAATGTACACCGATTAATCATGAATGATGAATGAAATGTAACTTAATGTCGTTAAACTGAACTGATGAAATAACTACAACATTAATTACACTGAAATAAGAGCGCGTGGTTTATCCATCAATCAGATGCGCATTAAAGTTGCATTCGTAATCGTTAATATAGCACAAGTAGACAGCCGGCGCGTTTTCTTTCAGAATCACAAGGAAAATGTTCAGTCGGATAAAGAGAAAACAAAGAGTATAGCTATTCCATGAGGAAACGTTAGTTAAGGTTTTAGTTGGGAAAGTTCATGGTATTTTTAGTCTCACAATGGAAGGATGTTTAATGTAGGAACACTTTAAGGTTGTGTATCCATTCCTACAAAATAGTTAGCATGATGAACTATACTTTTAAAGCCTTTTTAAATCATAGTTTACATTTTTACTAATGCTAATTTATAGGCTTTGGAAATATTTTTTATAAGAATAGATTCATTAAAAACTAACATGAACTAACGTTAACAATAGACAAAATGTCGTTGTTTTTCTTTTCTTTCTTTTTGTTCCCACTCTCTGACCCCCGAAGCCAGCTGTATAATTCACACCCTGACTAAGACCCATTGGGGGAAGCATTTAAATAATCCTATGAATGCATATAAAAAATTAAGAATCGAATCGAATTAATTTAATCGCATCGAATTTTAATGTGAATCGCATCGAATCGAATCTTTCTGAATTTGCAAAAATCGTTCTTGAATCGAATCGAAAACCTATGAATCGTGAATCGAATCGATTCGCTGCCTACCCAAAGATTCACAGCCCTAATACAGATGTTTTTCCATCGTCTCTTGGTGTCAATTCAGTCACGGGTTTGTAGATGACGTGTCATGTTAAAAAATACTTCAAAACACTTCGTTTCATGCCATTTTGTTCTCGAAAACCTTTGGGCTTTTTTTATTGCGATGTCTAGATCAGTGGTTCTTAACCAGGGGGCCAGGGCAATCAATTATTCAGTTATATTAAAAACAATAATTAAATTGCTAAAACACACAAAATTCAAGATGTAAACTTAAATCATTTATTGTTATTGAAAAATATACCGAATTTTCTTATCTTTTTGAATCACTAAATATATTGTTTAATTAATTTGATATATCTATACACCCAGTTTATTTTAATAATAATAATTTGTTACATTTATATAGCGCTTTTCTGGGCACTCAAGCGATTTACATATGAAGGGGGAATCTCCTCAACCACCACCAATGTGCAGCATCCACCAGGATGATGCGACGGCAGCCAGAACGTCCACCACAGTGGACAGTGGCCAATGGGTTAAACCCCTACTCTTTTTCAAAAGAGATCCTGGTGTTTTAATGACCACAAAGAGTCAAGACCTCGGTTTAATGATTATTTATGTTAATAAAAAGTTTTAAAAACTAATATCGTAGCTAATATAGGGGGATCTTTAAAGAAATCAAGTTTTTAATGTTGTTTATGTCTATAAATTCTATAAATTACAAATTCTAGAAGTATAGATATAGATAAATATTTTCTACTTAAAACTGCAGTGCACCAAAGAACGTCTCAAAAACACAGTTTCCTACCGTCATAACCGTCAATGTGCGGGACGGGGCTTTTCTCCACTGACTTTCTATGATGTTCAAAGTGTTTCTAAGGATGCAGATTTTTAGAAGGTAGCTGTCTCACTCTGAGATGGCGAACGGGAACATGGTTTGTGTAACATTAGCAACATATTATTAACTGTTTGACAACGTAGTCAAGCCAAAGACTAATCATATTAATTACCGTTATGTCTCCGACATTGTAGAGCGCGACACATAAAACACTTTATCCTTTCTGATACATCGACTTGTAGATGACCCTGTATAATTCGCTCTTCCTCTTATATATGGCTGAATTAAACCAACATTTCCACTTGCCATTGTGTAGCATTTACTACAGTTGACAGAGTGGATCAGGTAGTCCAAGCTGGTGTGATTGAGTGGAGGCGGAGACTAATTTGCATAAGCATGGTAAAACATTTAAAAAGTCATTTTAATTATCAAAGAAGAGTTTTAATGGATACAATTATTGACTGCAAGGGACTACGGTGTTGGACAATACCTTTGAGTCAAAAAGGTTGCAAACCACTGGTCTAGATGTTTTTGACTGGAAGAAAGAAACTTATGATACGCAATTGTAGTGCTTTTAAAATCGATCATTGCTGTCACTTCCAAGTACTCGTGCCCATCCCTAGTGATGTAGTGAATACCATGATAAGCTTTTGGGAAGTCTTCCTTACCGATTCTGTCACAAACTTCTATCCTTAGAGCGCAGAGATGCTGAGCAGTCTGGAACCGGTGCCCTTCCGCATCGTCAAGGTCCCTCATCCGCTGTCAGCACGACCTCAGCCCTCAACGGGCCCCGCCGTGTCATCGGCACAGGAGACGCTCGCCGCCCCAGGCCCTGCCAACCTCTCCGCCGAACCCAAAGTGGATCCGCTGCGAATGGCCACAATCGAGGAGGACCCCAGCGGAGACTCCTCTCACCTGGACGAGGAGGAAGGCTTCCCTCAAAGCGGCACAGCTGCCAGGTCCTTCGAGGACCTCACCGGACAGGCAATGCCATCCCGCGGGGACAAGAGACGGCTGAAGAGACAGGCGCGCATTGACAGTAAGGAGACCGAGTGCTGAGGACACTCGTATTCAAGTCAAAGATCACTCGATTGAGACAAGAGCCGTAATAAACGGTGCAATCAGGCTTCATTTTGTTGGTGCACTTAAAAGTGTATGTGATGTGTAGACTGCTGACACATTTCGGTTGGTTTTTAGACATTTTCTAGCATTCTTTTAATGCACAATTGTCGTTGTTACAAGTAGTGTCACTTACAAGCAAGTCAGTAACTGCCAAGAGAAATAACTGATGTTTGGTAAATATACAAATTAAAGGAATAAATTCAATACGGCTTTGGACAGCTGCAAAATGCGACAAGCCTATCAGTTTTTAAAAGCAAGCAAAAATACATATTGACAGCTATGAACTTGAATGAATTTACAATGAAAGTTTAAGGGGTTAAAGTGAAAATGAAATTCAGCCATTTGCTCACCCTTATGTCGTTACATGGGAGGGGGGAAACACTCTTTTTTTTTTTTGTCCAAACATTGAGAGTCTAATATTTTTTGGACCCCATTAACTTTCATTGCATGGACAAAAACAGTACAAAACATTCTTCAGAATATCTTCTTTTGTGTTCCACAAAAGAAAGAAAGTTATATAAAGGATTGGAACAACATGAAGGTGAGTAAATATTGACAGAATTTTCTTTTTAGGGTGAACTATTCCTTTAATAATTTGCCTCGTATACTTCCACTGTAACTGTTTAGGTACTTTTAGTTGTTTTTATAATCTGAAGTACAAATCAAAATTATTTGATTGTGGTAATTGACAAATCAGATGCTGTCTATAGAGCTTAAAGGGACAGTTCACCCAAAACAAATTCTGTCATTATTTAATCGCCCTCATGTCGTTTGAACCAGTCAATATGTGCCTTGTAACACAGTCGCAGTAGTGCAAATTCTTGTATTCTCACTCATTTATACCTCATTAAAAACACGAGCAGCAGGCCTACAGCACGCCTCTATACATGTCATCACACTTTTAATGTTGCACTGGTCGACTTGCTGACAAAATTCAAGTTATGCATGTTCTATGCCATATGTATATAAATTACTTGTGTGTTTATGGGAACTGTAAGAGGAGATGCTATTTATAAAGAGTTTTCTTGGCTTTATGATAGAAAGTGCACAGGATGTTAAAAATGTTTTCATATATTTTAAGGCTTGTTGTTCAGTTTAATATGTGCTCTCTACAGCATCTCGTGTCATTTTAATATACCTGTATGAATATGTGAAACACTGATTACAGAGCCAGGGATGTGCATATTTCATAGATTTCATCTTTTTGCCACTAAAACGGATGTATAGACGTGACCAAAATCAATAGAAGTATAGTATAGACTATTATGCCCCCACTGTGAAATATCAGACTATGACTATTAAAGTTGAGTTTTAACAACGTTTTCATGTGCCATAAGTCAATAGACTACATATATATTTTGTATTGTTTCTTATATTCCTGTATATAAAATCAGAAATAATTAAAACCTCTCACTAGAAATGTCAATCTACTATCCTTAAATGTGTTTCTGATGCTTGGTTGTTACATTTATTCAACATATTCTAGGGATATGAACCCACATAAATAAACTGCCTCTACACTGAAGTGTTTCTAATTATTTTATGGACCTAGGCTGAAAAAAATACATTGGAATTTTGCAAGGAGGTATAAAATGAAAGTGGTTATTGTCCCTACTAAAAGCTTTGTGTGTGTGTGTTTAAACGGCAGTAAATCAATTGACCTCACCAAAACTTTAATACAGAAATCTGAATATTTTTTGCCAGAACATCAAACATAATCTGTGACATTTGTCATTTAACTTGCTTGAGTAACTCAAAATACTCCTTGTTTGCAAATAGGGCTGGCGGCTGGTCCTTCCACCATGTATGATTAGTGTATCCAAAAATGTTCTAATTTAAACCACAGGAACTGAATGGTGTTTCATCCGCTGTGCATCATGTGACCTGAGGTTTAATCACACAGTAGGCTGCTCTCAGGGCATTTTGGGTCCACATCCCCCCAGTAAGGCAGAATGAAGGGCAAGTTAGCCACTCGCCTCTCAAGAAGTGTCCATAAATGCTTTGCCACAAACTGGTTTCCTTTATCAGAAAGATGCAGTCCATCTGAAAGATACACTGAGAAATCCTGAGGGGGAAAACGCATTTGTTTATATTCGTTATATTTATACATGTTCATTCACAACAGTATGTGCCAGCATGTGCGTCGTTACCTGTCCATCTTTTTGCATGAGTGTCCAGAGATCCAGAACATCCACACCAGACTGTCCTGCAGCCTGAACGCAGGCCTGCGCATACTGACCAGCCACAGAGTTTAACCGATTCAAAGCTGAACCTGATGAAAATCATAATCAATGTGTGTGTGAGAGAGACTGAGGCTATTAAATACTACTGCTTGCTACACAGTCTATACAGCCAAATATATCTTTTTAAATAGTTTGCGAAATGGCATGCAATATGCAGCGATACAAGTTTCATAAGGTTTGCATGTTCAATTAAGTGATCTGGATATTTTGCATTTTTAATACTGAACAAGATGCAAGTAAAATGTATTAACTGGTGTCCAATTACATAGTTCAAGAAACAGATGCTAAACATGTGGCTGATATAACTTCCATGTCAGTGTGAAAATAAGGGGGATGCATGGTAAACTTCATTTTTTCACCATTTACAATAAAACTAGAAAAGTTGCATGTACAAAATTTGACAGTTGTTGTAATATTACAATATATATATATATATATATATATATGATTAAATGTACAGCTAAAACACCTGGTGCACATTCTTTATTAATACTTTTTGAAAGTAGAGTATGTTTGCTGAAGTTTTTGTAGAATAAGTATATTATTCACTGTCTATATTTGTTAAGTGTTCAACAGTACACTGGATCCCACAATGCAAAACACTCAATTTACACTAAGCACTGAATTTACTGCAAAGCAGCACTAGTGTCCAGCACGCAGTACACTAGTATTGAACACGACCTAAAGTCCGGAGGTGTGTCACCTTTTAGCAAGCACTCTTTCTCCCAGGCGGCTTCTTGAAGTGGTGGTGGTGTGATGAAGATGATCTTGTCATTGGACACTCCTATAGACACCAGATATCTGACAATGTCCTTCAAATTCTCTGAGAACTCCTGGAGGTGCACGTGCTGCGCGGGGTTCTTGTCTGTAAAAAAACCCCAAAAAACTATTGTCCTATCACCGCCGCTGTTGTTTAGCAATGATGCACAACACACGTGACATAGTCTTACCTTCCAAAGCACAATCATTAGCGCCAAAGAAAACAGTCACAGCCGCAATAGGAGCATCAGAAATGGGCACAATGCGAGGAAGCACAATCTTAGCCCACCTTGTGTTGTATCCAGACAAGCCCCTGTTTACCACGTCGCATTTTCTAATAAATCAAAGAAATGATCAAATCATTATTTATTTTTTTAAATGATAAAATCATCAGCTGTGGCGGTGTGAATACAATGATGCATCCGTGCGCTGTCATGAACTCTGTAACGTTACCTCTCGAGTTTATGAGAGATTTCACATCCCCATCCGTTCGCTTGAAAGGCAAACTGAAACAAAAACAATGCATGTTACAGTAGCTGCTAAGTATTAAAACTCAAACGGCAGTGTCCCAAAATGTTAACTGTTACCTGTGTTATTGAGTCACCGAAGAGAATGATTTGGGGCCATACAACTTTCTTTAGAGTCGACATTGTAACTGCAACAACCGACGACTTTAATTCACCTCAGACTGCGAGGAAGAAGCAGCAAAGCCGGTGCTTCGTTCGTAAATGATTCGGAGTTCAAATCTTTGAATCATTTTCTTTCACGTAACGTTACTGAATCCTTTCTCGTTCACTGAACTGTGTCAGTAGAAGCGCGTGACTGCTTTCAAAGACACACGAGCCGATAGCTGTCTTCAGAACAACTGCTTACTGTTTAATAAGTAAATAATAATACAGCTTACAGTTACTACTGTCATATTCCGTCCATTCTAAACGTAGCCGCCTACGAATTTATGAATGAATAAATTAATTAATGTATTAATTAATACAGCTTATAGTTAGTAAGCTGATGTTCTGTCCATTCTTAATTCATTAGCCACTTGCTACTTAAAAATATTAGTATGTGCAGTATTTTTAGTAAGTAACGTTAGAAGTAAGTTGATATTCCATTCCAAACTTAGCCACCTATTAGCGTGCGTCCCCTTTAAGAGGTGCAGGGTGGAGCCGTACAGGAAGTAAAGTGTCAACGCACGTCTCGCCAAAGCAGAGAGAGAGAGAGAGCTACCGACCGCCGCTTTGATGAACCATATTAATAATTATTACAGCCCTACACTGCTGCATAGTGAGCTCAAAATAGAGGTATGCCCAGTGTGCTTGTTTACCAAGTTCATATTATTCATAGTTATGTATAGAAATGCCAATAAACGACCAAATAACAGCCCTTTGCGTTTGCATTAGTCAAGTTAGACGTGGGTCAGGGGTGCTGCTCAATGTTTATCCTAGCAACGGGTTTCCGTTATTTTCCAAGGGGTTTTCATTAACAATGTGCCCGCGGAGAGCTCGTGCCTACTAGTAATCACACACCACGAGCTAGTGCGCGAGCCGAGCGCCTCTCTGTAGATTCATAGAAAGTTACCCAAAGTTTGGCACCATTGTTTTATAGGGGCGTGGGCTCATCTCGAACCCCAAGAACATGTTTGTCCAAGCTGCTTCTTAAACTCGTATAAAGGCACTATTGATATGTAGCGTAATAAGTGTATCTGAACAGAAATAATACGTAAGGAACCTTGTTAATTGTTCATTACGCTGAAACGGCACTTAATTTACACTCTTGACTCATAGTTATTTGGTTCGAAGTCAGTCTTGAGTGTGCATATCATAAAACGATTAATTTAAATGGACATTTTTGAACTGATTCATTGGGATGAATCAAACTTATCAACACCTTCACGTTATAATTAAACAATATAACGACATTTTAGCCAGAAAACGTTCCTATATCTGTATCAAAATTTTTATTATATGTATAAAACTCTAGAAAATACTATGTACAAATATAGATATTGATGTCAATTTAGTCCATAGATATAAAATATATATAAATATGTTTAAAGCTACATAACATGCTGAAAATCCAAAGGTAAAGGGTCATAAATGGTTCTTTAAATAAGGGTCAAATATTACCTGTGAATAAATAAAAATATATATTTTAATAAGTAAATTACATCATTATAAATTAATGTGCTTGTATGTTTCTTTGTTTAGATAAATGTCTCAAATCTAGTTCCATTACCAAATAATGAGAATTATTTTTTATCAAAAATCATTTTTTGATTTCAAGGCCTTAAAAGTCATTAAAATATTTTGTGGTTTATCTTTATTTCTCTGTTTAATTCTAATTATAGTCTCTAAAATATTTTATTGGCTACATATTGCACGTTATCTTCAGTGTTAGAGTCATTTGTACACCATTGGGTGCACATTCTTTAAATATTAGTACCAGCTTTACAGGAAACAACAATGGGTGTGATTTTGATTAATTTAAATGTACACTATGTAACTATTTTTTTTTATATATAACAAAACTACATGCATTTTGTGGAAGGACATTGTTTTGGTTGTGCTTGTGCAGATGAATATGATTCTTCCTCATAGAGAAATTAGAGATTATCCCACTACTCATAAAACATTTACTACTAGGTTTAAGAGAGATAACCAGTTTAGATTGAAAGAACTCAGGCTAACTAGCATAAGACATTACTGTAGTTATACCCATTAATAGACACTTCATTGAAAATAGCAGCACAGCGCTACAACAACCCTTCACAATAGATAATGCTTTACAATGCTTGAACTCTGTTAGAGAGCTACATATAGCAATTTATCTTGTTTAATAAAATACCTTACTCTGACCTGTTGAGTAATAAAAACAGCATCTCCGCGTTGCTTTTACAATGTTTCAAATCCCTCAGTTCTCGCCATCTCCGAAAAGCCAGGCCAATGTTGATTCTCGTTTTATTACGAGTTCTGTCATGTTCTCTTTTTGCCAGCAGACTCTCCTCTCACGTTTTGGAACAAGGATTGATGATGTTTTGACCCAATATTTAAATTTTGTTTATTTTGAAAGTGTAAAACTGCTTAGTCTACCTTTAAATGGTGCTAAAGCTGATAAATCTCCTCAGACTCTGCTGCCATCTGCTGGTAAGCTGGAGAACTGCAGCACTGGCGTCATGGTGAAGGATGTTTCGAAAGGTCAAGAAGCGCCACAGCAGCAGCAGCTCCCAGAGCAGTGAGATCAGCACTAAAAGCAAGGTCAGTTCACCAAAAGTAATCAAGTACACGCGTCATAAACTAAATGTTGGCTGAATCTCCATGTGCACATTACTGTATGTGCTTTCTATACCTAGTAGAAAGCACATAAAGTATGTCATTTAGCATAACTAATGCAGTAAGTATGAATTGACCCAGTATGCCTGTACTACAATATAATAAAATGGCACCTTCATAACGGAGAGTGCAGTGAAAGAGGTCTTGGCCAGTAATAGCTCACAAGGCATGCATGGATTCATCCTTATTAAAAAAGTACAATATGCTATGATTTCAGACCTAATAATTTATAAAAGAGTGAATTTGGATTCACCAATTCTGTCTGCTGACTTCTGTATTCCACAAAGTTCATTATAAACTGTAATTTCCCTTTTTACAGTCAGTAGATTCCAGTTTGGGAGGCCTGTCTAGGTCAAGCACAGTCGCCAGTCTTGATACAGACTCCACCAAGAGCTCAGGTTAGTCCTCAATGAAACCTGTGGAAACGCATGCGTGTATATTTTTGACTCCGTAAGAGTTCCTGACCTTGTTGACCCTTCAGGTAACGCTGTGTCTGACACGTGTGCTGAGTTCAGAGTCAAGTATGTGGGAGCCATCGAGAAGCTGCAGTTTAAGATGAGCAAAACCCTCCAGGAGCCTCTAGACCTGATCAACTTCATCGATGCAGCTCAGGTAAGGATCTACAGAAGGGGAAGATGTAACCCCCTTAAAGGTGCAGTGAGCGATTTCTGAGAAACACTGTTGATATTTGAAATCAACCCAAACAAACAGGCCCCTCCCTTCATTGCTCCGCCCCCAAAATGCCCAAACACTCAATGCAAGAGTGGAGGTCTCTTTATTCCAGCTGAAGCAAAGCAAAATAAGTATTTACGAAGAAATAAAGCAAAGATGACGAACGAACGACAAGGAAGAACAAAAAATGAATACAGTACACAAGACTATGTACAAGCAAGAGTATGTTGATAGTCACCAGCAGCACACCAGCTTCAGATAAACAATGACACTCTTGTTACTGTAGTTTACATTACAACAGCATATCTTGGTTCTGTGAAAAATAGCAAAACCAATGTTGTTCTACGTATGGAGCTGAAAAAAAATGCATCCTTGGCATCAATTTTCAGGCCTTAGGTCTTTCCTGTGCTGGAAAGCTTTTCCAATATTACCGCAGGTCCTACAACTCTTGCCTGATCTCTTGCCTTCTATTTCCAGTGATGTTCCTCTGGCCTTTTCTCTTTTGCAATCTCTATTTTTACACTCAAATCTCCCTCTTGCGCACTCTCTCATCACGAGTGGGCACGCCCCCCACTGCTGATTGGCTACAATTTTGTTGTGGCGCTCGGTCTGATCCACTTTCAACAGTGTTTCTCAGAAATCTTCTCAGACCTCTAATCTAGCGAACTGTATTTAAAATTTTTTTAAATAAATGTTGTCTGAAGCTGTTTAAAAACCTAATCTCATGTATTCACTTTAAAGCAAGATGGAAAACTGCCATTTGTGCCTGGAGATGAGGAAATGATTCTGGGAGTGTCCAAGTATGGAGTTAAAGTGGCTTCATTAGACCAGTGTGTGAGTCGACTCAATGTCATTGTTAACTATGAGATATTTGGCTTCTTTTCTTTTTACACGAAATAAACGAGCATGTTGAGAGAAGCTTGAAATTCACGTTCACAAAATAATGTGGAACTGCATGTCTTGAAACCGAAACATCTATCTACACCACGATGAAATACAGGATTTCAGTGTAATGTCATGGCTGGGTATCTGATTTGTTATCGATTCTTTCTCTTCTCAGGATGTGCTTCACCGTCACCCGCTCTACCTGATTGTGCGTATGCTTTGCTATGATGATGGTCTGGGTGCTGGAAAGAACCTGCTCGCACTGAAGACCACTGATACCAAGCAACATGACTGCAGCATCTGGGTGTATCAGTGCAGCAATGCGGTAAGACCTGGATACAGGAAGTGTTTCTGAGAGCATATAAAGATCTGGGGTCTCATTTATAAAACTGTGCGTAGAATCCTTACTAAAAGTGTACGTGCGTCCGAAAGCCAAAAATGCGTACGCAAACAAATATTCTGACTTATACAACCGTGCGTACGCCAGAACCTGCGCAGAATTCACTTTATAAATCCCAGTCAGCGGAAGAATGTGCGCACTTGCGTCTCCTCCCCGAAACAACCATATATGGAGCTTACAACGCCTAGTTTTACTATGCATATCCTTACTGCATATCATTTGCATATGATTATTCATCCACGTGATAACATGTTTAACGGTACAAGACATTTGGAAAATATGAAATACGGATGTGCCGTCACATTAGTTACATTAATAAAAAATAATTTAGTAGCCTATATCCTTGCCTTGTTTTTGAATAAATAAATCAAATAGTGTAAAATACATTTCAGAGAAAGTTTTTCTCAATCTTTTCCACTGGCCAAAGAGTATTTTTAATTGATTTATATTTTTAATGGAAACAGATAGACCTTGTAGTGCATTATTTGCACGAAACTATTTTCTCAGACAATCTGCTATTATCATAAGCAATTATCTCTGTAGTTAACACATTAAAACACAGCATGACAGAGGGAAAGTGTTTGAAAGCATTGCATCCACAACAAATATTTCTAGTCATTGAATATAAAAAAATGTTGTAACTTCTCAGTAATGATTTCATGTAATTTAAGTGTCTAACTCCATTCATCAGAATGGCATATTTAATCTAAATGTTTATATCAGAAGTAAAACATAGTTTTATTTATTTAAACTGTTATTGTGAACATATTTCACAGAACACTGTATTTATGATTATAATGAAGATTTACGGTTTTAGATACGCCGTACGTACGTTTCCAGCCCCGTTTTGTGCGTACACACGCTTTATAAATGAGACCCCTGATGATGTAGCAGAAATATTTAGTATTTCATTATTTATGTATTTGCTCTAAAATGGCTTGAAAATGTAATTTTATTTTAAATTGAAGGAACCATCATTTAGAACAAAAAGCTTTATTTAAAATTCATTCCTGTGATGCAAAGCTGAATTTTCAGCATCATTACTCCAGTGTCACATGATCCTTCAGAAATAATTTAATATGCTGAATTAATGCTCAAGAAACATTTCTTATTATCAATGTTGAAAACTGTTATGCTGCTCAAAGCTTGGGTAGACAATTTCAGGGAGCTTTAAAAAAAGCACCCTTCAGAGCGTCTCCAAAGCCATAACTCCTCCAAAACACATGACACGGCGTGAACGCAGCATAAGCTCGTTATTTTGGTTCAGGAGGAACTGTTAAATGCGGCTGCTGTTTGTTTGAGGCGGTCAGTGACTGTGTCTACAACTCTCTGTTGAGGTATGGAAATACATAGGTTGGTAGGTAGGAGATCCAAACACTGCATTCGGACCGAACATTTATTGGTCCTGAGACTTCCCTAGAAGACATCTTTTAATAGACCACTTCTATTATTGATTGCTATCAGGATGTGAAGAGAGTTTCAACCAGTATAACAAAAAGTGTCACCCTACCCTAGCTTTAATATTTTTTATGATACTTTTTTCAGGATTCTTTGATGGATAGAAAGTTCAAAAGAACATTTATTTGAAATCGAAATCTTTTGTACACGTCTTCACTGTCACTGTTGATCAGTTTAATGCATCCTTGCTGAATAAAAGTATTAATTTCTCTTTCAAAAAAAATCCTTACTGTCCGCAAACTTTTGAATGGTTGTGAACATTGAAAACTCTGCTACATTCTGTAGCTTTAACACATCATTTTTGTGCTCTGCAGGAACAAGCCCAGGCCATCTGTAAAGTCCTGTCCACCTCCTTCGACTGTGCTCTGGCCTCAGAGAAGTCCTGAGGAGTGCTGGGAACGCGCGTTCCTGTTCTTCCACCCTCACTGGTTCCTTCAGCAGGACGAGAAAGTCAGTCTGTTTGTAGAAGGTTCCCTTTTTAAACAGATATGCTGGAATTTGTCTCACTTTGATTAATGTTAGCACAGCTGTTCGGTCTTTGTTCAGTATGAAAGGGCAGCCATCTCAACCACGTTTACAACATATTCATTAGTCTTACCCAGCATCCTCTTCTCCTAACAGCCCCACCCCAACCCAAAAGTCCAAGTTCGGGCTGCGTCTATTTTTGTAACCTAATTTAATCTTATTTAATGTAAATATACAACAACCTCAGAGCACATTTCCCACCACGGGCCAGTGAATCCGGGATTTCTTGGACTCTAGTGGGATTTGTGTTAAGCGTGGTACATTAGTGTCAGTGGAACACAAAGATGCTGTAAAACCCAAACCCCCTGCACCCTGTATCCTGCACTTCTGAACATGCCCTTCTTCTGTCGTCCTGGTGTGTGTCTTGGTCCAAGTGGGATCGGATCAGTTAATACGGTACAATAAATCAATGCGAATGTATAATGTGGAGTTTCTTCTCATGTTTTTTTCCTCATCCCCAATAGATGGCAGTGCTCTTTAACCTATTGAGTTATGGACTTCTGTTTTCAAATGATTAATCTTTAATACAAAAACATCTCACAGGCCCCTAACTGAGAGGGATGGGGGAACCCTTCAGAAGGTTATTGTCCTTTTATCTGTCAGTTTCACTTAATCTACCTGAATAATGCAACACCTGAATGAAATTAATTCATGTCTTTTTTTTTTTTATTCCAGTTTTCCCATTTATTTGTACATATATGCATATATTTATATATTAGCAACAATGACGTTTATGGTAAACGGATGAATAGAGGTTGTTTTCATCTTAATTAAAAGTGTACTGTAACAGTCTTATCTAACAAAACGCCAGTCATTATCAGTTAAGCTCTCTGTTTACAATTAAATATGCACAAAGCAAAGTCTACATTTATTTACAATCACAGCCGGCCAGGTGCCGTCCGTATACATTGAGCTGAATGCAGGATAATTACATCCCGTCACTGCCCGAGTTACAGGTCACTCTGGCCCGAGCTCAATCAAGACTAACATGACTGTAATTAAAAGTTACATAACAGACTCTATTAAGTTGCTCTGCAACCACATCAAACACTCATGACATTAAAAACGCTCCTGCACACAATTACTGATGGATGAGCATTTCAAAGCTTTAGAAAGGATTTTAAGAGAAGTGTTGTGAGGGAAATATGGCATGAGGGATTTTAATTTCCCCTGGAATACAATTAGCGCTAGAGAAAGAAAGAGATGCCGAGTTATTACTGGTACAGGGAACACCCATCTGGCCAACCAAAGCTGGGAGATTCAGGGCACATCCTGGTTGGTGGAAATACATATAATTCATATCTCAAACTGACACCTTGAAATCTGTTAAAAATGACAAGGTTTTAGTGCTCTCAAGCTGAAAACACTATTCAGTGTATGTTCATGTTCTACACACTGAAGGAAGGTAAGAGCTTCTTAAAGGGTTATTTCATCCAAAAATGAAAATACTGTCATCATTTGCTTTTAAACCTGTATGATTTTCTATCTAGCCAGAAACGTTTTGAAGAATGTCAAGAGTGCTTTTTCCATAATGACGACAAACCTGTCTAGGAAAATTGTAAAGTGGTCCATATGACACATGCACAGCATTCCAAGTACACTGAACCCATATGTTGACTACAATAGACAAATTAAAGTTGTGTTTGTTTCAAATATGACACGTGTCAAGTTGGACGTCATTGGTTTGTCATGTCGAGGGAGGTTTGATTTTAAACGAATAACAATGTCTTTCCAATCCAAACCTGAATTACTTTTTTTTTTCCTGTGAAACACAAAAGGAGTTATTTTGAGAAATGTTCTTCAAAATATCATCTTTTGTGTTCCACAGAAGAAAGTAAGTTACACAGGTTTGGAACGACATGAGGATGAGTAAATATAATATTGGTCTGTTCCTCACACGGTTACAGTAGGGCTTCAGAAGACTTTGAATATAGCAAATTAATCTTATGGACCACTTTTGTAGTGCCTAACATTAGAAAAAGCACTCTGCACATTCTGCAGTGCATGTTCTTTTGCACAGTTTGAAAGAACATGAGGGTGAGTTACTGACCGAATTTTCATTTTTGGTCTATCGCTTTAAGAAAGAACGAGCCAGTTGAGAAATGACAGCGTTCCACAGGCCTCTGCAAAAGATCATTAAAATCAATAAGAGCATCTAAATCAAGACCACAGAAGGACAGCTCAGAATTATAAATATCTATACAGAAATAAACCTTCTTGATGCTCTTCACCGCCTCCTTTCCTCTCCCTGGAGGCCACCGAATGTTCACGGAGACTGTCACAGCGCTCAAAACTCCCAGCAGGTACAGAGTCAAGATTTCTTTCGTTCAGTCTTCCTGTTCCCAGTCCCTTAGCCAGAACAAAAGCGCTCTTATGTCTGTCTGTTTCTCCATCTCTCTCATCCACAGTGCACTTCAGATATCTCCCAGGTGTGAGCGGTGGAACGCCTATTTATACACTCAGCACTGGGGCAGGTAGTGTGAAAATGGGGACACCCCACTGGAGCTCCCCCTCCTAGGGCAGACGGCTCTCGTAGCATATTCCTGGCTTAGCACCATTGACGAAGCTATCTTTCCCAACCGAGTCCTCAAAAGTCAGTGATTCTCAGATTATCCTTCTGCCTTTCCTTGCCAGACATGGAATGTGGGCAAATAAGACTATATTCACAGATAATGTGTACTGTACTTCAAAACCTTACGCTATTTATTGTGTCTAAACGGAATAAGGGTGTGAATGATCTCGGACTAAATCCTTCATCTTGGTGACATTCTTCTCAGCATTATGGTCATGATAAATTAAGTCAAAAGTGCATTTATTGCAGCAAACTGTCGTTCTGCAACATATCTAGGCCACAAACTTAAAAACTAAAGAAAAATCCAAAGCCCAGGTAGCTGTTATATTCCAGTGACTGCTCAAGCCAGGTGAGAGCAGGGATTAGTGGAAGCTCAGTGAGGACACAAGCCTCATGAGAAAGGGAATAGCGGCGATGATGATGATGATGATGATGATGATGGTTAGTGCGGACACAGAGGCAGAGAAGTGCCGTCATCCGTCCAGCTCAGTGTCCGTGATCTCCCGCCCTTCAGTCCATAATGAATTGCACGAATGTGACAGGAAACGCTCCTCTTCTCATTGGCTCTCCCTCAATGTGGCCCAGCTACAAAAAGATCAAGAGAAAGTGTGTTAGAAATGTTCCTAAAATTGAATACAGAGCTGAGAGATAAGGCTTTGTGTGTGTGTGTGTGTGTGTGTGTGTGTGTGTGTGTGTGTGTGTGTGTGTGTGTGTGTGTGTCATTATACCAATACAACAGATAAAGCTGATTTAACCAGTGTTGTAATTATTAACTGAAAAATTTAAAATGATTTTTGTTAATGGAAATAAGGCTGAAATAAAATTATCAATATTAGATGAAATATGTCAACTTAAAAAAACTTAATTGAAAATTAGAAATGTTGAAGTACTAAAATTAAAAATAAAGAAAAATATATCAAATAAAAATTAAAGCTAGACAGTTAAAAACTAATAAAAATGACAAAAGCATATGAAACTACGGAAATAATAAAAGAAAATTATTTCAAAATTGTAATAAATACCATAATGGTATGTAAATAATACTAAAATATCAACTACTAATCACATTGAGGCTGAATCATCTGGTGTCTTTCAGCAATTTTAGAACACTTATAAGATTTAATGATTTGCAAATGCTTCTGAGGTTGTATTTTTAATACTAATTTATTGTGTGTTTTATTGTTATATGTGTGTTTGAACAATTGGGCCACCTATCTTGGCCAGGACACTCCTGTAAAAGAGATTTTAATCGCAGTGAGGTTCTCTCCTGGTTAAATAAAGGTAAAAAAATTTTTTTTTTTTTTTAAACACTGGATTCATTTCAGTCAGGACCACTTCACCAAGTATATAAAGTATATTACAATTATAGCATACAGTTAGTGTTGGCGGTATGGTTCTGTTCTGGGCAAAAACCCCTACTGTATGCCTGAACAGAGCGGGGAGAGCAGCAAGTCAACCCCCCCTGGGGTACAGAACAGAACCAGTATATGCATACATAACTACAATTCTCAATTACATGAGTTGTGAAAATACAAGTACATGATAGAAAAGCTTGCAATGAATTGAACTGTACGCAGGGATTAAAGTGAAAAAAATTCTTCTGACTGAAATTTTTTTCAGGCCAAGTCATATTCCTGTAACTTTATTTAAATAGTCGAGACCAATAGCGTTTTAAGGGAAGATGTTTAAAACCGATCTAATATTGAGTAATTTAAAAGCTATTTTAATCTATGAAAAACAATTACTTATCTTGACAAATAATCAACCATCTACATAACTTTTCAGTGCATGTTTTTATTTATCTTATGAGACCAAACAATGCTAAACTATATTAATATATAGTTTGTGCCATGGCAAATTGTTTTGGCTGAGGGCAAAGTGAAGTTTTATAACTTTATTATGTAGGCTATATTTAACTTTAACTTTGTAGCCTATTACAGAGCTGACTTATGTTTAATTGAATTGTTTGCTTTATTTCTCATTGTATAGCTTATTATAGCCTACCTATTAGGCTACTACTTTTGAACGGGATATTAGCATTAAAACTGACATTTAACAAAAAAGAGACATGGTTGTGTAATTTTATATATTCTAAAATATATAAAATATTATATTACTATGCATTCTCTTCACTGTATGTGTACGCATAATACAATAAAACGATACAACCCTGTCTGTTTGTTAAATGTCAGTTTTAATGATAAATAATGTTTCATATTTTTAAAATGAAAACAAAAAGAAGCAGGTTTGTGTTTTAGCTATATTTCGTGTTGTTATAACTATATGATAAATCAATCTGCGTTGCCTGAACCACATTTGTGTGGCCATTTATATGTTTATGATAATAATTATGTTCATTTATAAAAGAAAAGAGGCACAGTGGTGTTGATGAAAAAAGTCAGAGTTGATAACCGGAGTAGCCGCGTGCTAAGTGACGCGATCAAGAACGCGCTGTTAGCAGCGTCCTCTCGTCCTCGGGAGTTTGTTCTCCTGAGTCGAACTTGGCAAGTCCGAACTACCAAGGACGCAAGTCCGAAGTTTGCGTACTTGGTATTGAGAAACGACCAATATTGACCCGCGTTCTGTTTTCTATCATGGGACCGCAGCAAACGAGCTGTAGCCTCGCCTGACAAGATTGAGTGAACAGGGTCCAGGGAGCAGTTTTTCCGTGAGCGGGAATTGAAAACCCGGAGTGGATCATAAGCGAAGTGATAACAGAATGCTTAGAGTGGAGAGAGGAACGTGCTTTTGCTCCACTCCAGGCTTTATCACATCCCCCCTCAGCAGGGTGAATACGCATCATCTTTCCTTAATTTAAGACCTATTCAAACTAAAATTAAGACATTTATCACACTGTTTGCGAAATGAAAGCCTATTTACGGCCTTAAAATTATGAAAAGTTAATTTAAGACATAAGGACAGACGGGAACCCTGCAATTGACGGATATCCGTCATAGACTCGCTGCAATTAACGGAAATCCGTCGTAGCGACGGAGAACTTTAATCCCTGTGTACGGGAAAAACAAAATAGTCAGAATGATTAAAGGTTCGGTTGGGGTTGGAGGAGGGAGTTTAAATGCGATCAGCGATGCTATGGAGGAAATGCTGAAGGAATGGGAGTTTATATGTGCCGTGTGATAGATGACGTCGACACTGGATTGGAACACGTCAGGAACAGCTGATGCGAGCTTGGCTGACGTGGCCTGCCTGAACTAACGCGATGCTTGATTTATTTTTTCATGTTTTTATACGTTTTTCCGTTTTCACAAAACAAATGGAACAACAACAACCAAAAAAACTGGCCTATACAGAGTTTTATTACACAAATTATATTAGTGTTGATCTGAGTAATAAAAATGTGCAATGCGTAATACACAATTAAGAAAAAAAACAACAACAACAAGTAAGGTGGAAATGCAGTTTGAACCCACTGAAGCACATTCATATGTAAATACCACTGAAGTCACACAGGAACACAGAGATTTGGGGATTTGGCTGTACCATTGATGAGCCTCCATGGAGACTGAATGACCAAACACAGCCAGTGGAAATGAAGGCGATTGGCTGAATACAGACCGGCTACTTGTTTTCCAGCGAGAGACACTGAACCAGACCGCGGCCCTCAGTGAGTTTACTTATTAACAACCAGCCAGTAATATTAAGGGAAATACAGTAAACTCACTTTCCTTCTCTGGTTCTCTCTCTCATACCACTGCTACTATATAAAGTGAGTCTTCTACATAGAGTTGAAGTCTAGTGTGCAGCAGTCAGGATACTCACCCACCACTCCTGGTCCTCCTCACCATCCACCACGATGACCTCTCCCTCAGAGAACGTCAGCTCGTCTGGATTATCAGCCACACAGTTATACATGGCCTTCACACGCTTCGGCTTCTGCTTGCCACACACCGATCAGGTTTGGAAACACAAGAACATGTCACTTAGTATCTCATACACAGTATGGCATATTAGGTGGTATCCATCATGAATTCACTTGATTCACATGTCTGGAATTTCCTCTTGTGGTTAAACATACCAGGTAGGTTTTCCTGGGCATTTGGGTAGCGGCCAGAGTTTGACCAATGGTGTTTTGGGGGCCTCCAGGAACTTTAGCTGTTTAACAAAAAAAAAAAACACAGAAAATGACTTCACTGTCAGAATTGCCTTTTCAATACAATAATGGCAGCAAGCCTTTTTATTAAAACAATCAACTTACAGTTAACATGGTTTCTCTGACATCTACCTGGTCTCTCGATGGATCCAGAGCGCATCAGTGTGCTTTTACTGAAGGTTTTGTCCGTGCTGCAACCAACAAAAAGAAGAGATGTGAATATTGTGTTCAGTTCTTGTAATATTGAGTACTAAAAGTAACGATATTTAGACTCAGGTCATGCTCAGATGAGTGCCCTACTTGTGTCGTCCTCTGGCACTGTGTGCGTGAATGAGGACTTGAATAGGAATTAATGACCTGGTAAATCAGCAGTTCCCTATGGGCATTTTCCACCTCTGCATCCAGATAAGGACACGCTCACCTTTTACAGGAGTCAGACGCACCAAACACTGGAGAAAGTTCCACTCAAGGACTAGCGGCTAACCGCAGCTATAATGAGTCTGTGTTGTCCTATAGGGCAGGACTGTCAGAGTAGAGGGCATATGTGTGTGTGCATGTGGTCATGGGTTATTTAGTATTCTGACCTTGTAGCCCGGTTGACGTTCTGACCAGGAGGACCGTGTCCAGGTTTGGGTTGTATATTCTTGGCCTCCATCATACTGGCAGTTTTAGCCATAGGAGGGGGAGCACCACTGGGCACAAGAACTGCAGAGACCATCAAATAGATGCAATTATGTTCAACATAAACAGCTCACAACTACTAAAAAAAAGCACAGACGTTTCAATATTTTATTTTTGACAATATTGGTAGCAGGGTTCCCACGCGTGAATTTCCATGACTTTTTCAGTTTTCCTTGATTTCTGGATAAAGATGTATATTTTTATATAAAAAAATATGTCACACTTTAGTTTAGGGTCCAATTATTAACTAAGACCTCAATAAACTCCTGAATTACTGCTTATTAATAGTTGGTAAGGTAGTTGTTAAGTTTATAGGATTAATTAGAAAATGATACATTTCTTTAATCACATTTCATTATTTTTAATAACTATTTGCCTTTGGTTTGGGTTTGTCTTGTTTCTAAAGGTTAAGAATATTTATGTTTTATTTTGTTGCCTGTTTGCTAATAAGAAAAAATATTATATTAATGATAACAAAAATTATACATTTAAAATATACTGATATTAAATAGGCTTTTTTAAGTTTAAAATATAGTTTATGTATAGCTGATTAAATGTTGTTATTATTGAGTCACTGTAATAATAATGATATATAAATAATAAAACATTTAAAATATTCTTTACACTAAAAGAAAGTTTTTTGATATCTCATGCCATTTCAAACAGTTCAAAGTAACTTTTTGACCATGAATTAAGAGAACAAAAAGACAGATCTGAGCATATAGTGATCTTTAAATCCCCGAACACATGAATTGAATGAAAGAGAATGACAGCGAGCTTGTCCTGAAGTTGTTTTTGGAAATCAGAAAACAACCAGAATTTTTGAAGCCTGATACCTGCTATTGGTTCATGAATATCAATTAGGCTATGTGATTAGACAAACTCAACTCACAAACACAGCATAACCTAATTAATATTCATACGTTTAGACACACCGCCATGACATCACAACCAGCTGATCCAGGATCAATCAAAGAACAATCTGACTCAAATCTAATCTTCTTAACACAAAGCACTCGGCCTCGAGCAAAAGTTCATCTACTCATTAATGTACAGCCAACTCACGGGAAGTGGATGTGACCCGTAAGGGGGGCGCTGGGGGGTGCATGTTGGGGGGGTCAGAGGAAGATCTCTGCCTGCCGGTCAGATCTAGGGAGCCAGGCTTCCAACCGGGTGATCCCTGAGCTATTCCAGCAAGACCAGACGGCTGTACTGTGGGAAGAAGAGAAGACGAAAAAAAGATGAAAAGAGAGGACAGCGCTTTTGTTAACTCTTTTTCTGGACTTTGGTCCTGCTCCAGACCTGCAGAGATCCATTATGCATCTAATTTCATTAGTGTCTTATGGGATCCACTTCAAAGCCTCACTCATCTCGTTCTAACACAGAAATCAGTGTCTTTTTTTTTTATCCAAGTGAAACTCTAACAGACAAATTCCACCAATTTCCTGTTTACTGGCATCTCCCTTGTTATCTTAACAGACCTGTAAGTTCTCTCAGAACATTTCTGAAAGCGTTTGAAAGACGCCCAGCGTTTGAGCTCATAACGGCTCCGTCCAGAGACTTTGGGAGCGCACATATAGGTCAGAATCTTCACACGGCCGTTGCCATGGAGCTCTGCAGTGTAACTGGGTGAGGGTGAGAATCCAAGAACAGGTCAAAGATTTCTGCCATTTTAAGACCTGACATTTGTGAGGCTAAAAATACAGCAGCCAGTTGTGGCCTGAACAGAATTAGTGACTCGTAGAATTATTTGCTTTCTGTGTATGTTTAGTATATTTTTCATGTACAATTTTAAATATTAACAAAGTGGATCCAGCAATGATAAAAAAAAAAAAAAAAAAAAAAAAAGTAGTTGAAGTAGTTCAAATGTATGCTAGACTGTTTATATACACACTCACCGGCCACATTATTAGGTACACCTGTTCAATTGCCCGTTAACACAAATATCTAATCCAGCAACTCAATGCATTTAGATATGATCAAGACAATCTGCTGAAGTTCAAACTGAGTGTCAGAATGGGGAAGAAACTTGATTTAAGTGACTTTAAATGTGGCATGGTTGTTGTTTGGGCTGATCTGAGTATTTGAGAAACTGATCTACTGGGATTTTCACGCATAACCATCTCTAAGGTTTACAGAGAATGGTCAGAAAAAGAGAAAATACACAATGAGTGGCAGTTCTGTGGGGGAAAATGCCTTGCTGATGCCAGAGGTCAGAGGAGAATGACCAGATTGGTTCAGCTGATAGAAAGCCAACAGCAACTCAAATAACCACTCGTTACAACCGAGGTCTGCAGAAGAGCATCTCTGAACACACAACACACCGAACCTTGAAGCAGAAGGACCACAGCAGCTGAAGACACACCAGGTGCCACTCCTGCCAGCTAAGAACAGGAAACTGAGGTACAATTCACATGGGCTCACAAAAATGGGATAATAGAAAAAAACGCCTGGTCTGATTCACAAAAAGATTGTCACAAATCTCAACTCATCTCAAACTGGTTTCTTGAACATGAAAATTAGTTGATTATACTCAAATGGTCTCCACAGTCACCAGATCTCAGCCCAATAGAGCACCTTTGGGAAGTGGAGGAACGGGAGATTCGCATCATGGACGTGCAACTCACAAATCTGCAGCAACTTGTGATGCAAAATCTCAGGAATGTTTTCAGCACCTTGTTGAATCTATACCACAAAGAATTAAGGCAGTTCTGAAGGCAAAAGGGTCTTTTTCTTCTCTCAATCGGTGTTTTTTCTTTTATCTGAGTGAAATTAGTACCTAAATTTCGGGGTGGTAGAGGTGGAGCAGAGGTGGACAGGGTGACCGGTGAGTTGGTGTTGATAATGGTTCCATAGGTCTCGTTGTTGACCAGGTTTGGCACGAACCGCTGCTTGTCTTTGACCATGTCTCGAGCGTCTCGTGCCAGGCTGGCTGGACTGGGCTGAAGGGAGTTACTGCCCGGTGTGTAGCAGCTGATGGGCCTCTCGTCCCGCCGGTGAGGACTGGACTATAGACACAAAGGTCATAAGTGGGACTGGGTAAACACATTGAATATTCCACAAAAAAAAAAAAATCAACAGATTTTGCAAGCAAAACAAAAATTAATCAACATTTTAACAATTGAGATGATTACAAAGCACTTATTATTTGGTCAATTGAATATTTGGACATCAGCAAAATATGCGCTTTGAAATGCGGAATCAGTTCAAACTGTCTAAGCGAACTGATTAAATATAATCCAATATAATTATTTCTTGTGTTCATTTAGTTAAAACAGCGTTGAAAACATGCCTTGATTATTTTTTACTGGATTTTTCCTATATTTTAATCTACTCTGCTACAATAACTATTTAAATGAAAACTAAATATTACTAAATATCTACACACACTAAATTAGACATTAGCTATTACTAAATATCAACACATATACACACAAATATATTAGTGCAACCAAAATACTTCTCCTTCAGGAGTTTTTCCTCACCTTCTCATCCAGATCTTCATCACTCTCGTCCAGGTCTTCATGCTGAAGTCTCCACTCGTACTCCACATGCACATGAGCATTGAACTTCCCTGCAAGTGCCTGGTTCAGCTAAAAGAGAGACAAGCATACCATAAACAACATCTTAGGCCAGTTATCTCACATATTAAACTACAAGAACGTTGTATGTACAACAGGACAGCTCACCAGTTCCTCACACTGCAGGTGTTTGAGTCGCCTGGCGATGTCAAGCGGGGTCTCGCCAGCCTCATTAGCTAAATATACACAGAAACACATTTCAAGAGGAGGATACACTGGTTTGATACATTTTACAAAGCATCACAGTCGCCAAGCTGGAAAGAATGAGGTTCCCGCCACATTCTGTACTCTTGGCTTCCTGTGCTGAATTTGACTTTACAGACAAGACAAAGCCAAGTCGATCCAGACAGCTTGCTCACAAAAGATGCTGCCAGGGATCTGAGAGGAGATTCCCTGGCACAGATTCACCCACCCACATACACACACACACACACACGCAGAACCGCTAGGTAACATATGACTCCCTGTTATCTTTTCTTCCCATTCTTGGTGGACAGATTGTCAATAACAGAACAACAACAGAATTACAAAATCACCACACTAACTTTTCCCAGCAGTCAAAATAAGGACATGGTGTGAGAACAACATCCTAAAAAAAGTGCCACCAGACAAATCAAGGATCCTGGGAATTCCTTAAAGACATCATGAAAGTGACCCCGTCAATATGTCACACCCAAACTTCCTGTTTCAACAGGGACAACAGGAGATTTGATTTGCTGCATACCGATGTCTATAGAGGCTTTTCCTCTCAGCAGAAGTTTGAGACACTCGCTGTTGTCCGTCAGGCAGCAGTAATGCAGCGCTGTACTTCCTTTAGCCGTTTGCTTATCCAAGTTTAAACTGAGGGGAGAGAAACACACAATTTTGCCTGTTTAGAAAGCATTCAATCTCAATTTTCCATTCCAGGCACAGCTATAATTGCCTCTTTAACATTCAAAACCAGCACTTTTAAACAGCTTTGGTCAAATCAATGACAAAAAAAGCCGTTCATTCAGATTTAGTTGTTGGGTAGCATCAGTCAAGCATCAGTAAGGAGGGGAAATAAACTCGGGAAAGGTGTTTTCCAGCCTCTGCTCGGCTGTCTGAGTCTTGCCTGTTCTGGGTGAGGAAGTCTATGATGTGAAGGGAGGTTCTGTCCACCAGTCTCACGGCCAGATGAAGGGCGGTCTCACCTTGTTCCTACCACACCAAACAAACAAACAACATGACATTTATACAGTAGCTTGTGTTTGTGCATTAGAGCCACTCATGATTGAATAGACCATGATATTTTGGGCCAATTAACCATGAGTACTTATATACAGAACACTTATGTGATCTTTCGTGAAAATGTAGCCTGTTCAGTTTTATGTAGTAGTTTGCATGTTCTCCCTGTGTCTGGCTGGGTTTACCCCAATCTAAAAACATGCAGTATACGAGAGTTAGAGAGGCTAAATTGTCCATAGTAAGTGTGAATGCGTCTGTGTGTGTGAGTCCCAAGTCACATGATGGGGAGGGTTGGGGAAAGACCTGGCGACCTACCCCGGAAAAATCATCGGCAAGAAAATACATGAACAGTCTCTCGCATATGGCGAATATGATGGTTAATGAATGATGTTGATGATTCATGTGAAACTAAAATATTTATTATACTCAAAAGCACACAAGTTTTCTGTGCTTGAATGCAAAATATTACTGAATACTGTCATGTTTACAGAAAAATACCATGAATTTCCTCCAAAATATCCCAGTAACGGTTACTACTGTAAATTCATGATAAATTAGTAAGGGATCGGATTCAAATAGAGCAATATTATATATATGTATATATAGTACTTAAATATTTTATTTTATTTCAAATGCCAATATATTAGATAAATCCACATTAAAAAAACAGGAAAAAACTACTGTATTTAATAATAAATGAGTAAGGGACCACATTTAAATATAAAACAAGTACATTTTATCTGAATTTTATTTCAAAGTATAAATTAAATAAAAATTCAAATCCACATTATCTATACACACACGTACAGTCTTGGTCATAAGTTTACATACACCTGGCAGAATCTGCAAAATGTTCATTATTTTAACTAAATATAAGAGGGATCATGCAAAATGCATGTTATTTGTTTTTATTTAGTACTGTCATGAATAAGGTATTTTACATAAAATGTGTTTACATATAGTCCACAAGACAAAAAATTGATTCATTTATAAGCATGTATTTTTGTATGATCCCTTAGTTTGTTAAAATAATTAACATTTTACAGATTCTGCAAGATGATGTAAACTTTTGACCACGACTGTACATACACAGAGACACACATACTGTATTTTTTTTTCACCTGTGGTTTAACGTTAAATGTGGATTTAATTTATACTTTGAAATAAAATTCAAAGTATGAAAAAAAAAGACATTTAATTATTATTTGATTTTTTTTTGTATTTTTTTTTTGTATTTTAACGCAAACTATGATTACCATGGTAAATGTTTGTAAAGGAAGTAACTGAATAACTCTTATCAAATCCGAGGAAAGATAGTAACAGACTCACATGGCCATTGGCCAGAGGAATCGGCTCCATTAGGTCGACCCCCTCAGCGTAGACCTGAATGAGAGAGAATATATCCCGGGCCTTCACGGCATCACAGAGCGTGTGCAGCTTCGACAGCGCGTCGGGGCACTTCTTACGAGCAAAGCGCTTCTCCGTGTACTTGGCCATGATGAAGTCTTTCCTCGCCTGCCTGAGGCATTAAAAGGAAATTAAACAAGAATGAATTAGCATAAAAATACAACATCAGTGATGACAAATTCCCAAAGAGAAACTTTGGCTTACATGTCACTGGCTGGGTTTGGTTTGATCACGTCTTCTGCCGTCAGACAAGCTTCCATGATCTCATTAAATCCAGCATTCCCCACGTTCTTGGCCAGCTAAACACCACAACACACACATGCATGCAAACACACGCATGAAATCAAAACAAAAACTAATTGCATTTCGCAACTCTAAAGTATCAATAAAAGCATTTATTCAGGGTCCATTTGATCTGTTTTGTTACTTCATAATATCCCAATCAGCCAAACAATGTCTCTTGGCACTCAATCAGAGACCCGAGGCTTTCTCACTGTGGCTAATAGTTCTGCAGTCTTGTGTAATTGCTTTAATGATCCTAAATTGCAAGCCAAAAAAGCTTTGGGCTGAAATCATGCGTGTGGAATAACTCCCAAAGAGCCCAAGTGATTTAAGCAAACCCTATAAAAATTTCAAAGAATTGAAAGAATCCAGTGCAAACTAAATAAATAAAGCCAATCTTAGGCTTCCAGCAGCAGCGCTGGGGAATCTGTGAAATCAAAGATCAAGCACTAACCAAGAGCTCGGAGGTGCTGAGAACATCCAGTGTTAGAGACTGGATTCTGGAGTAGTGCACACCCAACTCCCGGTGGATCCCTGAACATTCGATACAAGTCAGGATGCCCAGGTTGGTGGAGAGCCACGTGGGACCTGAGGGAGAATGAGAGGGGAGAAGAAGCTGTCAATCAAGAATGTGTAACATCGAAACGGAACTTAAAAGATGAAACGGCTAATCCTCATTCCCACAATGATTGTCAAGTAGAGTTTTATCATTGATCAATTATGCAAATTGCTGGAGCGAGCAGTTAGCACACACACTACTCTAGCTTGCAACTGTTCTTGATCCCAAAATATCCAGAGTTGTTTTGGGAAAGGTAAACTAAATAAAAAATGCATAATAATAATAATGATGATGATGATAATAATAATAAATTAACATTATTATATTAATTGGAATAATAAACAAATGTTGTTGACATCATTGTAATATTACATTATTATATTTTATAAATTGATCAAATTAATTTTATATAATGAGGTACTTTTAGAAAATAAATAAATACAATCACATTATATAATAATAATAATGATTATTATTATATTAATTCGAATTTTAAATTCTACCATATTCAATTTACATTTTTATTATTTTGTTTTGTATTTATTATTAGTTTTAAACAAATATATTAATTCGATTTTTTAATTTAAAATTACCATATTTAATTTAATTATACAGTATATCTTTATTATTTTTTGCTGCATTTATTATTATTAAAAAATAATAATAATGAATACGTTATAAGTATAAATTATCATTATTGTATTAGATTATTATATTTAATAAATGTATTACATTATATAATTATTTTATTGTTGTATTATTATTATTTAATTAATGTAATATTTAATACATATTATTATTTTCATCATCATTTTAAAGTTACATTATATTTAATAAATCAATTAAATTATATAATAAATAAATGTTGTTATTACTAGCATTATTGAAATACATTATTATTAATATATGTAATAAATTAATTAAATTGTATAATTATATTTATTGCTGTATTCATTATTAAACAACAATAATAATTATAATAATAATGAGAGAATAAAGATAGATGAAATTCAGCCTTATTGTGGCAGTTTCTTTTTTCTTCTTTTTTTGACAGGTTGTTTTGTTCCGCAGGTCTTTTCTTTCCTGACAGGTCCAAACAGAGCAGCATATGCAAATTCGATCATTTTAACCGAGTTCCTTTACTACCGCTTTGTTCTTCCTGTGAGACAATTCAAAACAGCCCCCCTCCCTCCTTCTCCACTTCCTCCTTCCTGTCGATGTCCAGGTTACTCACCGGGAGCTCCACAGTCACAGCAGACGTCGTTCCCCGCCATCCGCTTGACCTCACCCAGGATGGCCTTGGTCAGCTCCTGCACAATGTTGTTCTCGCCAACATGCTGGTCTCCCTTAAAGGCGTTGTTGAGCGCCTCCTCCTTGCTGTTCTGCAGAACTGAGATCCATCTGAGAAGAGACGCATAGATAACGGAAACGCTGTTGTTACTTACTCCCTAAAACTCTTGAGAATATCATATGACAGGTTTCAGGACGCACAGCACACACAAACACACTTACATTTGACACTCTGGCTCATCCTCTGCCTGGAAATGATACGTTCTGTCATCTAAGAGTGAAAGAAAAAGAGAAAGACTGTTAGATCAAAGGACAAATAGATCTTGGTGAAAACAACGTGACAAAGATCTGCCCTATATTTTGAGTACAACTCTGAGTAACAATCCCTTTTCACACTGATTTGTACCAAAATTACAATAAGGTCCATATGTTATTATATTTTTTTGTCGCAAAATGTTGTGATATCCTACATGAAACACTACAAATAGACAGGACTGTCATTCGGTTGTAATAAACATTGTAAAAAGTTGTCCTGGCGAATTTGATCCAACTAAACTAGCTTGTATAACATTCATAATTTATGTCCAATGAAATTTCCATAAATTTTAGTATTGTTTATATACCATTATAGTATTCATTTATTATTCATTAGTAGTGTTTATTAAAGCTCCAGTCCGTGGCTTTTCCTCTTTGTCGCCATCTGTCTGTTCGAAATCTGTAACTGCAGTGATTCGCGGAATTATCATCTTTACGTGGGTTGTAAATCGGCATGAAACAGCGCGGATGAACACAGTGCTTTGAGGCGAGTGCTGCTGTCAGTCACCGCGCTGTGTGGATACTGTCATTCAGAATCACAGATTCACTTTTTGAAAGTTTGACCAACATAAGAATTTTCATAAGAAAATGTCTTCTGAACAAGTAAGTAACATCCATTTTTGTTCTGACCAACTAAGGGGGAAAAAGCATTCGACATGATAAGCTTCGTTAGATTTAATCAACGCGATTTACAGCAACCGTGCAAATTATAGCCTACTTTGTTCTCAAATTCATGTTAACAACATCACATCAGCATAGCGTGACTAATGTTAAATTTAATGTGTTTTATGGTTACCTGTGTAGTTCAGAATTCATATTCTCCATAATAGCAAAACGAGAAAGGCACAACAAAGGAAACTCCATAACTGTGAATTAAGAAAACGTACTGTTACACGATTGAACTATTGAAATGTCTTACTTGTTCAGCAGAAAAAAGCCGTCTCTTCTTCCGTTTTGAACCCCTTCAAAACACGGAGTTCACACACTTTTCAAAAGCCCCGCCGATGTTTAAATCCTTGTGTTCGCATGAGACGGTTTCTTTCTCTTTCTCTAGCCACCTTAAATCCGAAGTACGAAGTCTTTTGGGTTTTATAACTGCTGAATCTCCAGTTGACACTGATGATTGTTGTTTGGATCTTTCTGGATGCCATAAGTTTAATTATGTAAAGTGCTGCGAGAAAAGCCTATACATCTAAACATCTCGTCACGCGCAGTATAGCCGAAGGAGCCGAAACTCCTTCTTTATGTGTACGGGTGTGACGTCATGACTCAAAGACATGCTCGAATTTCCCGCGGAAACCCACCAGTACCACTGGAATTAAAATCATTATTACAAGCTAACCGTTTTGAATCTAGCTATGGCAAGCAGATATTTTTGACCACTGGCAGAATAAGTTTTTTTTAATATAATTATTTTGGATTGTTTTTAACTTAAAAAAGTTACGGACTGGAGCTTTAATATTCTGAATTAGCTTTTATTTTTATATTTTCAGATTTGATTGCAATTTTAGTTTATGTTTTAGTCATTTTAAAAGTTTAGTTTGTTTTTTAGCTTCTATTTATTTTTATTTCAGATTCTAGCTTGTCATTTTATTGCTTAAACTAATCTAATTATAATTATCTAATATTTATAATTTATCTTATATTTTATTCAGATTTAATTCAATTAACAAAAACGTTTTTTAATAGTTTATAAAATTAAAAAATCGAATGAATAAAGATCTCATTTAATAGGGTTATTTCCGAGGCTCTGCTGTTTTGAATACACTATCTGAAGAACCTTTTTTTTTTTTTTTGCACCGTTTACATTTGCATTCTGTACCATTTGTTTTCATCAGTTTATATTTTTGGTATGGGTGTGTGTGTGCACTTTTCGAATGAGAGACTAAATTTCATTGTACAATGACAATAAACATATTCAATTCAATTCTACTGAGGAAGAAACGCTTGCATTTCCCTCACAAGAGTGACACTGTGAGAATCTATTTGGAATGAGGAAAACTGGAAAAAAAACATAAGAGGACGGGGCAGGCAAGATAAGCTCAAACTCTCCCACTCATGGAGCGACACATAAAACTGAACTTGTTTTTCTCTCTGACATTAGTTTCCTGTGGTTAGATGAGATGTTAAAGGAAGCACAGGAACATGGGAGAAAATCCCTCAGCCAGGGTCAGTGTTTCCTCATAGATAACAACAACACAGTTACACTGTACCCTTAAAGTTTTTTTTTTGCTCTGAACATTCTCAGCTAGGTCTTTAGCAGCCAGGTTTTAACTACATTTTACAGATCTCCCAAATCGGATTTATAAACATGTGTGTGAAGTAAATGTGACGGGTGTAACCGTACGGGAGATGAGGTCGAAACTTTTCTTCTCCTCTGGGTTGTGCTTCACCTGACAGGTGAGAAGATTGAGTTTGGCAGGAGGTCTGTTAGCCTGAGAGAGAGAGAGAGAGAGAGAGAGAGAGAGAGAGAGAGAGAGAGAGAGAGAGAGAGAGAGAGAGAGAGAGAGAGAGAGAGAGAGAGAGAGAGAGAGAGAGAGAGAGAGAGAGAGAGAGAGAGAGAGAGAGAGAGAGAGAGAGAGAGAGAGAGAGAGAGAGAGAGAGAGAACATTTCAGAACATCCATCATGGTGTGATACAAAAAAAGTCTCATTACTATAATGCAACAATTATGATTTATTATTTACTGTGAAATATTTATACATAATGGTTGTATTTGTTGTACTGGATTTAATTTATACTGATTAAATTTTTATTTTTAAATTGCATTACCATATCTTTTTTACTTAAATACAGGAAAAACTACACTCTTAAAGTAATAAGAATCTAACAAGAATAATTACACGAAAAGAACATTCATGAAAAGAACTCGCACACAAAAAACCCTAATGGTCCTTAAACAGGATTCATTTTCGTTGTCCAATATCTTGCTTATTTTTTCTATTTCTTTTAGTTTTAATGATATTCACTCTCAGACCACCTATATTTCACATTCACCTTTATAAATCCCTTCATAAATGTACGTGTATTTGGCTTTTTTTCATACATATAAAAAATTGTCATAACTCAGCTGTTAATTGCTGCCTTACTTTAAAGGGATAGTTCACCCAAAAATGAAATTCTGTCATCAATCACTCACCCTCATGTTGTTCCAAACTCGTAAGACTTTCGTTCATCTTCAGAACACAAATGAACACGAGAATGAACCTCATTGGTTCTGCTTACTGAAGCTCAAACTTGTTGCGTAACACGAGAATGAACCTCATTGGTTCTTGCACGTCAAACGAACATCCTTGAGCTTCCATTTACCACAACTGATGTGTGAGTTGATGAATGTGTATATGTCGTTCCAAATCCAAAAGTCTTACAGGTTTGGAATGACATGAGAGTGAATGATTGATGACAGAATACTAACCCCTTATTCAACCGCTGAATTCCTCTTTTATACTACACTTCCTGTAATCCCCTCGCCAGTTGTCTTGGTCTTCAAGTCTGAACAGCACTGAGGGCAAAGGAAATGGCTCTAGAAAATACACTAGAATGACTAATGATGTTCACCAAGTGGCTAAAAGCCTACTGAGTTAGCACTGCACTAATGAGGAAACTCCCCTGATTTATCAAAGATAAGGTGGCTGCCCCTCTTTTAATTCATTCATCAATTATTATTATTATTAATTATTTTTTTAATTATCTTTTTAGTTTAAATAAATGCTCATACAGCGTGACAAATTAATTTTTAAAAGCACAAATATTCCCTTTAGTCTCAATTAAAATAAGCATAAAACTGTACTCTATCAATATGTTAAGATTCTTTGTCCCATCCCTATTAATATGTTAAGATTCTTTGTCCCATCCCTATTAAAATTGAAAGTTACACTGTCACTGCGCGACTTGGCATTTCAACTACCCAGATGTTAGTTAGTGAATGTAGAAGCATATGAGCACGGAAACCAATCAGATATGAAGAAGGTCAGATGCGGTTACGTACCGTCCCGTGCGAGATAGTCAAATAACCGTTCTTCACTGTGCACTTTCTCTTCTGCCACACTTTCCGCAACCTGAGGAAGGAGGCAGGAAACAGTAAAAGTCACATCAACATACAACAAAGATTTAAACACACCTCCACTGCTCTAAATACATGATCAATTACGCAAGATGGACTTTAGTCGCTGTAATGAGTGTGCATCAACTCACTATATGGCATTTTAATGCACACTCTGTTATGTGATGCCAAAATATGATTACCCATCGCTCTTCTTGTAAAGGTTCCCGCTGCGGTCCGTCCCGTGTTCTTTGTTGCCCTGAGGCTGGTGTAGACTGTAGGTGGCGCTCTGTCTGACCTGTGAGTCCTGTGAGGAGATGCAGATATGTAAGTGTATTCTCTGTACACACAGCAACAGTGAACCACTGGCATGTCAGCAGTCAGAGGAAGCGAAAAGCTGGGGGGTTTTTACGGCAGTGTTGTCACTCCAGTGAGGAAATGGGAGCAGTGGGCTTCAAGCCTCTCCAGGGAGCTGAGCTCATTTGGAAACGCACTGTTTTGGAACACAAGGCTCTGAGCCAGTAATGAGAACGCTTCCATTTTAGTACTGATGTTTTGAGTTGAGCGAAAGCCAAAATGAGCTGTATTCTGTATTCTGACTGTAAAAAGCTCGGCTTAAACATACTGCCATATCAATCAGGGTCGGATAAAAGACATCAGTGGCAACATTAGAGCCTTAGATTTAATAAATTAATCTGCATTGAATGTTTTTTCTTCTACATTTTGTAAACAAAAGGCAAATGCGCAAATATGTTCATGTATACCAAGTAGGCACTTACTCTCCTAGACTTCGTTGCCAAAGGTCGGTAGCATTAAAGAAGAGAAGAGAGCATTCTTTAGACAGGTTATTCATGCATTTTGTAGACCAAACTGAAAACAACACTCCTACACACGGTAGGAAATCATCAAACTCCAAACTTTGGGTAATACCAATAGCCAGTTATTTGTATGTTATGGTTGATAATCAATAAAAAAAAAAGAAATCTAATAAAAACCCAAACACTTAAATTCACACTTAAAGGGTTAGTTCACCCAGTATCACTCTTAGTTCACTCAATCTCTGAGATTTCATTTAAAATATCTTCATTGATGACTTTTTTTTTTTTTTTGGGTGAACTAACCCAAAAATTGAGAGTAATATGCTGCTTGAAATGGGAAAAAATAGTCGATGTCATCCAAATAAGACTGTTGCCTACTGAAAAAGATTTTTTTTTTTTTTTTACCACATGATCACAAATATATTGTGTACTCCTTTAGTAAACAAGACTGACAAAAATAATATCAAAATAAAAATAATAATAAAATCAAATGAAATAATAAAATCAAATAAATTGTCAGAAACCACGATCACAGATATATTGTACACACCTATAGTAATAAACGCCATAAATAAATAAAATATGTAGGTTGAAAACACTATGATCCCAGATATATAGTGCGCTCTTATAATAAACAGGGCTGTCAGGTGTAACCCAGTAGTGTAATGTAAGATGGCGGGACAAATAAAACTCTTAGTTGTTCACATGGAGTTAAGAGGATTGTTAACTTCTGATTATTTGCATTGAGATTAAATGTGTGTAATCTCTTAATGTCTGTAATCATATATGCTAAAGCTACTTGCGCGAGAAAACACGTAAATGTCTCGAGACTGACTAAAGCTTAAGGGGGAGAAAATTGGCAGGAAGATGATGCTGTAGAGGTTGATCACCAGGTTCAATGCGATGTTTACTGAGAGAAGAGCTGAGCAGAAGTAAAATATTTTAATCGATACACATCAAACACATCACAGAGCACTATGAATAGTTTTTCTATTGCTGTGCATTGTGAGAGATTTGATTTGAGAAAGGACTAACCTCCTTCTGCTCCACTTGCAGAGATGTCTTTAGCACGTCCCGTAACTGGGTTAGCTGCCTGCGTTCTTCATCTTGTACCTGTTTGATCTGAAGACATAATCAGAAGTGGAAACAGAAGTTAAAAATGAGAACTGATCTTGAGATCGGTGGTGTGAGCCACGTTAGGGCCCGGTATGGCAATGCTTCGGCTGTGAATATCTCACCGAGTGCAAGTCTGTGGCGAGTTTTTCTATTGAGGGTTTGAGGTTGTCCACTGCTTTGAGACCATCCTGAAAGAAGCTATGACAGAAGACACAATGCCAGTTATTTTCTAAATAATTAAACACAGGCTCCATTTCAGTTAAAACATTTTTTATAAAAACAACACTGGACTCAATTGACTTTGACAATGTATGGACACAAAAAACACTCTTTAGAACATTGCTCAGAATATTTTTGTTTGTGTTCCACAGAACAAAGAAAGTCATAGAGCTTTGGAACCACATGTGGATGAATACATGGTAAATGAGTTTCATTTCTGATTGAACTATCCCTTTAATTGCTTTAAACACACCCTTAAAATATAAATATTAAGTATAAAGATGCCTACCTAAAAAAAAAAAAAAAAAATTTTTTTTATTTACATTTTGCACCTTTTTATGCCCAAAAATGCTGTCTTAGGGCCGGTACACACAGAATACATTTTTGAAGGTCAGTGGAACAGAAAAAAAAAAACATTGATAGCGGCTCCCTGACGCCAGCAAATTAAATACAATACCCCGTAAACCAAGCGAGGGAGAGAGAAACCGTTTTCACTAAGAATTATTTTCAGCGAACCAATCACAAGTGGTCAGCCAGGACGCATTTTCGTTTACACATGGTATCGCATTATCACAATATAATGTAGTATTATATATATATATGGGGGGGGGTGTGCCATTTCCCAGAATGAGTTGTCGCAGGGTGGGAGTCTGAGACACGTTTTTTTTTTAAAGATGAACAATTTAAATTGTGGCGGCATTTTTAGAATGCGTCACGCGCAAGACTGCAAAAGATGCGAGACGCAAATGCATTAAATGGGTTAAATATGTCCGTCTTGCACGTGTTCACATAGAAAAACAATAGAAAAGTAGCGCAGTGTTCTGTGTGAGCCGGCCCTTATGATGGCCATTGTTTAATACAAACGTTGGCATGTGGCCAGACTTACTTGCACTGTGCATGAAAGTATTTGATGAGATTCTGGAGCAGGTCGACACCTTTCTTGATCTTGATTTCGTTGACTTTGAGGAGGTACTGTAACAAACCAATGGAGGAGACTAAAACACACACTGCACAGGAAGTGCCTATTACAGCACCATAACACCATTCTCCAATGAAATTAGTCTCTTCTGACCTCACACATCTGAAGCTGAAAGAAACGGCGCTCCTTTTCCATCTCCTCTGCTATCTCCGCTCCACTGATCTCAGTCCGGATCATTCCATGTTGTCGGGCGTGCTCTTTTTTCTCCTTCTCTATTTTAGAACTGCGCGAAACACACAGATGACCTTAATATTCGGATACACAAATACAAACACACGCACAGGAAACACTCATGCAGCAGGGCATTCTTTTCCATATGCTCCAGCGGCATATTGTACCCCGCGTTACGGATGCAGCATTTCCTCTGTTGGGAAGGATTCCAGAGAGAGCCTCATGCGTTTGGTTTAGGCTTTTATACGCTCTCAGCTCCAGCGGCCGATCATGAAGCAGGCTGGCCATTTCTGGAACCTCTGCTTTCAGAGTTTCAAGCCTAGCGTGGAGATGTGATCAGGAGATGGCTGAACACTAGAAGCCATTTCCAGTACAAAACATTTCTAGTTAGTGAAACTAGAAAAGGTAAAGGCAAAAAAGGATTGTGATAAAATGCATCAAGCGCTGAATGAAGTGATGTGTTAGCATGAGAAGCTGCCTCTGACAACAATTTTGATTTCTGTATTTTAGTGATGGGGAGAAGCCAGAATATAAACTTAAAAGGTTTTTTTTTTTTTTTTTTTTTACCCAAAAATATAAATACTTTTTAGGATGTTTACACGACTCATGTACTAAACATCGAAAAGTTCTTCCTTTGCGTTTTTTTGCGTACAGACGATAACATTGTAAAAATGATCCCCGTTCACATGGATCCGTGAAAACGACTAAAAACGCTGTACTATGCATGCCAGGCCAGTAGTTGGAGATGTCACTTTGTAAAGAAACATTGGAAATGCATGCACATGATGTCACCGTTTTTACAAATTTTAGTTTTTTTAAGACGATAATGGTTTTATTCCCAAAAAGCTGTTGTCGTGTAAATGAACAGCCAAAATGCATACGTTTTCTGTATTTAGTTGAAAACGGTGCCGTGTAAATGGCCCTTTAGCGGTTGAAGGGATTGTTTAGCCAAACAAAAAAAATTACTCACTCTCATGTCATTCCAAAACTCTATGCACTTCTATCCTGTGCAGAACACAAAAGATGTCATTTAAAAAAATGTATCAGTTTTGTTTGGTTTTTGTTTCGTGCAATGAAAATCAATGGGGTTCAATGTTATTTGGTTCCCAATGTTCTTCAAAATATCTTGTGTTTCACAGAAGTAAGAAAGTCATACAGCTTTGTTAGAGCATGAGGGTGAGTAAATAATGAGAATTTTTTTTTTTTTTTTGCAAACTATTCCTTTATTTACACTTTTTGATAGTGTTACAGAAGATCAGCTGTTTAAAATAATGTAGCTTTTCCAGAAACCAGAAAATTTTGCTTGCAGTATTACATAAAAACTGTCTCTTTCAAATAGCACTGTCAAGTCTGATTCACTTTAGTGAACCTGTTCTAACATATGGTTCCAAAGAATATTTGAATTCAATGAACCGTTTCAGAAACTTGCTGACTAATTTGCACCACTCAATGTTTCCAAAAGTCCTTGCATTGCAAGGTTTTCTTTTTTTCTTCTTTTTTTTTGTAGCCAAACGTTTTTTGTGTGTGGCTTTTTTTATTGCAAAAGCCAGGTAACAATAAAAAATGTAAATATTAAAGCCTATTTAATATTTTTTTAATCCATCTTTGATTTAAAAAAAAACTTGACAACTGAATGTGGTGTAGTAAAATAAATATTTAATGAAATACTCCTAATTATTTTTTGGGTTATATTAATTATTCATTGTCAATAGTGTAAAATTCTTTCTATTTTTACTTCTTGTAGAATTTTATATATATATATATATACAAATTCTATCCAATAAAGGCATCAAAAAGTTGTTTTTTTTAAATATAGCTAACGTTTTTCAAAGTAGCTTCCCCGACAATGATTACTTACAATGAGGTATTGCATCTGTACATCTGACAGATGGAAGAAATGAGTCTGAACAGACTCCCTCATACCAGCACATCACTTCCACGGGTGACTGTAAAGAACAGTCCACCATTTTTACTGAAAATAAATCATGTTCAATATCAAACCAGTTAAAAATAAATCAACATAAAATGGTGGAGTGTTGCTTTCATATTTGGGAGAAAGAAACACACGCAAACGAAGTAAATATGAATCGTGATTTGATGTTTCCCACTGTTCACCTGCTCTCTCGAGCCACAATTTCAGATTCTCTGACTATTACACAAACACAGCGAGATCTCTAGCATACTCATCAGCAGGATATTTGCACTAATGAAGCTTGCCACGCAAACTGCAATTTGCGAGAAAGCCGAAAGCTTTGCACAGACACAGAGATTGAAGAGAACTCAAACTGTAGCGGTGGTGACGATGAAAACCAGTTTAATGAAGTTAGGGCCAGTGTCACATTAGAGGCTGGTTTTGTTTCTTGCTGTCTGGAAACATGAAGGTATCGGTCAAAATCAGACACCGGAGATTATATCCAGTGATGGGCAAGTGAAACATGTATTTGACTGAGCCAAACTGCCGATGATGGAAAACAGCAATGATATTTATAAAGACAGGACCATAAAAGGTAAAGGTAAATCAATTAATCAAATGATGTGTTATAAGAAAATATATTACCCTTTTAGTAAAGAATGTCCCTTGCAGCTTGGGAAATATATAAGAAGTGCTCTATAAATGTCATACATTGTGGCATGCAGAACAATCAGTGTGATAGCATAGGATAGGAGTACAGGAAGTGAGGTGGTCACAATGACAGCTCATTATCCAGAGTGCTGGGCGGCACTGATCCCTCATTTTGACACTCGGGAAACTGATGCTTCCTTTCAATTTGATTAATTTTCAGACTGAGATATAAACATAAGCAAACACGCATGACAGAAATGAATCAATGGTTTTAGATTATTTGAAAATGTCTTACACTTTAGTCTCATAGTCTTTCCAGGCTTTATCAAAGGGCTTCTTGAGATCCTGCAAGAGAGAGAGAGAGAGAGGATTTTCATTAGACAAACGTATGACTCAACTTTCATTTTGACTTCTGTGTAGCAGTGTAACCCAAATAACTAGGCCTGAGCAACAGCGTTTTGTCTCACAGAGCTAGACGTTTCACTATCAGCATAATGTCTGGTCCAGGTTGTAGAATTTTATGCAATGTTGTTGTCCTCTGAACATCATGATATGCCTTCAGCATTGCCATACAATTCGATGTTAGCTCATTGGTTGTGTTGTATGCATTGAGGAACATTAACGCAAATTATCAAGATTGTTTAGACTGGATGCATCAGCCAGACAATCAGATTGGAGCTTGTGTTTTGCACAAAACAGGCAATGCCGTTTGAGACTTAGATAAGCAGAATAGTGGCATAAAATCACCACTCATTTGCCAAACTCAGTGTGCATCATCACGCATGATGTCATGCTCATAAAGAAAGTACCTGATGTAATGCCAGTGGCTGCTTTTTGTAATGACATCATCTGAAAGCTTTAGGGAAATTCTCTGCTTGAACAAACAGAGCGTTCTGCAGCAGCTCTACCGAGGGTTTATACTAATAACAGGAGGCTGTGTTTGTAGAGGAACTTCCTAAGAGTCCTATGCACTCCGCTAATGCGCTTCCATAAGAGATGTTACACGCAGCTTGAGTTGTGCAGAAAACAGTCTCATCTGTGCCAGCAAAATGTCTCAGTAAGAGGAGATTGACCAGAAAAATTAGTTCAAGAACATACATCCAAACTTGAATCATTGTAATATGAATTAGAAGAGACAGGAAGTGTCGTGCCCATTCAAATAGGGTTGTGATGTGGCAATTTTTTCATTCAAATTACATAAATGTTATGTCTATATAGGGGTTGAACAATGAAACTGAAACCCTGGCCAATGTTGGAGGTTTCATGCCTATATATGCGCGGCCTGGTGGCCAGTCTTCACTGATTTCACATTCCATCAGTAAGAGCAGATGTGAAGGTTGAATTAGCAGAGCAATAGCACAGATGTACATAAAATATTGCAATCCACACAACATAATAGGAGAGTTCAAAAGAGGACAAATTGTTGGTGTGTATTTCTCTGGCTCATTTAGCTCATTTGCTGGGCTACAATATCATGGCATCCCCTACTGTCACTGCCAGCAACTACAGAACCATACTGGAGGACCATGAGCACCTAATCAAACATTGGACACTAAAGGTGGTGCCGTGTATCAGTAATTCACACAGCAAGGCTTGTGACAGAATGGTTTGATGAACATGAAAGTGAAGTTGAACATTTCCCATGGCCTGCAGTCACCAGATCTAAAATTCTTGAGCCACTTTTGGGTATTTTGGAGGAGCAAGTCAGAAAATGTTTTCCTCCACCAGCATCCCATTGTGACCCTGCCATTGTTTTGGAAGAGGATTATATTTATATCAACTTTTGCACTCAATAACAGCACATATTATATAGACTTTTATATTAGACACATTGTTTGAAGGAGGAGCATTGTACAAGATGTGAAATAACTGATTAATAAAAGAAATAATCGACAGATTAATCGAATACTGAAAATGGTGGTTAGATGCAGGTCTATAGTCTGCTGCGGTTTTTAAGAACATTCTTGAGGTTTGAATTAGAGAGATCTTCATGGCTCATTACAGGACAGATCTCAATAACCAAAAGGGCCACTTCAGGATTCAGACGAGAATGACCTTTCAGCAATTCAGCCAATTCACTCATGAACATAGAAAAGGGACAGAGAGAGAGAGAAAGAGAGATGCACATTTCTGAATGCCAGTGACATTAAACACCGTTTGAGCTGAACTATAAATCATCATTCCTCACCACACAGCACCAGGGAACATGCCTCTAACAAGCTGAGTCACAATGCCATCACCTGGACTTTGAGACCACATCATCTATCAGCCAGAGGGGTCTAAAAAAGCTTGAGTGGGTGGGTTTCACAGCTCAGCGGGCTTCAACGCTGACATCACTCTCTCTGAGGCCCACAAAACCGTCTACTCCAGCAAAGTCAGCCGACTGACTGAACAGAGGATGTGTCATTCACAAACACACACTGTAAGACAATAGATGCGGCTGAGGAAAAGACAGCAGCATCATCAAGTTGAGGGGTTTTGGCATGATGTCAGCTTGTCTGTGTGCCTGTTTTATGAGGATTGCAATTCCGCCTCCCTCAGCAATTCTGAAAACATGCAACTCAGGGTCAGGAACAGGGAACGTTGGGGTCAAGCTTTCTGAAACCGTAACATTTACATCAAGGTTGAATTCATTAACATTATGTATCCAGTGAACACTTCATACAGCATTCATTTTTACAAATATTTAACAGACTTTGGATCCAAAGACAGGTAACAAAGCAGATGACCTTGTAATGACACCAAAGACACTTTATTTCAAAGATCCATTTGTTGACGGGTTAATGAGGCACAGGTTCAGGTTAATGACTGGAATGATGGCCCAAGACAAGGCCGGTAATCTCCACCCATTAGCGGCGGTCCCCTACTGCGCTCAGAATCAAGCACAATGCTGATGCAAACCCTTCTGAGACCATTAGCATTCCACAACTGCAGGTTAATCGAGGCAGCCGCCGGTATTTTCTCAATCCCCTCAACAAAAAAACTGACACAAAGCAGGAATTACATCTTCATCTGAGGTGGATTTATATGAGAATCTGATGCTTCTGCATGGGTTGAGGCCAAACTACTAGCTCATTTTAACCAATCATTTTAATCCAGTCAGTTCGCCAGAGTAGAAAAATAGAAAGGTAACTGCAACTTTATAACTCACATTTATTTTTGACTATTTCTTGTTATTGTGACTTTATAGTTTCTTATATTACTAAATATAATACAAATAGTAATAATGTAATTATATATTTAAAAAATAAATAAATAAATAAACATTTCTATAAACAAACTCTTAAACCTTAAAGGCCTGTTTACACCAAGAAAAATGTTCTGCAAGAAAATACGATTTTCTAATGCGATTTGTCTGTTCAAAACCAATACGAAAAAACAGCAAAAGGGCTGAATGAAAATGCTAATTTTGTTTCTGACAGTAGGTGGCGCTTATAAGAAAAGGAGAAATACCCAGGTTACCCTGGAACACAAAGAGCTGCACAACTAAGCTTTTCTGACACCTGTTTGTCACAGAAAGGAAGTAAAATGGTATTTACGTGTTTTCAAACAGCATTCAGATTTTATGTATTCACTATGGTGTTTATCAAACAACATCAGAAACAGTACAAGAGTACAGTGACGAAAGAGCTGTAGATTCTCCCTCCAGCCTCCACTATTCATTGTCATTTAACAAAATACTCTTTTCGTGAGTTCCACCAACTCGTACTTTTATGTAACAGCAACAGCTCAGGACACGTGAACAACAGCGTGAATGTTATTAGTTGACCAGTTTTTCACAGTGTGATGGAAAACAGATAAAAACATCTCTTCGTAAAATATCTCTGTTGGATTGACGACATACGAATATTCATATCAGTTTGCACAGACACATTCAAATTAACATGTTTATCACAGCAAATTTTTAAATCAACACATTTCGTCTTGGCGTGAACAGGCCTTCAGTATGAGAAATCGTGCTGAGAGGCAGTGATGTTGTGAATGCTACCTCAGATGGAGAGAAACGCTTAGGTCACTGTGTAACACATTACAATAAGTCACTATTAAGGCCCAATTAAAGTCTGTAGGGGTCTCACTGATTCACTTAACCATTAACTGTCCTTTCATTTTTAACTACACATTACACATAGTACAAACTTAAGGAATCACATCACCCAAGCTGAATGTCTTTTCAACCTCATCACAGAGAGAGAGAGAGAGAGAGAGAGAGAGAGAGAGAGAGAGAGAGAGAGAGAGAGAGAGAGAGGGTCTCCAGGGAAACGAGACAGGGAGCTGAGTGAAGCGCCTCATTAGGAGTAAATCACATCAGATTCCCCCCTAGAGCTAACAAGACAGAGTCACATGGTGCAGAGAAGGTCAGGAGATCACAGTGGACATTAATAAAATGAGGAGGCCTAAAAGAACATTCTGAGAATCAGTTCAGTATAGAGCTGCTACCAGCTGTCTTTCGCTCATGCATGTTCATATGAGCATAAACAGACATACAGGGGTCTAAGACTGGTATTAAACTTTCCGCCAAACATATTCAACCAACAGCGTTGGAGAACATTATGTTTAAAAGTTGGATTGCTAATAAAAAGTCCAAAAAAGAAGAACAACACAGATTTCCAATGACGGAGTTGTCCGTTGTCAAAACTAAGGGAATGATGGTGTAAATTCTTGCAAAAAGTAATGTGATTGCACATGAAACTCAAGATCTTCATGCCAAGGAATATTATCCATCCACTGTGTATTGGGTGACTAGCATGTGCCTAAAACACCTTGAGACAAGCACTGATCAATATGCTGCTGATAAACTGCCAAAAAGCAGAGAAAAAGCATTTATAGACTTAAAGTAATTAACTTACCCCTTTAACCCCTTTCAGATCTCCCTTCAGCAGACTGTCCAATGGGAAGGTAATGATGTTATTCATGTTCTGAAACTAGAGAGCGAAAGCACAGCATTAGACAAATGCCTGTCTTCCCAGCTGTGTAATTGTGCAATCAGAGATAAAGACAAGGCGGCGGGGAAACAAAAGAGTCAATTGCAGCGGGAGAAAAATCAGAGTGTTTAAGTAGTATTCATACAAACACAACGTTAGAGGAATTATTCATTAGGTTTGCAAGAAAATATTCCAAATCATAAATTACAGAATGACTGACAAATGTTAAGCTCAACTTATTTGAGGTAAAAATACCATTAATTGCTAAAACACCTTCATGAAAGTTGATCCACCCTGTAGACCAATGACTCAAGATCAGCTTTTGGGCCCAGAGGTCCAAGCACATTAACAGCTGAAAGGTAAGATGTTTGAAACCCATTTGCTCTACATAAAAATCACATAAATGCAAAATAAGTGTCCTCACCAGGTTCTTGAATAGGGCTGTGAGTTCCTTGGTGAAGACTGAGAACTTCAGGAATGCTGATCCCAGGTCAGGATCATCTCTGTACACAATATTCTCTCCGAACTTCTCCAGAGCTTGAGTGTACTGCTCCTCGTTCTCCACATGAGCTACAAACAGAAAGGCAATATTGTCTACACCAAAACTTAAATAATCCATAAGCCACTAAATTCTATGTAGACTTGGAATAATGGAATAATGGAATAATGAAAAAGAACAAGTTTTTTTAAGGTCTACACACACACACGTAAGCCTAATATTCTTTGTAGTCGCAGTATCGTGCTTTTCTTCCCCTCATATTGTTCTTTCCTACTGTTGCTTTCTTTCCTCCAGATTGTGATATCTTGTATGTATTCCAGCATTATCAGTTACAGTCCACCTATTCACATCTACTTTGTCCAACCACTGACACACAATATAGTCTATTTATTGTTTTAATGAGTCTTTTCCACACTCTGTTCATTGTTATTGTATGGCAAGACAAAAAGACCCTGATAGAGCCTGATGGAAACTTAAACAAATACAAAAACCCAGAACTTCCTCTTAATTCCATCAAACTCCCAGTTGTCATCCTCTCCAGGGGCAAAGCATAAAAGATAAAAACAAGCAAGCATGTAATTCACTCATGCAGTGATGTTACAAACTCCCAATAGTTTGTCTGCAGGGAAAATGTGTAATTTACAAGTACAGACATGTCATAAAATGTCGGGATGCTAGTCAGCGTGCCAACGTGTTTGTAATCAACACCTGGAGCTTTTTTCGAGACTCCCTCGTGGGTGAACGTCTTCCCACAACTAGTTAAAGTTATCCAGCGCAATTTCCTCAAACAGAGACTGTCGCCAAGAATAGCCACATAGTATTACATAGTCAATGCCTTCTTATGAATAATTTATTCATAACTGATTTGTTTTAGTGCAGTCTGCGATAGTTAGCTTGAGAGCTTTCTCTTTAGGTGACCCATTGTATCTCGATAGGAAGGACACAATGGGAAAGGAAGTGAGGCAGTGGTACGCTATCACCCTAAAGCTAGTCCAGAACTGGGGCCATGTAGCGACATCACATCACAAAAACAAAAGGAAGACCTGGAGATGCACTCTAGCAGATCTTAGCGCTCATGTGCTTGAGTAGAATTGGAGCACTGCCCAGGTCACAACAACAGGCATGGTAATTAGATACAGGCTAATAGGGATAATGGATATCTGAAGGTCATATGCTGAGGAGATTCCAGTCAATATTGAAACCACAATTTCTTATACCTGGCTGGGAGAGCAGGGATAGGGCATCTGTTTATGCTGTATGTCTTTGCCTATTCAGTTTGATGAATGGCTACACCTGCTTCAATATATTAGCACTTGATAAATACAAGCGAGACCACAAATGTGGAGTATATGCATTAGTAAAAACTGCTAACTCCAGTTCAAACGCAGGGAGTCCAGATTCCTATTAGCTTGATATCTAATGTAGTAGTCAGGAAACTGAACATTTAAAAAGAAAAAAGCTGTTTTCCAAAAACTAGTTGTCTCTCTGTATACCGTCACTGTAGATGTCTTCTAAACCAACATCCTGACACTAAAATGATCTGAGATGTTCAACATAAGACAGCAATGTTTTAAACCCAAAATATACTTCAGTTTAGTCGTGAACGCTTAGAGAATGTATAGTTTTTTAAAGTATGCATTTGATAGCATGCAGCCATGTGCGAACAAAGGTGCTTGACACCTGCGCACCAGAATGTTTCATCTTCGTCCAGTATCTGCCCCTCACACACAATTGCTCTTCAAAGCAGCCATCTATTGTTGTTGTGATCACTAGTAGAACATTGTTCCGTTTCTTCAGTTTCTTTGGGCCAATATGATGCAAACTTGTTGACCAGCTAATTAGCCCCCAAAAAATTGCCACACGTGCAAGCTGAGTGTACAGAGTATGCGCGATTAGAAAAACTGGGCTGCGCATATACTATGCTGATGATGGAATGTACATCATGTAAACTGTACGCATAACCTAGCGTACGAGTAAAAAACAGACTAAATTTAGGCTTTAAGGGTCACTAGCATCACACAATTAGCAGAAAAGTGCAAACTAATTGATTCCGAAATATGTGATGTTAGCATGTTGCAAAGACAAATACTTGGATGAGCCAGGCCATTATAACTCCAATTGTATTCGTCTGAAAGAAGAATGTCATATACACCTAGGATGACTTGAGGGTGAGTAAATGGGCTAATTTTAATTTTTGGGTGAACTATCCCTTTAATAGTGTAGAACAGACAGAATGGGTTTTTACTTTTATACTTTCACTCAAAGGGATTTCAAACCTGAAGTACAAACACATAAACTTCAAGCAAATAACTCTCAGTTACCAGAAGGAATATTATTGGATTACTGTAAAGCGTTTTTCCTTCGCCTATATGCCATATTGTCTACAGACATTAAGTTAATGGAGAAGTTTCCTTCTGATCAACTACTTGGTAGTGTACAATCTTTAGGAACAACAGGCTAAGGCCATTCTAAATCGATCTGGATGAGAGTGCCTGTTAAAAATTCTAAATATCATTATTAGTAAATATAAGATATCGATTATCCTTTGATCGAGTTAAGACAGATTCTGAGACCCTTATGCAACTTAAAACAATTGGAGTCACCTCTGTCCTTCTCCAGCCCATCGTGACCACGGAGAGGAAGGAGAGCAGTGGGAGAGTGTCTGATTATGAGCTGTAAAGACCGGTTCCTTCAAACCACCAGCTGCATCAGTGACTCATCACATCTCATTACAGGCCTGCAGACTTTCCTGACTTCATATACCAATTTACCATTGATAATGCCAGTCCCATTCCATTCTACAAATATTTTTTCACTAAAGAATGTTTTCTGGACTTTCAACACACCCAGTGAATACTTTAACCGGTTCAAGTCTTTTACAAAAAAAGGCATGTGGGGTTCTAAATATTACAGCAGAGCTTATGATCACCACACGGTTTGACATTCACAGTAGGGTTCTTCACATACAGCTGATGCCGCCACTAATGTTATGACAATAAATCTCCAGGCCCGGCGGTGTGTGTACAGCCTCAACACAGGCTGTGTTTGGACTTTAAACATCCCATCTTGTTTTCTGCCGCAGTGGCCGACTGTGCATTTGGATCTGGCTTTTGTTTTTAAAGCGACATATGAGCTCAGCACATCTTCTGCTCGTCTGCAACTGACAAAACTTCGGATCCAAGCTGTGTCCTTCTTTACGGTAACTCAAACCTAGCAAGCTTTCTGTGCTGTGGCTGTCTGAATGAGCTTTTCGGGGAACAAAATGACTGCTACATTAGCCATTTTCAGGGTCACCTTCAAAATCAGTCACACAAACATATACCAGTTAGGGCAATGACTTGGGTGTTCAATTTCTGAAACTGCATTACACAAATATTGTTGCATATGATTGACTTTTCTGACGGTTTCTGGGACTCACTGAGCTTATCATGTGGTTTCAGACAGTCATCCCTGTAACCACAGACAGGATTGAGCCTGTGAGTGGAAGGGGGTTGGTTCATGCGAGTAATGCTCGAGTCATTTAAACACCTGTGTATATTGCACCTGGTTTAAAGGCTTAGGAAAATCCCCAATCATAAGTCACAATCTACTCCTAGAGCTTATCTAAAAGCTTTTTGATGCTAAGACAATACAATAATACAGTAAGTTCCAGTACTTACATTTTATTAAGCGTTCCAAGAGTGCTAATATTTAGTTCAAAAGCACTGGGAATTTGTATTACTCCGCTTGTCTGTGTTTTTATGTTCCAGACAGACTGTCAAGAGATTTTCAGTGACCTTATCTGCAGGTTGTTTACACCAGTACTTTGCGATAAGAAGGCTATCTTTATGAATGAGTCATTTGAATCACTCAACTGATTCATTCAAAAACCCTGATTGATTCGGTAACTAAATCCCTGCACCCAAATATAGGGGCTTTCGCACCAGAGGAACCTTTTCATGGTTCCTAGAACTATTGGCGGAAGTACCCGGATTTTGGCGTGTTTGCACTGCAGGAACTAGCAACTAATTTAGCTCCTACTTCAGAGTAGGGTTGTTCAAGTCCTCTTGGGAAGTTCATACTGACGAGGTGGGACGTCGTGTTTATGACGCCAGGTGCGTTCAAGTCACTTTCGTCTGAGTAAGATGGCGGTGCACTTTCTCTTAAAGGGGTGGTATAATGCCCCTTTTTACAATATGTCAAATAAGTCTCTGTTGTCCCCAGAGTGTGTGAAGTTTTAGCTCAAAATACCCCACAGATAATTTTTTACAGCATGTTAAATTTATCCCTTTTTGAATGTCAGTAAAAACTTGTTGTTTCGTGTGTGTCCCTTTAAATGCAAATGATCAGGTGCTCCCGGCACAGAGGGCGGAGCTTCAGCTCCTGTGTGTGTGTTAGCAGCTCCGATTACGCAGACAAGCACTAAAATGTCAGAAACTGTTCTGCCTTTTATGTTTAAACTGGAGTCGGACAATGATGGAGAGACTCAAGAAGAAGTGACAACATGTAGAATGCAACAGGACGTTTTTGAATGGTTAGTTGATGAATTTATGTTGCTGATGTAGAGTTAACTATATTCATGTCTGTGATTAGCATATTCTGTCATGATAATCTATAAAATCGGTCGTGTGGGAACTGTTGTAAGATGCATACAGAGTGACATGCTATTGCATTTGTGTTATTGCATGTGAAAAGACGGATGCTACACCTTGAACAGACTCACAAATGTGCTCGACTACAACAACTCTTCCTCTTCTCAACATGGACTGCGTGTTCCCGGGGGCGGGGTTTATGTCAATTTTAGGGTTGGTGATGCCAGTAACCCGTGAGGAATGTCATGTAGTCCCTACCAGCCGATTGTTGTAGTCCTTAAAGTCCCTGTAAAGGCAATTCTAAAAAAAAAATCTAAACCCATTATAAATGTTAGAAATGTATTGCTAAAACATATTACAAAGACTGTGAACTGTGAATTACTGAATTGTGGAGTTAGACCGTTAAACAGTTTTTCACCATTGCTATTTTCCGGATTTTTTGGGCGGGGCTAAAACGGGGCTCGATGACGCACTGGAGCCCCTGAGCTCCTGGACACGCC